GTCAACTCTTGGGTCTAGTGCAGGTTGGTGATTTCTGGCGGTGGTAGCGGCGTAGTCGATGGCGCGCGCGTTGCGTTGCTGCGTCGCGTCGGGGTCGGCGTTGGTGTCGGGGGGGTGGGTAGGGGGAAAATCGTCGTCGGAATTTGACTGGCTTGACTGACTGAAAACTGGCGCTGCTGCTGCTGCTGGGCTGCTGGGCTGTTGGTGGGTGCTAGGCTGGCCAGGCTGGCAGGCTGGCAGGCTGGCAGGGCCGAAACTCGAGTGGGTGCAACAGAGCGACGGGCCAGACAGAGTGGACAGACAGACGGATAGACAGATAGGGCGGCCGGGGGTAGGGGGGGAAAAAATAACGGACCAAGACCAGCTCGACGAAGCGGAACCTCTGAACCTCTACGAGTACGCCTCTCTCACAGCAAGGGCAACCAAATGCCAGCTTTCAAGGGAGGGAAATCATCCACTTCAACCACGAAAAAGCGTGGGTCGGCCAGGCTCGTTCAGACAGATCGGTTCAGCAGCCACGGAGCAAGGCTGGTCGTAGGTGAGTTGGATTTTTGCATCGAGTGGAATGACTGCAGGACGGATGAAGAAGAGGCTGTCGGTCGTCTTTCTGTCCACTGCTGGTACTCATCTGGGAGAGCAAGAATGTCCTCGACACTCTGGACCCTCTCAAGCCTCTCGCCCTGTGGCTGCCGCTAGCCAAGCTTTGGGCCTAGCGTCATCATCCCCGTGGCTGTGGCCTCGCATCGGCGAATCCTTATTCCCGCCCTGCCAACCTGCCATCTGCCATTTTTTCCAATCTGAGGTCCTCCCAAGCTTCCCCCGGGAGTTACCACAGAGCACTCTCCTCCACAGGCTCCCCCCCAGCGCTCCCGCTGGCCCCCACTCCGCCCCATGCCCGCCAGCTGCGCGCCCATTGGGCAGGTCGGCCAGTGGAATGCTTGTCGACGTTGAGCTCACACCCAGACAAGCCAGGCTCGGGACGCCTTGACTTTGGCGCGACAGCAATGTGACTTACGTCTTCTTCTGCATGAGCGGCATATCGAAATCTCCCAGCTACGGCCGCTCTCATCTGGCAAACCATCCATGTCCTTTGCACCCCCCACGCTCCTCTGCCGTCTCATCCACCTCCATATGCTTGACCGACCTTGTATATCGACCGGGAACCACCCGACGGTGTGTCAATGCCGTGCCTCTGTGCAGCATCGAACGCCTCCCGCACCAATGTCGACGTCAACTTTGAAGCTGGGATGGTCCGCTCGTGAGCGACTCCTGGTTCATTATATGTGTGCTTCGTCAGCCCTTGGGTATCGTGTCTAGGGGCTTTTAGTCTCGCCTACCTGCTCGGTAGGTACCAATGCGATCCGCAGTGGACCGCTCAACGGCAAACCCCACCACCTGCCGCCCGTTCGTTCGTGTGAAATCAATATCCTGCTCCGTCGAGCAATTTCGGTATGCATGCGTGCACATGCATGACAGCTACGAAACCCACTCTGCCGCTTCGAAACATTCGCTTTCCAATTGGGCCACCGTCGTCGGTCCGCATCGCCCGAAGCACCTTGGCTTCCTCCATCAGGGGTTAGTATACCACGTGCGCCGTCCCCTTTTGTCACTCATTTCACGATCCCAGGATTTGAGGCGTGTCCCCAAATCGCATCACCTCGTTCCAAGCCGTGGCCGCAGTCCACCATGCCTTCGGAGCCGTCCAATAAACCATGCCACCGCCTATCGGATCCCGCCCATTATCCACAGTACATTGCGGCCCAATGGCATCTTCTTCTGCGAGACAACCGCCGCTGGTCCACTGTCTTCTTACGGGGCGAACCTGATGTGAACATTGGTAACCAATTGTCGGCGAGCATGACAACTGTGAGTCCGGTCTGAAGACGCAAGGGTCGGTTGATAGTCGGTCTGCGTAACTTGTCCCGCCACCTGTCCGTGGGGGATTTTAAGACGAATCCTCTCGTGGCCAGGTTTCCTTCAGTATATTCCATCTGGTCTCCCGTTCTATCTTCAACATGACGACTGTGGATGACTTTGAGATTTTTCGAGTTACCCCGGAGCATATCTCTACGACGTCGATCACCAATCAGCTGGTAGATGTCTTGAAAGCTGCTACTCGGGATAATATATACGACACGCTGAGGCAGCCTGTCGTCGAGAACTTGAGCTCCCTGGTACAGCACAACTGCGGCGTACTGGAAGCGGCTCGTCTTAAAGGAAGCGAGGGAGGCCGAGTTGTTGGCCTAGCGCTTTTTAAACTTCGTTTTCGAGGACCGCGGCAGCCGGACTGGACGTTTCTTGCTACGCCTCAGCAGGACGAGCTTCACGCGGGCATCTTCTCAGATGACAAAACTAAGACACGGCGACTAGTTCATGAGGCCACGGGAGACCCCATTCTCACCAGTTTCGTGGAAAGTCTCCAGTCTGGCGGAAAGGCGTTGCGCGAGATTGAGGAAGATATCTTGAGTACGCCGTTGGAACGTCTCTTTTTCATCGCCCGAGTATTCTTGCTAAAAGTTTTATTAGTTCTAGAGCCGGTTTTCATCCTCCCTGAATATCAACACGTTGAAGGCCTTGCACGAGAACTTGCAAAATCGGTAATAAGAAAGGCCGTCGCTAGTAATATTCGAGTCATTACCTACAATAGGGTCGGCCAACACGAGTACTCATCCCCGAACGCCATCTGGGCTGGCTTCCAACCGTTGTATGAGGGAACTCGAGTTTTTGTACAAGTCGACACAAGGGAAACACCAGACTGGGATGGACCGGAGGTCGTCTGGGACCATGAGTTTCAACTATTCGGCACGCAGTACGGACAGACGAATCATTATCCTTCCAGTGCCATCGACGACCTTGGTTGAGGTAGATGACAAAACGTTTCATTCTGTAATAATTCCGCCAAAAGATTCTTCGTCAACTTGCTAAGTAGTTTCAAAAATTCAGACACCAGATTCACTTGCAGGAATTTAATCGGTAGGGTGAGTAGTGAAGTAATGCTAGGTTACCTTTGAATCGTTCCTAGTTCGCATTCGTGCACGCGGGGCATAGTGGCTCAGCCGGAAAAAGATGACTCTGCGTGCTCAAAGTAAGCACCATTCATATATAGCTGTACTAGTCCCAGCGGCGTAGTCAACTGCAGCACAATCGTGGGTGACTGACTTCCAGGGGCTTACGGAACCATTAGTTGATTGTGACATGTAAGACTTAATCACGGCTCTACCACATGTCACAATGATGCATGGAGGGTGTTTTCAACCCATTATCCTGGTGATGGTCGTTTGGACTTGCTAGAAATTATCTCAACTGCTTCCATTGAATGAAAATAGGTTCAAGATTCCCTATGCACCTCCCGCGCATCCGGGCCCAAACGGCGTCTTGCCCATCCCCGTACACCCGGCTCCACACATCGCAACGGCCCCCGACCCACACCCCCCTTGGCCACCACAAGTCCCCGATGCACAAACCCCCGGCTGGCCTGCGGACTCGTGGATGGCGCCCGGAGGACTGGAGTACATCGGCTCAGTGAGCGCGACGTGCGTCTGCGACGCCCACGGGCCAGGCAGTGACACCGTGTTGCCCCAGTGCGTCACCGCGTCCTGGCCCCGTGGCCCCATGCTGCCTTGCGCGGAGGCCGAACCTGGGGGTTTCGATGTTGAGGCCTTGAAAAGGGATGCAAAGCCCTTCTTCTGGCCCTTGGTAGAGAGCTTGATGGCCTTATCGAAGGAGTCGTTCAGGTCGTTGTGGAATATGAAGCGCTCCGTCCGCCGGGACCCGTTGCGTTCGGACAGGGGGTGGACGGACGGGTGGGACGAGATGTGAAGGGGCTCTCGGGCGCCCTGGGCTTCGGACCGCCAGGCGTCGGACGTTACGGATGCTTTGTTGGTTGTGATACGACTCTTTAGTGAGCTGGCGTTCTTGAATCGCAGACCTACGCAGACTTGTTAGTGTCGCATCTGGAGGCGCACATTACGACATTAGCATTGGGCGATAAGACCCATGACCTACTCTCGCAGAACCAACAGGTGCACTCTGAGTATACTTCCCCATATTTCTCCTGGTATACCTTGGCCATCCAATCGAACGAGACCGCGAGCTTGTCCTCGTCCACCTTGTCGTTGTGATCCGTGAACGACCCAGTCTTCTTCACGGTGAAATGATAGTAGTCCTTGGGACTCAGCTGGTGCGTGTGCCATGCCAAGTCCACATCTAGAGTAGGTGTGACGATCTGATCAGAATGTGCGGCCAAGATCTCAAAGAACCTCTCGTACTTCTTGAGCAGCTTCTCCATCGTGAATTTTGCTGTTGGGCTTTCGAGCCAGTTGATCTAATGCATCATCAGCGAGAGGACAAGAAGGATGAGGTCTCACCCTCTGTGTTGCTCCCTCACCTTGAACATCTTCTCACAGAAGACGCCCTGCCTCATAACCGCCCCCCTGAGTTCTAGTCCAAATATCGATGAGTTCTCCCAGTACCGCGACATCATGGACCTCGTCTGAACCCTTGCGTTCCTGGACAGCCTGTGCGGCACCACCGTACCCACACCGCTGATCCCTTTATCAATCTTCTTCAGCTGGTCATTGCTGTGACGGTAGGTGGGGTGTGCTGTAATGTCCTGGATCTTGTCGCGGATAAACATCACGCTCGGCTTGGTCGGATTGCCGGGCTCGAAGGCGCTGGTCACCTCGACGAGAAGTCCCAGACGAACAAGCCGATTAGGAAACAACTGGTCGCTATCGGCATCCTGCAGGTTATTCAGGCCATTCTTTATGTCTAGCATAGTCCCTGGCATTGGCCAATCCTTGGTGACCAAGTTCTTCAGATCGTCACGAAATTTCGCGGCACGTAAGACGTCGTCATCAACTACCGCGTTGCAATTCTTGCAACTGGACGAGAAGCTACCATCTCCATATCCTTGTCCAACCAGGCCAGGTTTGCCCTTGGAATCCGGGGCTTGTCCGCAGGTTGTCCAGGGAACATCCAATATTGTTGAACATACTGGGCACTTGATGTCTTTCGACATGACATCTTGCATGTTATCCCATTGAGTTTCAGTCCTGTGCACCCAGTTTGAAACACTCTCATTCGAGGAAGTAAACTCGAAGTTCCTGTTTATAATTCCATCGATCACATTCCAGGGTAGCCCTGTACTCCATAGAGAGCCATAGCCCACTCGGAGGCAGTCCTTAGAATGATGAGCTTCTGCGGAAGACTATTACACAGATACACACCTCTAGATAGATGCGTGGGTTGAGCATGTGGGTATGCCAGACAAGCAAAACGTCTAACACCAATATGAGCCACGTTTTCCCTATGCGTGATCCAAAGGTTAAACATACCAGGTGGTGGTAAAATGTCCTTCGTCCATCTCATTGGTTCATGTGCTGCTGCGAATTGCGCATACCTGGAAGGATTGCCTTCGGGAGATCCTTTCAAGATATCCTTCTCTGTCAGCATGTCCGGTACGAAGCTTTTCCACCAAGCCTGGTAACGGTCAACGGCTCGAGCGACATATAGGGCCCATCGCTTTTCCCGTAACTTGGCTAGGACCTCCACGTTCCCCAGGGCGCGCCAGTCCCATATTTCCCATAGCCCATCTGTATATCCGATCTTGCTCTTTAGCTGCTCGAAGGCTCTCAGCAGCTTGAGATGCACAAGACAGGTGTCTACGGTTGGATGGGCCTCTGGCCAGGCTGAGTTGAAACCGCTACTACTTGACTCTTCATGGACAGCAGACTTGCTGTCCTGTTCATATTGTTCTTGATTTGGCCGCTCCACTGCATCTCTGTAGGCTGGGGGGACCTCATCGTCCGGCACTGATCTTTTCGAATCTTCGCCCTTCGTCATTTTTTTGCGAACGCCAGAGAGTTGCTCAATACCTGTTGCCGTCCCACGATAGCGATAGAAAGTTCATTTTTAAATATGGAACTTTGAAGGGGCATGCAGTCATGCGGCACACCCTGATTACCCCAAATCTGCACTTGCGCGTGTCGGCCCGCAATGCCTAGTTGTGGTGGCTGTGTACGCTGTGTATCTCACCACGTCACTACTTGCGGGAACTCGTTCCGGTCACTTCAAAGTGCAAAAACAAGATATAGGAGGCATGAGGCCACATTTTTATGCCTTGAATTCAGAGCAGAAGGCACTCTTTCATCTGAAAACCATAGTCTAGGCTGGTGCAGAATTATATTGGACGCAGACAAGTAAATCTAGACTGCGCTACATACCTCGTGGTAAAGCCTGAGGGTGACTAAAGCTGTTGATGCAATCTGGAATCGTTGTCAGTGAGGGCTAGTTGGTGATTGTGGACTTACATAATCTGTCGCTTCACTTGTGTATTGACCTGAACATATGATTTTATCAGACGATGGATTATAGTGGTCATCTTCGAATTGCCTTAGATACGCGACGCAATAGGCAAATAATCACGCACTAAAAGCGGGATATCCATCTTTTTCGAACTACTCAGTCATTGCATAATTCGCAATATTGCTATCTCTCCCTTGAAGCAAGGCTTCACTGGCGCTCCTGACCAGAGCATATCTGCGCATGTGTACTGCCTGGTAACCTGCAATCCCTCTTTCTTTACCCGTCAGAAGCTGAATCAGTTAAACTCACTTAGCCGTGGTCCAAATCAGTCCCATTTACATATAATTTGGGACATATCTGTGATTTGAACGCCGTGAGTGTCGCGAATGCAGGATTGTTAGTCTCCTCCCAGGCTATAGACTCCGCTGCGCTAAAGGAGCTGGCTAAGCCTGGATTTTGTGAGGCCATTATGTGCAGGCACAATCTACCGTATTACGGGAACACACTTGCCGTCGTCCAATGCCTTTGATATCCGAGGTGAACTGCTCGGAGGAAGCTGGCGAATGCGTCATGAGATGAAAGTACTCAATTAAACCGAAGTCCTTGGTGGTGTTTGCGAGAAACGATCCCTCATCAACATCACTGATGTTCTAATTTCCGGTGAAGGCTATCTTTGACGCGGGGATGGTACTAGTATTACTTTTGTTACGCCGACTACTTGGAGCTTATGGCGCAGCTACTGACCGTGACTTCTGTCAACTTCTGTCAAGCTGCAGAGTGCCCTGGCGGAAGGAGCTGCAGCTTGCACGCTTCACTATGTCGACTTATGGTGTGGAAATGGTTGGACATTTCGCCAGGAATTTAGGACGTAATTGAGTTTGGTGCTCTTACCAAATCAACAGTGGGAAATGTCGTGTGACACGAGTGTCCTGGGTGCCAATCAATTTTCAGCGCGATGTGTTTCCTTTTTAGCTGGTCCGTTGGGCGGTGTCTCTCAGCCGTCGCTGACACAATCGATAAGACCCGCAAGATCTGCAAATAATCTTATGATACCTTGAGACATATCAAAATACTAAAAGTGAAAGTCACCAATCACAGGATCCCAGGTACCTGCCGGCTTATTGAGAATAAGCCGAATCGCATAGTTTGTAACCGACGAAAGACAGAAGAAACATTGACTCAGGATTGTTACGCCCCATAGAACAAGTCGGTCAGTCACTCACTGTTTCACCACCGCTGATGAAAGGAATCATAAAAGCGGCCGCACAACACTTGGCCACTCGGTCAGCCCAGTAAGGTCATCACGGAGAATGATCGAGAAAACTCACGCTAGCATCTAGTAGCACAGGTGCTGCGTCTCTGTCCACCTCCGCCTCTACATTTATGCGTTAGATTGTTCAACACTATCTTGTAGGTTCTTGTTCCATCATTGCCCATAAGCTGCTGGTGGCGATAGGACTCTCCATTTGCATGGTGTCAGAATTCTGAATTGGGTCACATATTTTCTCCAAGTCAATGACTTTTGCTGGCCGAATTGTATTACTCCATCGATCTTGCTCAAGATCTGACATGTCAGGAAATGATAATCCGTCGGCCCACAATTGTCAATTAACTAGGTAGCCTCCACTCAATATACCCTTGTACGAAAATACCTGGTAGTGGGGCAAGTGTCATATTTTAGTTACGAAAGGAATGGGGCTGCTTACCTAGCTCGCATCGCCCCCATTAGACCCTTGGCATGCGGCCGGGCTGCGCCTGCAATACCAAGAGCACCCCGGATAGCGTACGTTATAAAGCAATGGCCGCTCTGTGAGTTGCAGTGCTGAGCTCGCAATAGTAGTTAGTCAATCGCTTATAATCAATCATAATAACGTTGGCCGTTTACGCCCACCATGGCAATTCTCAGGGCTATTACCTTGGTTCTGTCATCAACCGCCGCGCTCGTCGCCAGCGCATACCCCCCACCAGAGGCATGTACTGGGAATTGCATTGGTATTGACCCGGCAGCCATCCGCCGTGACGATGGAACATACTTTCGATTTAATACATTCGGGAAAATCCGGATTTATAAGGCTCCATCCTTTACAGGTCCTTGGACGCTCGAAGGCCCTGCTATTCCAGACGGATCCATCATTGACATTCCGGGAAGAAATTCCCTTTGGGTAGGTTGCGACCATTCAATCCGTTTAAAGGGCCCACCAAGTTCATCTGAAACGTAGGCTCCCGAGGTGCAGAAAGTCGGCAACCAGTATATAATGTACTATTCCGTATCGGAAGGGGGGAAGCGGCTCAGCGCTATTGGGTACGCGACCTCTCCAAACATGGAAGCAGGCACGTGGACCGACCACGGCAGCACGGGCATCTCAACAACGGAGAACAGCGACCGCAACGCTATAGACCCGGCGTTAATAAAAGACCCGGCTACAGGGAAATACTACATGTCGTTCGGGTCGTACTGGTCGGGGATCTGGGTAGTCCCCATGAACGACGCCGCAACCCAAGTTGCAAAGGACGCCAAATACACCAATATTGGTCGGCAGCCAAACAGCGACCACGCCTGGGAGGGTAGCAACATCATTTTCCATGGTGGAAATTACTACCTTTTCTTAAGCGCGGGAAAGAGCGGTGGCTTCGACGAGAACAACCTTCCACCTCCTGGTGGCGAGTATAAGGTCAAAGTGTGCCGCAGCAAGGCCATTACGGGGCCTTACGTAGGCCCTGCCGGCAAAAGCTGCATGGAAGGCAATGGCCTAGTACTTCTTGGCAGTCACGACAATGTCTATGCGCCAGGAGGACAAGGTATCTTTGATGACCCAGACCTAGGCACCGTGATGTACTACCACTATGGTAAGAAGAACAATTCAAAATCCTACTTCGCAAGTGATTGGCATGGGTAATAGTACCAGCTAACGTCAATACCAGCAAACCGCAGCGTTTCTTACAAGAAGGACGACTTCCAGTTTGGTTGGAATAGTCTTAAGTGGGTTGATGGATGGCCGACCTTCTAAGTGGTTCCTTGCTCAAGTAACTTATTGGCTTCCACCTCTTTTGACGCACATGGAATATGGAATTAGAAGCGAATCTCGCCGTATAAACATTAGAAACTCTGGTAATGAGGACAGAAGTCAAATCGCTACACCTGCAGGTCTCTGTCTGTGCATCGACCAACATGAACTCTATTTCTGTCGATGAAGTATCTTGGAGTTCAGGCTGACCATCCCAAAGCGAGCCTGAGGGGGCTTCATTCAGGTCTCCGTCTGCTGAAATCTCAACTGATGGTGTATAGTAATGAGATAATTAATGATCGCAGTTTGAAACTATAAGAAACATCCTATCATTTTAGTCGTCGTGTATTTCAGAGCTCGACATATGTGTTCTTTGTGATCTAGTGATAATCAAGATACTATGCCAACCCGCCACAGTATTACCAAACTATAGCCAACTGAAGGGTGCTGTCATGTTAGGCTCGACTCTATTATGGCAAGCTTGAGCTGACTCGTACGAAAGACTGTGTTGCTACCTCTCAGAGATACGTTTTGACCTGCTGCTCACTCCACTCCCAAAACTTTGCTGTCCCCCCTGTACGTCCTTCACTCTCTGGTACCGTAGCTCTGTGTAGGTCCAGGCGCAGCGGAAAAATTCTCCCAAATGGTCCAACTTATCATTGTTAGTGTTTTTTTCATTACAGAGGATAAAATCGAAGCCACTTACCCCAATACTTGTACCGGTCAGCCGTTGTGACATCAGATGCGAATGCAGCATATAGTCCAGTGCACGCGCCGTAAGTGAAAGGGTAACCGAGTAGTCTGCAAACAAACTTCATGGCAGAGCCCTGGTCGCGGAAAGGCTTGGGTTGGAAATTGCCAGGGTTGATAGCCACGCTGAGGACACCGTCACCCTTAAATCGGCGAAAGTGCTCGATTGCCAGCGCCCAGACTCCAGACTTGCTCAAGGCATAGCGCATCGAAGCTCCCACAGGTTGATGATAATCTAGATTATCAGTCGAGACGGCAACGCCCTCAACTGCACGCAACTCAAATCCGTATGAGCTGACCTAGACGATGCGAACAGTGTTCGGGAGCGAGGTCTTTGCTGTCGCAACAAGTATTGGAGTCAGTAGCTTCGTGAATAGGAAGGTGGCAATACAATTGAGAGCCAAATTAAGCTCGTAGCCTTGCACCGACTTAACGGGCGAGCTCATAACACCGGCATTGTCAAACAGGACATGGAGTCTCTTCTCCTGGGCAAGGAAGCTTTCCGCTGCAGCCTTCACAATAAGTAAGTCACTCAGGTCAAAATGTAGAAAGACCAAAGATCCCTTAGAGAAAGGCACAGACGCTTTGATGTTGTCGATAGCCTGTTGACCCTTGCGCTCGGTACGAGCCGCAACATAGACCTGTTCGACGTTAGTAGGCATGTTTATGTTGCTGTCATATCCATCAGGGATGAGATTGTCGGTGGTCGACAACTTGCAATCATCGTAGTATCCGGGACAGGATGTTCTGGAGATAGGGACCCACAAACCTTGGCGTTTTTCGTTTAGAGCGAGCGGGCTACTTCCTTGCCCAACCCTGTGCTGGAGCCGGTGACAATGTATATCTTTCCCTGCAGGTCTGGAAGGTCCTGCTCCGTGAACGTCGGCTTAGGTCGGAAGAAGTGAGTCACAACACTTGAAAGCGACGGCATTATGAACAGTTCAGAGAAAATCGTGGTGAATTGTGAGTGAAGAGGGATTGCAGGGCCAACATCACCGGGGAAAAAAAAAAAAAAAAAAAAAAAAAAAGGTTGGTTCTTCGTCAAACGAAGTAAGGGATGCCGGTGCTGATTGCCAACGTCTGGCTGAGCCGGGCCCTTCAGTAACACAGGTCTGTAGGGGTCTCTGGGCAAAATTGAGCATTGTGGCAATTATAATCGAGTTGTCCTGAACGTGCTGATGAATTACGATCTCTGCTGCGCTGAACTTCGTGAAAGTCAGAGGTTCCTCTATTCCTATCGTATTCGTCCTCTTGTTCTCAATTGATTTATGGGTACTCTTGGCATCATCGTACATCCTTAAGCGCAAAGCAATACTTCTCGATATGTGTAGTGGACTCTACTTGAAATTCCTTAAGTTGGACTCCGCAAATACCGAGATGTAGCAAGAGGCGTCAACGCGGTAATACTTAAAAGCGGAAAAGAACTGATGATCGTCTATGTTCTAGCTTGATTTCTCAAGTCATGAGTTTCTGTAAAAGCTTATAACCAACCAAGGTAACAGGTTCCCCCAATCGGTGCTCCTGTGTATCCGGCTCGGTCCACTCCGAGAATCGTTCAAATCCAAGCTTCTGCAAAACTCTCTGGCTGGCCAAATTATCTATTTCCGTGTTGGCGTAGACGTATTCTGCGTGTGGATTTCCGGCATCCACGCTCTGCAGGTGCACCTTGATTTCAACCTTGCAACGGGGCAACTTCCACCAAGCTTTCAGAACTGTTTGCAAAAGCTCGGTCACGTAACCCTTGTTCCAGTGTTCTTTCTTTAGCTTATACCCAATCTCTGGCCATCCACATCCCGATGACTCAAGCGTATGCACCCCACCTTCACCGATCAGCTCTCCGTCGAGAAAAGCACCGAAAAGGAAGACTTCCGCGTCGTTGGGGGTTAGAAAGTAGTCCAATGCTTCTTGGGTCTCTTGCATGTTGCGATCCGGTCTTCCTAAACGTGTACCGGTCATTGCTTCGCGTTGGGTGCGAAGTATGTGAAAAGCTTCGAGATCATCTTGTTGCAACGGGCGTACCACCAGGCGTTGTGTGGCGATTGGCTGGCGCTGCGAGTTTGGTGGTAGTGGTGTGCTGGGCAGCGTTGTCTGGATGGAGGTGGGAGTATAGGGTGACATGACTGCCGAAACAGAAGTGGCTTGGCTAATGAGATGCAAGAGTGCAGATCTTTCTAATTTATGGTTTGATCTACCTCTTCTATAACTTGAACCTTGAGTTGGTATAATTTTTAATGCCTGCGTCGCTCCGGCCAATGACTCATGTGGGGGTACGCACCAGGGTTTTCTGCCGCTAGTTGCCGCGTCTCTCGCGATCGATCGCCCAATTCACGCGCTAGACAGCTAAAATCAACCTCAGCAATATTTGCTGGACACACTCTGGTCACGCTAGTGGTCTGGCATGAGGCCTATGCCTCTTATATCGCCGTAGCTCAGTCTCGAGAACTGCCATTGTCTCTGTCCTTTGATATTGATTGCTGTATTCGACCCCGTAATTCCGAGGACGGCTTCTCGGTCAAGGTCGGCGCTCGGCGTGAAACTGAGTCTCGATGCAGTGCTTTTCAGTATGCCCCAATCCGACGTTTTGAAGACGATATGCGCGATCTCATGCACAGTTGGCGTGGGCCGAGCGTCGCTTGATATGGTTGAATTGTTGTCTCACCATCCGCCATAACTCCCGTCCCTAAGTATTTGCTCGCTTGCATGTTGGCTGTCAAACCGGCACCCTCCCTTCATCACCCGTTTGGTGCATATGTCGCCCTACAGCGACTCCACTGTGCAGAGTGGATACAACTCGCTACAGGTCCCCCAAATAGCGTCTGAAGCTTTTCTCTGCTGCGAGCTTGGAATCCTATTCATTGGGCAAGCACAGGTAGATTTCCAATCATCCTGACAGTGCTCCTTCAGCCACGCTGCTGGTTTCTTGCCTTGCTGAGGTAGGCCATCACCCACGCCCAACGCGTCATCACATGCGCTCAGTCGTGAGTGGACTGTGACATGCTACTAACGGAATGTGGCTTACGGAATCGGGCCGGAGCTGAGGCTGAACGATGGTGAGGAGCGCCTGTAGCCCGCTCACCGTTTTCAACTTTCATCTTGCATTGCGTACGTCTCTGAACTTTCAAGACCTACGCAATGTCCGAGATACTATTTCCTCTTGCCCAAGAGGGCGCACCTCCTCTTCTAAAAGTCCGCCTCCCATTTCCGCATCGGCTTAATTGCTTCATTAAGCTATGGATTCTCAAGTTTCTGGCGTCGCTTGTGTTTGCTGTTGACAGACTTCTCCATCCACCATCACCGACTCTTGGTCCAAACCTCCTAAAGCGCTACCCATGCCGCCCAAGTCTGCAAACCCGGGTATTCTACCCACCAAGCTACAAGGAGGGGAAACTGCTACCATTATACCTGAATATCCATGGTGGTGGATTTGCAGTCTGCGATCCCCAAAATGACGATGAATTCTGCAGCATGTGGTCGAGACGTACCGGTATGCTGGTCGTCTCCCTGGACTACTCCAAAGCGCCTCTGTATCCGTTCCCTGCCGCCGTCTTCGATATTGCCGCTCTCGCTACCGCTGTTCTCGCAGACGCCAGTTTACCCATCGACAAAGCTAGGACTGTAATAGGAGGGTTCAGCGCCGGAGCAAACCTTGCCTTGTGTGCGAGTCAATTACCCGGATTGCAAGGCAAACTAAAGGCAGCATTGGCATTCTACCCCATTGTAGATTTCAGCCACCCTCCTCATGAGAAGCTCAATAGGCGTCCTTATAAGACTAATCGGAAAGACTCATTGGAGTTTTCTAGTTATTGGTTTGACTGGGGATACGTCTCTCCTGGGCAGAACCGCCGCGACCCTCTCCTCAGTCCATGTTATGCCAAAAGGGGGGATCTCCCGCCCTGTATCTATATGATCGGTGCGCAATGGGATCTCCTGAGATTAGAGAGCCAAAAAATGATTCACGAGCTAGCTGGACTTGGTGGACTGGACAATCAGGAGGCGGATTTTGAGGAAGGGACATACAAGTGGACCTTAGCAAGAGGGCGGTCGCATGGATTCACGCACCACTTCGGATACAAGTTGGAAGACAAAAAACGACGGGAAGCAGCGTGCGAGCCCATATATGAAGAGGCAAGAGAGTGGCTCGAAAAAATGTGGAAAACTTGACCTTACGAGACTAATCTCCCACTTACCAAAATCCTCATCCCTGGTAGCCCAAGGACCTTAGGATTCAACTGCACATGTTTCCAGAACTTGTTACTGTCTGTGCTGACAAAAGCTTGAACCAGGTCGAGTTCTTCAAAAAGAAAAATATAGAAGTCTTGCTACGTGCTGAATAGCCTTGATCACCGACGTCACAGAATGATACAACTTATACCTGGTGTGATAGTACTAGAGATGAATTTAGGCTACTGCAAATCCTACAGTATGGCCAAAGTAAGGGAACGCTCACCCTATGGCTATCGGGGTTGCTATTTTTTACACCTAGGTCCGGACTACCCCTAGGTCCGGACTACCCCTTGCATCCCGCCATAGCAACCACCTGCACTAAACTGCCACTCAATCTGCGTGCACCAACCAAAACCAATCAGCCCGTTCGTCTGATCAGATGGCAAGCCTTCTCGGCAGCGCAATATTGAAAACCCGGTGCCTGAAGAGCTTCAAAGAGGTCCCATTGATCCCTCCAAGGTTCCTAAACCTTACTGGCGCACGAATGCTAGTGGTCAGAATGCCTGGTGGTGTGTACTCAGAAGGGGGGACTGAAAGCCCTCTTCAGCTTGCACCGGAAAGCTAGGTACATACATCATAATGGGAGAGGGCGCCAAAAGAAAGGGGGTTGGGGGGAGGGGTAAACAACGTAGGCTTATTAGTTTATCTTATCTTATCACCTATGCATGCTCGTGCGAACCGGTAACTACGTGTCACTTACATAATGATGAGGCTGTCAGGTTCTAGTCATGCCAGGGGAGAAGTCAGGTGTGAGGAGAAAAGGTCTGTGTGGTAGTACAAAGGGGCGTACCCAGCTAGCTCAAAATGTGGCTTCATGTCAGCATATGAGCACGATCCGAGATACACAGAACGCCCCTGGCAAAGATTACGTAGCGATAGGCCCGCGGATCTCAGGATACCGTCCGACAACTGGGCAACACTAACACTGGACAGTACTTTCTGCCACGCTCATGTATGCTGTACCACCATCTTGGATGGTGTTGACCATCTACACGGCAATACGCTGTGGGTGCTTCACGTGACGATGGCTCATGGCCAACGCCTCTCACAATCGAGATTCCTACGTACTTCACGCGAGCAATTGTAGGTGGAAGCTATTAGGCCGTCATATATTGGCATGCCACTCTGTATGCAAAAGAAGTGTAGAAGATTGTTCCCATAATAGCACTTACTTAAATGCCATTTAGATCTTCTAATCAGAGGAGGCAATGACCGCCCATCTACGCTATTACGGGGATACTGACCGTCATTGAGGACAGAGGTATGGCGCAGTGTTGTGACTGATCCATAAGCACACGTTGACCGGGAATGGACGCGGCACCTGTGGACCGAGTATCGTTCGTTGAATGCTAGGACTGGCCGCAATATCTCACGCGCAAGGGTCTTATGAAGGGCAACTTTGACTGCAAAACTCAATTTCTCCAAGCGTAGGTGGCAATAATGGAATGAGAGGAGCTGAAGTCTCGTAAATACAGGCGGGATTATCACACATGCCAGAGCAGAGCTGCATCACTCACTTTGTGACGTTAATCAAGTCCCCCGGAAGAAGGGCGCTAGTCCAGTCCCCAATAAGTGTCCAAGTACAATCCGGAACCATCGCACACAACGTCTGATGCGCCTCTCAGGCTTCTTCGCTAGTGAAGTACTCATGTCCCTGACTCAGTCATTCAGAGGCAGCCGCTGTATCGAGTTGCGCTATTGGCTTGCAACGGTGGTCAAGAAGAGGACAAAAGGACACTGCAGAGAGGCACTGGGAAGAGGCACTAGAAGGGGCGCCGGAAAGAGGCACTTAGCAGGGGGCAGCGATGCATAGCTCATGATTGCAAACAGGCGATACTCACATTTATGAGGTTCGTGGGAGCTCGATTCTGCAACCTAGACCTTTCGAAAACAGCAAAGCCTTATGCCACGGATCCAAAGCATTGCCGTGTAATCATTATGAGTTTCATCCAAAATACAAGTGAGCTTGAGGGCGTTCCTCGCGCCAACTTGGTGCGAGGTGCAGACTCCGGTTCTTATGCTCGACAGGTAGGAGCTCCGATGGCAATCCTCACCGTCCGCGCAGTGTGTTAGAAAGGAACAACAGTGTAACGTCAATCTGGACTGACAATACATTGATAGAATCCTCGACCTGAGGGCACAGATTTTGGCCACACGCTGCAAAACGACCTTTTCTTTTATTCCGGGTCCGGCTATCCCGCCGTCGGGCCAGCATTTGCTCCTGAGCTCGTGTGGGAGCCCGAGCAGATGGATGGCCATAACGACATAGCCTGGGAGGAATGGCTTTATGACGATTCACAAGGGGAAGAATATGGGGACGTAAAACTCGACGACTTTCGGCCGGTGAATAATCCCATCAACGCGGGACCTTCGTCTGCCACTCAGCATTTTGGACAACAACACAGGAGTACGCAAAGCTCTTCGGGCACTTGCCCTGAAAGTCTGAGCAACAGGAGCGGCGAGCCCTGCAATAAGTGTAACAAGTGGTTTAATCGTAGGTGGGACCTCAATAGGCATCGGCATGGCGCCCGGGGCTGTGAACCAGGTCAACGAAAGACACATGATTGTGAAAGATGCGGCAGGCATTTCCGCCGTAAGGATCATATGCAGCGCCATAAGAGATTGAGCTGTCCGATGCGAACGCAGGAACGTTTCTAGCTCCTCAGCGACCAGCACCTAAAGAACATTGACGAGACATGACTGAACGAGATTGCCACAAAGAACGACAGGGGACAAAGAAAATCGAGAGGGAGCCTGGCTCCCACTTTCTTATATCAATTGGAGGTTTCAGCTTTCTTTTGTATTTCTGGCTTCGTAGGGCGTATTTGGAGACGAGGCTGAGTTACGCCGGAGGTTGCTTCCCCTTCCGGACTTCCCTCCCTGTCAACAATCTCATTCGTGACAGGTAATTATTGATAGCTGCAAGAAGAGGTGCCTTCAGGCGTTTTCCAAGGCTTTCTTTTCATCTCCAGCCTCTTGTCGCGGGGGGGAAGGGGGCTCCTATCTTGGTGATGGGTGCGCCACTATGCAGTTCGTCAGCAGGCTCTGAGATACAGGTGGGTGGGGTTGAAATCCTCACTCATCTTGGGGAGGAGCCTTGCCCCCCTCCTCAAGCCTTTCCCTTTCATCTTGCTTTGATTTTCTGGGAGCGAGGAAACTGTTTCTACTCTGTCGTGCAATAATATGATGGCTCCTTCTATCCTTAAATGATGATTCTATCTTCCCTCACGGCCGCGCTTGCTTCGATCAATCACCTTCCTCTTTGCTCATAGTCGGTTACTCGCTCTGTCGCTCTAGAAGCATTCGGGTTACTGGTAGATCTGCAGATACAGTCCAATACTCTGTTGATCTGGCTGCCTGAACACCAACTCACCATAGTAGAGTCTGTCGGGGTGAGCCTATCTGCAACAAGACCCATCGATCGGCCACGGGTCTGCTGTTGACGGTCACTCGTTTGATTCACCATGCGCTGCAGCAACTTGATCTGCTTTGGACCCATGGCTCCCATTCGATTAGACTTGACGGATATCTTCTCGCCGTAAATACCTGTCGCACGGTGTAATTCTTGTCATATTCCCATGACACCGAGCTGGAAGGCAATGCTGTTCTTTGTGAAGTGCTGATTCTTAGCAGTCGTACCGCCGTGGATCGACCGTCCCCGATGTCCGCCGTTGACGAATCCTCGATAGTATTCGAAGTGCGGCTGATTTCCTGCCGTCGTTCGTATATATGTGAATGTACGATTACCAGCAAGGTCTCGTCAGCTATACCTGATTTCGGTAGTGTGGCGAAACTCATGGACCCTTCGCCCGTTTACCCCATATATCTCAGATGTTTATATAGTCGCCCATGGGTTGCAGGGTTTGGCGGATCGTTTCGCTATTTCTTCTGTCATAATCTCGTCGTGTCTATTCTGATGGAGAGGTGAGCATGGAATGTTTATCGTAGTTTCAACATTACGAATCGGTTGAACTATAGTTCGTGGCATAGTCTTTGTGGTTCCCAAAGTCTCACTGAGGCACGTTCCTAATTTTTCCTTCTCATGATATGGTTTGCCGTGTTCTGTGGCAAACAAGTATCATAGTTAATGCAGAGCGGACTCGCATACCTGGTCCTAATGCCGTAATGCTGCACACCCACTTGAAATACACTGTGCTGATGGATGTCTCGACTTTTGTGCTGTTAACAATCATCGACTTGGTACAATCTTCATATCTATGAAGCCTTGAGTGGGTGCGTTCGCGAAATGAAAGACGGCGGAGCTGTTGGGCTTTGGACGAAAGAGGCATTGCAAAGCAGACAGGAGCCCCGAGTCAGCTCTATAGCCAAGCCCCATATATTTGGCTTCACTTCTCCATGGTTTTCCTTCAGACTGGTTGCCCTTTCTTCAGCGGTGAGGATTATTGGCTCAAGCCTATGTACATCCCATGTGTTATCCGGAGAAGCACATGAACACTTGGCCTAGTATAGTTGGTCATTGGTTGGATAACTACCATGGTTTGGAGAGTGGCTCATCTTGGTGCACAAATAGAACAGTACACACACGGCAAGTCAAGCTGGTACCAAGCCCAATGAGTCCGTCCAAATAAGTATAGAACTAATCTTACTTCTCATCTTTGCTTTTCTTCCGACGGCAATCGAGCTTGTCTCTCATCTTACTCGGCATCTGAGAGTTACATACATCACACCACTTCTTTTTGGAAATAATATATGTTACTGAGAATATGAGCGGATATTATAACCCTCTTCCGCTCGTTTGGCTGCATGTTCCTCGCGAATGCGGACCAAAATGCGGACCAAAATGCGTCTGCGAGACGGACTGGGCGCCCCCTTTCACTGCAATTTTAACATCCGCAAAGCATGTAGTGAGGTCGGGTAGTGTGGGGCTGGTTTGTGTGGCTTAGCGTGGCTTTGCGGTTTATTTCCCGTGTAGTCATTTTTGCTACGTGTGGATTAAAAGATAACGCTCATTTTGCCCATGTAATTGGTCCCTGAGTTCTGGCGACTGACAACCTATCGTGCGTCCTGCAGGAGGCTGTATGCCTCTGATCAATCGTGTTCTATTAGACATGGCAAATTGGATTCGTCGGTAGTGACGAAAAAGACTGCCTTGACTGCTGTGGATGTCCTGAGAAACTACTGTTCTGGAACACCACTCCAGTTTATTTGGTACACGGAACGGACTTTGACGTGGATAGCAGTTCAACTCGCAACATGGCAAGCACAATTAATGGTTCGATGCAACCAGCCACGAGCCTTCGCCTGGCCACAGGAGGACGAATTGGAACTCTGATGAATACAGTCGACTTGGTGACATTGACCTTGAGAGGGGCAAAAGAATGAAGCGACGACCTTGCTGGGACTGCCGGAAGCAACCGCAGTTAAGCGAGACCGAGACTTGATTTGAGCCAGTGTCTGTAAACTACTGAGCTGAAAGAAGCCAGAAAACTCCATCTATAGCCTGGAGGCTCTAGGAGCCTAACCTTAGATCCAAATATCATTATGAACCTATCGAAACTGCAGTATGCCATCCTAGATGAAACGGGTCAAGTCACATATGTCCGCCGAAATACCGACAGTCTTACTTTTTGCTGGAATGTAAGTTGAACCAAGACACTATCGCCGAGAGGCTTCACAAATGGCTTCGCCATAGACCGCGCAACATGGGTTTGGCATGCGACTCAGGATACTTGGATCACAGGAGAAGCAGAGCTTTCAGGAATAGCGGATACAAAGACGTGATGGTTGCCTGTAATACCGTCGGATTTTGGACTTAAGCTTAATTACTTGACGCACGGTAGGAATATCCCGTCTAAGAGGAGAGCGTAAATAAGGTTTTGTGAGGAACTGAATCGTTTCATATTAGAAAAGCTAAACTTGTTTTACCATGTACATTTGTTTTTGACTTAAAATTTGGCATATATGATTCCACCTTCGGCTCCTTAAAACCTCGAATTTTAGACCCTGCATGTGCAGTGAACAACTTCTATTTCAGAGAATGAATTATTGAATCATAGACCGCAGGACATTGTAGATTCTGGTGGCACGTAATTTTTGTTACCTCGAGAAGTAACGGTGTGAATGGTATGCAATATTGCCTGTTCTCTGGAGATTCTCATCTGAATAGTCTTAGCAAATATTTCTTAAACTCTCTGAAGGCCGTATTGAATGTTTGCGATGTACTATCTACCAGATCATTGTCTTAGGACTCTCCGGAAACCGGTCTCGCTCTTAATGGTTGCATCCTGAGTCACAAAATACTTCCCTGCGCTGAGGTTACAAAAGCACAGCTGCAGAAACAAATAAGTATCCGGGAAATCAAATTCCTAGGTTCTGTCTACTTACCTTTACTTCTTCGTGCGTCTTGGACGCACTGGAGCAGAGATGAGCTCCTGTCGCCTGTGATAGCTCAGAATCCTTTTTACGTCTCACTTCAAGCCTGAGGAGAAATGTACAGGACAAGGCTTCCCAGTTTATTCCCCTTCCCTCTAAGTACTGACACCATGCTTTTGAAATATCCAACGTCGGCTTGGAGTGGAAGATTCTAGGAAGCAGGACTCTGGGGAAGTAGAAATCTAGGTGCGCCCAAACCTGATGGTTGACGCTCTCAGGTTCAAAATATACCTCACACGTCCGTATGTTGTGTGCAGGAAAAGATGAGAAAACCTTGAAGAGAGAAAGGCGAGAGATACATCGGAGATGCCTCACGTGGGCCCTGGTGAAGTCGGAAACGGCACGGGCCAGGAAATCAGCACTGAATGGGTCTGTGACATCGCCACCATGACGCTGCGTACTTTCCCAGAATATCGCACGAGCTTCACAGTAAAACCGTCTACAAGTGAGCAAGATCGCCTCGCGCCCATTTGTGGAAAATGCGTCGGACTGTCCTTGTCGCACCCTGTTGAATATGTCTAGTCGTTTCGAGGGCGTAAAGACGACCTCCGAGTCCTCGAACAGATAACGATATATGTCAATTAAGAGCTCTGTAGGTAGCGCGCTCAAACAGGCTGCACCGTGTTGGCGATGCACCTCGTCGGTTTGGTGGCCTTGACGAGTCAGCGGAAGCGGTCGTTGAAGATGCATTATACAGCGAAAGTGGGTAACTGTCGATTTATGGGACGATATCGGCCTTTTTTATGGGCTTAACAAACAGCAGGTACTTAAGCAGAAGTCGAGTTCCGTACGGAGGCGAAATTGGACCCTGAATGGCGGGGTAAATTGTAGATCACCTGGTCCAAGAGAAAAGGGGCCTTGGGCTTGCTGCAAGGCACTAAATTTGGCAATATCGCCGCCTAGGCGCTACGCATTCGGTAAGTGCGCCGGCATCCTTCATTTCATCCGGCACACAATTATCAAGACAGATTGGCTTCAAATGAGAGACTCTACTCTCTGATTTTAATTAATACTGTTTCACTGGTAATACTATGGTTGTGGACACCTTGATATACGATATAAATCAAACCGTCAATTTTATGTATCTAATAAATGACTGTTATGTGACCCAATTATAAGTCCAAGCATAGTTGTAGTCAGCTCTCCCATATGTATTCTCCTTTTTGAAACCCCGTTTCCCCGGAAAAAGTGTTTGCCTTCTTTTTCCCGAACAGGGCCAACTTTCAAGCCCATCTGTGCTATGAGAGGCGGCCATATAAACTCTCCCAAGATTGTCAGACCCGCATTGTTTTCCGATATAGCACAGGTTATACTCCAGGTAGTTGATCTGCAACGTGGTTCATACCGGGCTCTTGCAGGTGAAGCTTGTAGCAACTCCGTTCTGAAACGCGGTCGTAAGTTGAAAGATTGCAGCGTAGCAGCCCAGCGCGCAGCAAACTAGACCGCTCAAGAAATAAATGATATTGAAGATGTTGAGGAAAGGTCTTTGCATGAAACCGCGATAGTATCGCTGAAATCCTTGATCCTGAAAGCTGAAAGTGCCCGTCGTCGGGTCGAATTGCTCGTTGGGCATCATGGCATCTTTGCGAGACCAGAAAACGATTGCCGCCAGTGCTGGTAACGAATACGTGAACATGACAGTGAAGAGCGCAGCGGCCAGGCTAGATACATAGGCAAGTTGAGGTATCGCGCCGGCTACTATGAAACCGACAGACCAAAAGACAGGACTGAGTATGCTCCATCTCACTCTACCGGATGATGAGTTCAATACTGGGAAATTACACAGTGGCTCGAGGACTTCGATGTATAGTATCTTGAGGCCAATATTTCCTGACATTTTCATTAGAATGTACCCTAAAACACAAGTCGTCACTTACCATAAAGCCCAGTTGAAATCAAATTTGTGAAGAGAGTAATCGCGTTGAGGGTCGTTTGCCAACGAAGATTCGAAATGCCTTGCATTGCTGGGGTATAGGTGAACTGCCCATGCCAATGATACACAAACATTCCAAAGACCACGTAAAGAGTATATATGAAAAACTGGGCACAAAAAAGACTCTTCCAAAAGTCCATTGGTCGCCTCATTTCTGCGAGGAAGAAGATGAAGAGAGATGTGCCACCAAAACAGAGCATTGCTTGATTGAGGCCGTTCAGTGTCGCAACGACTAGGACATGTCAGTCAAGGTGTTTAGCAGCATCATTTCTGAATCTCAAAGGTCAGAAACTCACTACATCATGTTAGCACTTATGATTAGTGTCGGGCTAAGGGGAATGACCACCTGTCGCAAATAATACGGGCTGACTTACCATCCAGAACCCCCCGTTGCGAGTCCGTCTGGCGGAGTCCATGCAAACGTTTGTATGGCGGCGGGCTGCCATTGAGGTCCGAACGTGGCCTCTATTGCTGCAAAATTGGGAGGATACTTAGTAGCTAATACCATCCTTATACAATCAGCCTAGGGGGTTAACGTGACTTGATATATAGAGCCTTACACTAGGATTATCACGAGCAAGTTGAACCAAACAGAGACACTGGCTAACCAGCCAACCTTTCTCAATGTTCGGATCTGGCCCACAAGAAAACCGGCAAGGGTGAATACTAGCAGACAAACGATGAAACACAAGCCTGGTTGATCCCCGTTCACTCCGTAAGACATTTGGGATATTGACTGGCCACTTATGAGTATGATGAGTCCTTGTACGAACATTAGCTGGATTACTTGGGAGATGTTGACAAAATGTTTCATCCGTGTGCCAAACAGCCTCTCGAATATGTCGGCGTAGTTGCGAATCGGGTGCTGCTCTGCATCGAGGCCAATGAAAATCTTCCACAGAAGCCAGCCTGAGTATGTCGACAGACCCCCGATGGCCGTGTACAGGAGAAATCCTGGGCCATGTCCCATCTGCGCAAATGACCAACTGCTTCTGGTGAGACGGAGAGAAAAGGCGCAAGATTCAGCAATTGTTCATATACGTACGGTGCTTGGGATGGGCCGAAGATATCGGTCACGATCAGATAAGCCACACTGCCCCAAGTGGCGACCCGTGCAGAATGAGCGGCATTGTCGGCTTCCAAGCTGCTCAAGTAAGGCACTGGGTTGAGAACTTCATTTTTGGCAGGTTCGTCACGCTGGCTCGTGGGTGTGCTTTCGTCTGGTGGAAGTCCGCCAGCTAGGTCGGGTTTTGCCGTGGCCTCCTTCGTTGACGGATTGCGCAAGGCTGTCCTCTCACGGTTCTGAAAACGTCCTGCTGCGACTGACTGTTCCGCAGAGCGTGTAGCGGATGCATAGTAGACATATGCTTCAAAAGACAGAGATTTACGAGACATAGGAGTGGATGAGCTCTAGAACCAAAGACCTTTGGCGCTGGAGAAACAATATGGCGGCTTTTAAGAAGGGTCACTCAGTCGACTCAATTCCCTGCGATGAGCCGTAATGAATGTCCATGAATCTTATATGCATGACACGGACTCTGGGGGCTTAAGACATACGGAGGCGGCATGGTATACTCGTGTCATCTTGGAAGCCTTTATTAGCTTTCAGCCTTGCTAATGGCCAGATGCCGGGCTAGACGTTCTATGCAGGAAGAACCGGGGTTGTGCATAGGCCAACTAGCCTGCGGTCATATGCAGCAGCAGTACCACCCATTGATGCCGACCTCAAACCAATCAATGTGTGCATTCAGATTGGTCGCGCAAATGAGGTTTCGCGGAACGATGAACATGCCCCAGATGTAACGCTGACCATGCACTAAGCTGCAGATGAACCATACGTCGTCACGCTCGGCTGTCAAAACAAAATGTGTAGTGCAATTGATTGCGCTAGTAGAATGTGAGTACTGGAAATGCAGTCCAATTGAAAGTTTTGAAAGTATTGAATCGGCCCCGAGTGAAGCGGTCTTTGATGACTACACAACAAAATATCGAAACCCGCATTAGGTGGTGTGGCCCGGGGTCTCGGCTTTATTCTGCGATGCATAATCTAGAGTTCAATGTTCATTCGTGGCAGTGACTTATTTCAGCGCGGGACTCTCGTTGACTGGTGGCCACATCATGGGCTGCAGCCTCCCAGCTCTACGTAGGCGAATCAAGTACCGGACTGTTAGCGGTCGGTCCCGAATATGGAAAAGGCAACTTGAGATAATCATTGTGTTGCAACCTGCTTGGGGAGTATCGCGGCACCACCAAGCTCGCCTCACATCTGTAGCACACGCTCGCATTGCTATTCTGGGAAGAGAATTCATGCAGGTTGTTCAGTCGTCAATTCGTGATTGATAATCTTAAGCCATCCAAGACTTCATTCGGCCCTCTCCACGGCCTATATGCTCTTCTACAATTACTATGTGGCCTTCACGGCGGTCACAGCCTACAACTCGGCTTGCTTCGCTGCATCGCCCGTCAACTGGGCGTTCTGCTCTTGCGACTCTGTTCGGAAACTCTTGAACTGGCGCGCCGGGACCTTCTTCGTGAACATCTCGTCAAGTTCTTGATACGAACGGCCTGCTGTCTCTGGCTGGTAGATGAAGAGGTACACCAGAGAGAATACAGCTAGGCCTCCAAAGATAAACGCGACCTTTGCGCCCAAGTTGGCATAATCGGGGTTGAAAAGATACGGCAGGACAAAGAGCCAGATCATGTTGAGAATGTTTTGCAACGCGAAGCCGATAGCGACAGTCTTTCCTCGTAGTCGTGAAGTGGAAACCTCCTATATTTCGGATGATTAGTATCGTACCATTTGACGACGTTCGAGCTGAGTGTGAACTTACAGCCAGAATTGTATAGGCCGTTGCCCCGATGGTCACGTTGTACCACCAGCAGTACAGCAAGATCATCGCAATCGTCGCCTTGATAGGGCCTGGGGTTCCGACAGTAGCGCAAGCTGCCATGACGAACAGGATTCCGGTGAGGACGAGTAATCCGTAGAAGGTCAAGTTCCTTCTTCCAACACGGTCCACAAGGTACCACGAACAGACATTGCCAAATAGGGACAGCACCTGTTGACCGATCTGCAGCTTGAAGCTCTCCGCTGTGCTATACCCAGCCAGTTGCATGTAGTAAGTCGAGTAAGAGGCGGCGAAAATAACACCAGAAAGCGACTGGATGCTTAGTGGCATGATCGAGATGATCGTTCGCCGCAAGTTCGTCTTGCGGAAGCATTCCATATATGTTGCACCCTCGGTCTCCTGCTTGACTTTGTCGAGTGTCTGCTGAATCAACGCAAGCTTGGAGACACCCTGCTCGCCTCTATGGCCCAGTTTAGCCAGACTCTTGAGTGCGTCGTCCATTCTCCCCTTGGACGCAAGCCACCAAGGCGATCTATCCAGGTCAGACATTGTGGAATCGAGGAGTGATGTTGGTAATCTTACTCGGGCATGAAGAAGACTCCGATAGCAGCAATGACGGCAAATCCGTACTGTGCACAGAATACTGGAGAAGAATAATATTAGCCCAACTCCGAAACAGAGCACTTGGTGAGCGAACGCGCGCAAACATGGCCGAGGGAAAACCCAAGTTTACTGACCTGCTCTGTAGGCCCACCGGCTCTCAAACTCGCCGGTGTAGTTAACGATGATTGCCACGGTCAAGGGACCGAGTGTATATGATAGAGCGTTTAGGCAGGTGAACACTCCACGAAGGGCAAGGGGTGTAATCTGATATACGGTGAGTATTCTCACGCAATTATTCCCGACCACCGAGAAGACTTACTTCGCCAATATAAGCCACGGTCAAGGTAGCAATGGCACCGACGGCGAATCCATTGATAAACTTCCCCGCGAAGAACACGGCATTAGTGGTTGCGATGAACTCGACTGTTACTGCAGCAAAGGTGATGACGAAACAGCCTATCAAGACTCCCCGTCTGCCGATGAGATCTCCGATTTGACCGCAGGCCAATGATCCTACGATACCACTTGGCGACTACATGTTAGAGGGCGGTAAGCAGACGATAGACAGAGTCACCACTTACGAGGCCACAGGTGCTCCAGAAAATGCCGATTGCCAGCTAGCCTTTTCCAACTCATTAGCCCGGCGCTCACCGATACCGTCGAGGGTTTTTGACTCACAGGGAGTGTCCATTCGCCTTGGTAATTATAGCCAAAGTCCTTGCGGAACTCCGGGATGCTGATGACGCTGCCAGCGGCCTGGTTCTCGAAACTGACCAACAAGACGCACCACACGGCGTACATGCACCAGAAGCAGGCCAGGGGGTACTTTTTCAAGGAAGCCCACTTGCCGACCTCATGCTCTTCCAAGTTGGCGAGGTTGGCAAGGTCTGTCTGCGTTTCCACGGCAGGGTCCTCGACGTGGCCCAGGTTCTTCTCGTCGATAGCCATGATGACTCAAAATAGGGGAAAGACAACCAAAGAATAGCCGCCTGCTGGATGATGGAGTGCGGGAATCCGAAGTGATCTGCAGACGCACCGCCGGCCGTCCTTTATATAGAAATCCACCCACGAACCGGTTACCACTGCATCGGAAGAAGAAAGGTCGTGTGATTGTCGACGCCGCGAAGACATCATGCAAAGACCCATAATTCCCCCAAGGTCTGCTTGCGAACCGGGTTGGGGTTGGACCTGGGGGCCCGCGATCCCGCAATTCCCTCGCATGGCCTGGATCCGGGGAACCGGCATTCGGGGGAGACCTGTCACGGACAGGGACCAGACCATGGCCTGATGCCAGGGGAGGCCTAGTGGCCGCGGTGAAGCCCATTAATGCGACAGCCCAGAGAGTGATCTCGTGCACTAAGTGCCAGTTTCATTAGCTGGCTAGCCGCTTCTGGTCGCCACGACTCCTCCCGCCAGCTGCTGAAGAATGCAAGTCGGCAGTTTCATTGGCCAACGACCGTGGGGCGGGGATATAGTGCTAATAGTGCCCTCGGATCTGGCTAAACCTCGGCCAGCGGGCCCATCCGAAATAGGAAGTTTTAGGAGCTACAAAATTCCGGGCTCTCGTCTACCACCGCAGCAGCGCCAATTATCTCCCAACGCGGGCGCCATTAGCTTCCTGTCTGATGTTCTGCTCATGCCCAATCCCGAATTGTTTGAAATGATATCACGCCTCATGGGAAGAGAGTGGTTCGATACATAACTCGCGATCCCGTTAGTATCGTCATTCGGTCTTTAGCCTTATGCGTCGAAGCAACCTCTGAAAAGCTTCTACTGCGTGTACCAGCGCAACTAGCGACATCATAAGCGGAATACAATGTTACGTGGCTTTTCGCCTTCGTTGCGGTCACATGTTCAACTTGGACAGAATGAAACTCTGCAATTATTTTATATTTGGTTAGGCAAAAGACATGTCAGGGTTGTCGCCGACAGCATCCACTGCTTTTCCGGAACCTTTCAGATCCTTGTTTGTACACTGTATCAAGATCCTCCGGTAGCTCGTGAGTGGCGGAGTACCGTTGTCGGTCACCTCTAGGATGAGGTGCATCAACTGCCCCTTGGCTACGGCCTGCCGGCTCATCAGCTCGACGGCGCACTTCTCTGGCGGCGGAAGCTCGACCTCCACTTTGCGGCTGTCTGCGTCCAAGGGCTTAATTTTCAGCTCCTCCACCTCAGCCTCAACCCACCACTGGGTGGCAGTCGGCTCCCTGTAGTGCCACCACTTGAATGTCAACTTGTCGCCCTCGTCAGGGTCGTAGGTCTCTGACGCGTCAAGAACGAATGAAGAGCCTGCCTCGCATTCGATGAACACAGGCTCAAAGCTTTGGCTACCATTGACTGATATGACCGGGTGGTGGTTCTTGGACCCGAAGTCTTTCGAGAGCGTCCATTGCATGCGGGCAGCAAAGTCATTCTGGAAGGTGTCCCTCCATCTCCAGACAGTAGCCTGATTCGATCTGTATGTTCTTCCATCCAGGCCTGTTACCGAGTCTGCGGCATCGTGATGATGACGGCTACATACTCCATTTCCGCTGATGTCTGTCAATGCGTATCGTCCTCCCCAAGAGCCATAGTCTGGACGTTCTGAAACACCCAGGCCGTTCTGAATGAGATACAGGAATGTTGGTGTATCGCCCTCAGGAATAAACATATAGTTGGGGTAGGCTGATCCAAGAGGCCCGATCTGGATGTTCTCCCTCATCCATTCCTTCGTTAACTTGGAAAAGTCCGGGCCGCCTTTGTCGAACCCATAGAAGTTGTCTCCAGAGATGCCCGTCCATGCAGCCAGACCATATTGGTTCCACGCATGCAGTGATACGATATAAAACACCGAAGGAAAGTTGTTTCGGATCCATGCTCCAGTGTCATCCTGGTCAGAGATGGCATAAACTCGCAGTTTTGAGTACAGCTTGGTGGCATCCTCGTCGCTACGGCTGTTGCGAATCTTCAGGAGAACCTGAGCGAGGACATTCGTGCCACCCCAGCACAGCACCCAAAGGGGCCTATCGTCCTTGGCGCATACGCGCTCCAGTAGCAACTCTCCCGCATCGCTCAACGGGACATCATCACCGACAGCGGCCATGCCATACACGTTGGGGCCACTTCGAACCAATGACTTCAAAGACTCGGCCGACGGGTAAGGTGCATCAGGGTGAGCATGCGCATTCAAGTTGTCAACTGCGCCAGCGTATGCATCAAGGATCTTGTGCATGTCCTGCGGACATACTTTTGTCTTCATCCAATTTGATGTGACGGCACCGAACCCTTCTGTATTGAACTGGTTCGAGTATAGCAGATATCTGACGAGGGACTCGGCATCGTCTGGTTCATTCGAAATATCTGACAGGATAAAGACCCTTGGGCGCTGGGGGTAGGAGATGCATCGAGCGGCTTGAGACATGGTGAATAGAAATCTCGGTATGCCGTTTTCTGCGCTTTGCAGTACAGGATACGGTCTTTCGCTTGATTATTAGTTGAGTCCCTCGCTTGTTCTCTCGATAGGCGTTTTGTAGTGAGGAGAAGGACTGCTACTCACCAAAGCATTGGTGTTGTGGCTAAACTACTTCCCCATCTTCGTGGCTTCACTGAGGTGGTTATTATTTCCTGTTTGGGAACGCATGCAACTAGACAACCCGCTCCCCAGAGAGAATGACATGCATCGATCAAATAAACGTCAAAAAGTTTCCGGCCCCGTGGTTCGGTCCACAAATTTACCACGTGTATCTCCAGACTTTACCCAGACTTCTACCATGCTCGCCGAAACGCGGCCTAGATCCACTTCCAGTTCGGAAGTGCACGCGTCAAGTCGGATGCCGGAGCAGCAACGTTCCCCATTGAGCATGACTCGTGGGACGGCCAATATGATCGGGCTGGCCCATGCGCTTTGCCTGCCAAGGCGATTCTTGCACTCCTTTTCCCTGGATTCTCGTGGAACCTGGTGGCGGCGTCGCCGACACGCATTTCAGGGGCCCCGAATTGCTCGTTCCAACCCGTGAGCCTGCCGTCCAATGCTCTTGTTAGCCCGGGAGAAGATCCTTAGACCATTCTCATCGTCTCTAGCCAAGGCTATGAATCTTCAGCTGCTCGACGGCTTGGGCGCAAACGATACAAGAACGCGCTAAAGAGGGCCGACTGCCGAGTGCATTGATATTGGCGTAGCTCGATAAATTCAAATCATTTCGTAAGCCCGCTCCAGTGCTAGCATTAAGGATGCAAGATGGAGCAGCTGATGTCTGTGCACACACACGAGCTCTGTGAAGCTATTCACGCTCGAGCTGTGGATAATTATAATTTCAATCAATGCTTTTGGAGGGGTAGATGCTTGCGAACTGGGAGCGATCGACCAATTTGAGCCTAAGGCTTTATTGCAATTCAAATTCGAGAACCTGCACTGAATAACCCGAGCGCTTTATAACATGAACAAAGGTCGCACGGATGCATTATTTGCGTGGAGCAACACATCTACGGCTTGTCAAATGTTGGTCTAGAACTTGACATCAGGCCTTTCGGCTGCAGCACCCCAGGTAGCCAAGCTGGACAAGATTTTCAGAGAGCTAGAAATCCGTTCGTGACATATCTAGCCCAATATCGAAGCAATAGTACTAGTAAGTCAGTGTGGTTACATCTCGCCGTGACCCGATCTTTGTTGACATGGATATTGTATGGATCCAGTTTTCACCTTGACTGGTATGGCTTTAGGCGATTCTCTGAGGCTTGGGTGCCACGCGGAATGCAGCCAACTTGTACTCTTGCCTTATGTCGTTTGTCTCCACTTTATACCTGTCCTAATGACCAGATCTGCCCTCACGAGGTGGCTAATATAATGTGTGCTGCACACAGGACTGTCATATCTTACGATATCGACACTCCGCCTGGCTTTGGGTACAATCTTGTGCTGCTCATATGTTCCCAATCTCAAGGAACTAATCCATTTAGATGAGTTGGTCATGAATCAAGGACTAATGGGACCTTTATGGGATCACCTGGGCATCAGTACAAGAAAGTGAGATGACATTCGCGGCCTCATAGCTTCAGTAGCCTGTACCGGTAAGGCTATGAGGCACCAGTTAGATAGGTTTCATCACCTGGAAAACCTGATATAACATGGCACGAAACATATTGTCTGCGGGCGCGGGCGTTGTCTCTGTGGATTAGGACGAATCATCGGATTAAGCAACACGGTGAACTTTTATGCGCCAAAGTATGAAGACGCGTTGTCTGAGATGCGCAACTGATGCACGATAACTAGCCGCTGGCATAAAATTCATGGTCACCTGTTAGCTGCCGTCTAACCCACTCGATATATCTATCTTTCTACAGGCATATTCGATTATCGCATACCGATTATCAGAGTTTGATCACGTTTTGGTGAGCGCTGTATTTGATATGCGAGATGCAGGAAGAAACTTGTGTGACGACATCATTGAGCCTCTAAACGCAGATGAAAGACGATGCCACTGTCTGATCTCCGCCTAAGTAGTGCTGAACCTTAGGGTACATGCAGAGATCTCTTTCAACATGTACACCAAGTCCGTTCTGCCCCGAGGCCTGTAGTGTGTCAGGAGCTGCACCCTTCTCCACCCAATCAACAATGTAATCCAATGTGGGTGGCGGAGCCGGCCCGCAGTTGAAGCAATGGCCGGAGCCAGGAGCCACGAAAAGCCGGTAGTAGTCCGCAACCTCTGGGTCGCGGCTCAAAACATGGTCGTAATAGTGAGTGCTCCCATTCAAGGGGATAGCAGCATCCACGGTACCGTGCCAGTTGACCATCTTGCCGCCCCTTTTCTTGAAAGCAGACAAGTTCGGGTCAGAGGTTCCGATAATGGAGTCATACTCGTTGATGGAAGTGTGTACAAGCTCATCCCATTCTTGATGGGTGATCTTCCTCATGTCGAATGAGGGGTCCTTCTTGACCCAGTATCGAACCCATACATCATTTAACTCGGCTGTGCAAGAGCTGTCTTCGTTGCATCGAACCTGAATTGGGCCGGTGATTGGCTGCGTCAAGTTAGTCCCCTTGCCGAACCCGTACCATTGGAATTCGCCTGTGGAACTTCTAGGTCCATCCCATGTCTTCTGAATGACATCTGCAGCCGCGGAAGACACTGTAGCCTCAACACTATTGCAGTGAATCTTCGTGCCAACGACCATGTGAGGATCAAAATCACAGAGATCTTCTCTAGAGATGATCCCGTCTTCTAGTCCGTCCAGCTTATCGCAAGCTGACACAGCTGCAGCTGTGATAGCATCGAGCTCGCATGGTTGCGGATAGGTCCGCATTTGATCCATGACGAATATTGGCCAGTAGTTGGCGAAGAAGAACCTGACCCAATTAATGGCAGGAAATAGCGCGATGATGCCGTCGTAGTCCTGTGGATATCTCTGTGCAAGCATGTGACCTTGCCTGCCACCCGTTGAACCGCCATGGAAGTATGAGTACATTGGCGCGGTGCCGTAGAACGCTTCTGCGACCGCCTTGCCAATAGTTGCTGTATCGTGCAGTGCAACGGAGGCAAAGTCCATGAGCAGTGGCCAGTTGACGTTGCCAGGGCTGGTCAGAGCCCATGAAGGTTCGTAGAGTTCCGGGCCAAGAACGTCTGTCGTATGCCCACCGTCTGTGGTAGCAGTAGCGAATCCTGTGGCCATGATCGGCATCATCAAGAACTCCGCAAGCATTCCTCCCCCAGTCGTGAAGGCACCCCCGCCAAATCCCGCGAATCTACCGTTCCAATCGTTTGTGGGGAGCAGGATGTTGACGTTAATAGTGTCGTGCCAGCCGGGGTGTGTGTACGTGACGGTGACATTGCAGAAGTTGAGATCAGGAATCGGGTTAGAATCCGCCAGGCCGGCTGCGAAGGGCCCCGGAACGTATGTATAATTGCGCTCATCCAAGGCTTCAATCGACAGTACGCTCACCCCAGTGATATCGGGGAGAGTTATACCCGCTGGGCTGCACCTATCAGCAGAACCCATTGAGGATTGAAGAAGCCACTGGTCTGCCCAGCCTGAGGGGTTCCAGCCGCCAAGAGAATTCCACAGCATGTTGACAATAACTTCCAGTGAAATTCTTATGATGAATCCCAAAATGTAGTTACAAAGCCGGCGGTCACACAATCACGGCGTTGATGCGAATGGCAGCAATTCTGAACAATAAGCGCCTGCACGAGAAAAGTACGGGGGAAAAGCGATAGTAATTCGCAGCGTACCGGTCGTGTCTTTTTAAAACCGACAATTATTTACCTCGCATGCTTTGTACATCCATACAAATCGATACAAGGCTTTGGATTCATCATGTTGTGTCGATCTGATCCGTTACACCGTCAGCCCTAGGGGCGAACGGGGGTGGCCTGATTCTCTCGCGCAGCCTTCTGCGGAAGTGGCAACCTCGGTGTGGTTCCTCGAAGTAACTGCACCCGTTTGACATATTAACGTGATCCTGTATTACCTGGGCTGAGTTTCTGACCAACGGGATTGAACGGCCATTTGCCTAGTGTTTATCGTTTTTGATTCACGATGAATCATTGTGTGACTGGGCCGTTGATGCATCTCTAGCCTGCATTGGAGTACCTAATTGACCGAATGGGCAGTCTCCTCAGACCATCAGCCCCGCACGCCCCGCATCTTTATCCCCAATTCGCCATAGCATCATAGCCCAACTAGAACCTCGTCCTGTACCCCGAAGTGCGTATGTGGCTGACAGATTCTTACAACTTCTTGTCCCTTCTCCAGTGCGTGCATAACAGTTTGAATAGAACATGTCTCGGTGCCGCAGTTTCATGCGGGTTCAATGGCCAGAGCATGCCTCCGCCATGTTGAAGTACACATTGAGTGGACGAACTCACGAAATCCCACATCCCCGGCGGACCACCAACTGGGTGTAAAGACCCCAGTATCAACTTGACATTTCCCACTGTCTGATATAATAGTTGTCACCACACGAATGAAGTCAGGTAAAAGGAAGCCTAACATTTGGCACTTGACTGCGTAGGCTGGGAGGCTTCCTCTGCCAATAGCGAAAAGGTACTGACGAGGCCATGGACTATCGTAGAACCAGTGTCATTCAGTACCATGGTACCACAAAATGGAGCGTAGTGACACAAATGAATTTGATAGCTACCTATTTATAGGTAGATGAAGCCGAAAGAACAAGACATATCCTACTCTTCATTTTTCTGAGCCTTAACCTTGTTGAAGAGTATCCTGCCCAGAGCTACACTGGGCTCATCCACCAACCGCCAGTAGTAGTCCGCAACGACGACGATCATAGCAAAGACAATTACATACATAGTGTAAAAGCTCGCATCAGTAGACCAGCCGAAGTCGCCAAATAACTTCAAGATTTCGACGCCAGGGGCCAGGTATATCAACCAGTGTAGCAGATAAAAGGAAAAGCTGATGTCGCCAAGGTAGATCATAGGTGGTGTCGATAACAACCACTGCACCCACGGTAAGTTCTCGCACGCTACTAGCAGCAAGAATCCTCCCACACTGCCCCAGAAGCACACGGTGGCATCGTTGTTGCCTTGGTATAAGATCGGGACCAGCCCTACTAGAGTGTTATACGGCTCGACTCCCTGGTGCCCGCCCTGCGGCCAGCCCATGACAAATATCGCAAAGACAAGCAGGCCAGAGAAAAAGGCCGTTTTGAACAATTGGTGGCGGTGGTCGCGCCCCGAGGATTTTAGGCCCAGGTCCCCAATCGGTGCCGGCTGCCACGAGCGACGATTCGACGTTAAGAATGCGAAGTCCTCGGATAGGGGGTTGAAGCGCAGCTCGGCCAGGAACATACCAGCCATAAAGCAGAAGACCTCCCAGTGGCCGAAATGAAGTGCCCAGAGGGCAGAGACGGCGATGACAAGCTTGCGGCAACGCTTGCCCAGGTCGGCCACGGCGACGCATAGCATGAAGATGATCATCGATCCGCGGTACTCCACACCTAAGGTCCAACAGTGGTTAAAGGAGGTCGGCGCGTACACGGACCACAAGTAAGGATCCATAACGGGTAATGTAAGGGATACATAACCCATTATGTGGCCCCAAAAGGTCTGGTTATTATCTCGCCATGTACCCGGGGGAAAGATCGGATAATACCACGTAACGATGCAGGTGATAGAGGCCAATACGATCAAAGGCATGAACAGGCGGATACCACGGCGGACCATGGACGAGCACAGCTTCCCAATGAGGTCGTCAGACGATCTGGTGTTGGACGAACTGTTTGACAACCTGGCCGATATCGTGCGGAGGGGAGAGTAGGCCAGTACGAAACCTGACAGTACGAAGAACAGGCACACCATAGCCTTTCCAGCCAGCACAATGCGCACGAATGGCAGCTGGCTTATGCCGTAGTTCAGTTCTGCAGGAGCCGCGCCCCAGGGGTTGGCGAAGGCTTGATAGTAGTACGACACGACGTGAAATGAGTAGACGATAATACATGCTAGGCCTCGGATGCCGTTCATATATGTTGTCGAGGTCACCTTGCTCTGTTTCCGTGTTGCTTTGCCGCACATTGCTGCCAGAAACCAGGGAGCAAGGACCCAGAGCCGATGGGAGCGGCCGCCATTCGGCTGGGCCCAAGATGGGGCTTGGCCAGCATCGTTCTTGGGAACGGCTTCCTCGATGTCGTCAATGGATTCATGGGGGATTTGGTAGTATTCGACCTCGGGTTCTTTCTCATTGTGAGGCTCGAGCAGCTTGGGTGTGAGAGGATCGAGGTTGGGCATGTCGGGATCCGGGCTTTGGTGAGCAGTGCGGAACGACGGAAAACGGAAACGTGAGCTACCAGGATGGTGTAAACTAGCTGTCGATCAGCCCGCTGCACATATATGTATGCCCCTTTAACGCGTATGGAAGAACCCCACGTGCCCGCTTCATGGAGTATACGGGGGTCATGATGGTCCTTTCGCTGATCTTCGTGCGCCACTGATATGATACTATTTTATATCTAAGCTGCCAAAGACACAAGAGAGTCAACGCCACCGCGGCAGGGGCAAAAACACAATTTGGCTGTAGCTATGCCGGCTATGGTCGGGAAAGAGGATTTCCTTGCGAGGTGAGGTAGGAATATTGGTACTAGAACTTCGAGGACCCAAGGCGACACCGTTCACTGGTGGGGTTTCGTGCACATTTTGCTTGTCGCCCACAGGACGTGGCTTGTTTTGTCCGTTATGTTTGCTTTTTCACGAAATGGTAGAACTGGTAATTTTGCGATTAGGGGTTAAGAGACAATTTGTCGCACTTGAGAGGCCTCAGATGTCTTTGATTGATTAATTGCCACAGTCAAATAGGATTATTGACATAAGTAAAATTTGCAGGCGCTCTTTAGTCCCTGGCAAAACCATGGTCAACATGCCGCCACAGCGAAGCTGCATCACCACCCATGCCACGCCATGCGAACCCCCGAGCACGAGAGACGCAAACTCAACAGACCACGTGCAGACTAAGGAGAGTATCTATCAACAGCCACGAACCTGTGCACCCTGTGCTACTGGGCAAGTGTCGCCTTAGCTGAGAATGCCGGCCAGGTCGCGTCAGTTCCTGTACCTGCATGGAGTTTTCACACCCAAGTCGAGAGCAACGGCGACATACGAAGTTGTAATAGAAGTCAAATCTGACATGGGCTGTAAAAGATGACCAATGCCCATTTCAGACCGAACCCTCAGTGTATGACTACTAGATCCTAAGGTAACATTGTTGAACTACTGCATTATGTCGGAAAGGCATATGAGCCATACGATCGGTCTACTGCTATAAAGCTCACTAGGAGTCCATTGGCGTTGTAGCACTTGATTGTCGATCTTGCTTTTTCCGCGGCGAAAGTCAAGGGCCTCGATTGAATCTTTCAGCGTGAGATCAGCAGAAGCGCCACTCCCGTTCACCGGCTGGGGATGAAATCCGTGTCTTCTGGGACAGTAACAGCCCACTCTCATCCCTTCCCGCCGGGCTCCATCCGGCTCTTCGGCCTGATTTTGCAGAAAGATGAAAGTGTATCGCCACAGTGCCATCTGTCCCAATAGTCTCTCTCGGCTTAGAGAAACTGACCTCTACCCTTGCAAGTTCTGACTATTGGAGGCGGCCTAGAGAGGGGCTTCAGATCGTACACCAACGCGGGTTCGATACACGGCACTGACAGCGTCCAAGTACACACTCATGTCTTCGAGACCGGTAACTCACGGGGAATCTTCTTGCCCCGAATGCTGACCACTGGAGATGTGGAGCACAATCCGGATCCCAATAGTCGGTAACCGGTCCCCATCTTAAACCCCACCTTCGCCAGTAGGACACCGCCCCGGAGCCGGTGCATAGACGAGGGCCGCATATTTAGATCTCTCACCGGCCAGTCATCTACCAATTGCACTGTAGCACGCAGACTAGCCATCCATGCCTAACCATGGACGTTTCACCACCTGTCCGGACTGGTAATGGATTGTGACGCAGGGGATCGAGCGCTAGGTTGGTGACCGCCGGACAAGGCGGCGGAGTGCACTATGTGCTTGTAGCCGAAAGTTCATGATGCGAGACGAACAAGCATGTCAACAATCCTGTCTATCAGGTAGTCAGTCGATATGGCCAAGTATATAGCCTTAGTTTGACCCTTTCCTCATTGCAGCATGTGTATGGTCAGTTGATCTCAGTCACGAAGAGGCCATCTTTTCCCAATCATAGCGCGAAACATGTCAGCACTTAAAGCCGGGGATAGTTTTCACGATGCTCCGCCGCTGGGGAGCGACCGTGGATCATTGGAAGCTGAAGCACCTGCCCTTCTCCCGATCATCGACAGCCAGCCGGGCATCCATATCTATGCGCGGTCTCATGAGAAGTTCACCGCGCTTAGCAGGACAAAATGGGAGACCACGGATATGACACCCCTTGCGATAGCCAGACCTATGAGCGAAGTTGAGATCTCTGCGGTGGTCGTCGTGTGCACTCAAGCAAACATCCCCATTGCCATTCGGAGCGGAGGCAATGATGTTTCGGAGCGATCCCGTGTTGATGGCGGCGTCGTCATTGATATGCGTTCGATGGACTCCATGATCCTGTCTATGGATCGCCAGTCAATCCGTATCGGAGGCGGGGTGAACTCAGGTAACCTGCTGAAGTTCCTAGACAAGAACGCTCTGGATACGCCCTGTGGATGGGGTCACGAAATCGGCTACGCCTCATGGGCTTGCGGCGGGGGTTACGGGCTCGAGTGTGGTACAAGGGGTCTCGGGGTTGATCAGATAATTGCTGGTCGAGTTGTCACCGCTTCTGGTGATGTCTTGGAGGCGCAGGAAGGCCACGGTGCGGATGACGCGTTGTGGGCACTCAGGGGAGGCGGCGCGGGCGTGATTGGAGTCGTTAGCGAACTCACTATCAAGGTATACCCCAGACCGAAGGCCCTGGCTAAATATATCTGGTTTCCTTACGCTGAGGCGGAGAAGGTCTTTGGAAATATGCAGAAGCTATACCAAGACGATTTCCCCGAGAAGTTTTCGGGCGAGGTGTTTCTCATCCACCCTTTGGATAATGGGGGTATTATCAATCATTTCTTCTGGTGGCAATTGGAGGAGGATGGGAGCGATCTGGAGAAGGCTAAGGACTACCACAGAAGAATACTCGAATGCGGAACAGTGGTTTATGATACAGTCAGAGACAAGGAAGACCACTGGAGTGAAAGTAAGTCGTACTAAATGGCATTGCACTCTCGTGATCTCTATCGATATCTGAAGCTGACTGAACTCTGAAGCGACCCCATTCCAGTTCCTCTACTCAATTGAGACTCACAGCACGGATAATCGAATGGTGAATCACAACAAATCCTGCGTCGTACCCTCCTTCTCCGCCGAGCTCGGGGCCATCTTCGCGAGGCACCCAATGCCCAACACGATCTCGGCGGTCGTATTGCACAATTGTCACGGCGCGGGTGCGAGAAGAGACGTATCGGCGGCGTTTGGCAACCGAAATCCACATCTACTTGTGGGCCTATCCGTGCAGTGCTCCTGGGACGACGATGAAATGAAGAAGAAGATGACAACTTGGCCTACTGAGGTTTATGAGGAGATCCAGTCAGCAGGGTTGGCCACAGAGTGGAAATACTGCAATTTCAACCCACAAGAGCAAGGGGATGGGAAGATGTACCTAGGAGAAGGAGGGGTCAAAAGGATGAGGGAAGTCAAGAAACGGCTGGATCCCGACAATTTGTTTTCCAGCTCGAGCCCGGATCTTGGAGACCGATGACATGCCATAGAGATCGTTCCCGCTCAGATTCCGGTGTATATGCATTCAAAGAGGAGCATAGAAACATGTGCGTGCTCAACACCCAAGTTATAGGGTGTGTTCTGTTGTCCGATTGATCTTAACTATGCTACATTATTTCATAACCCCCAGGAGCAGCCCGATCCATGGCTGCTGTATAGAGACGCCTCACTCCAAGGGTATCATGTTTCCAACTGCAAGTCATACACTGGCTCTTTCACTTCCTAGTTCCCCCAATCTTCCTGTCCTTCAGTTTATTTGTTCTTGAGGGTCCTGCTAGCAGTGGTGCTGCCCTGGCGTTGCTGGTAGTACAGGTAGCCGAGAATGCCAGCAGCGATCGTGCCGAGAATAAAGAAGTTGTCTGAGAAAAAGGGGTGGTTAGCCAACGGTCCTCGGGCTGCGGAAGGGTGGATTGCAACACCAGACTTACGGATCGCGAACCCAAGCGTTCCCTCGACAAAGTGCACAACGCCCTTGCCAGCGTCGGCGATCGTGTGTAGTACCAACGCGAACGCGTTGAAGATGGCGGCGAATATTCCCTGGATCACCTCGATGATCGACTGGAAGAAGTGACCGACTCCTGATGTAATACCCATCTTGGCTGCTTGGATTGCTGTCTTGTAGTTGTGGTAGGAACCTCGAGATGTTCAAAGTACGTGTGGTATTGGTTAGGCTGTAGCAAGGAGGCGTAAAATAGCTTCACTGGAGGAAACAGTCGGCGGGCAGATGGGAGACTGTGGCTTTTTATTCACCAAAGGCAGCTCTGATCGCAAACACAAAGGACATCAGCCTGAGGCTGAAGCTACGTCAGAACCACTATTGTTCCACCGGCTGCCTTCTCTGTTAGGCTGAGGATGCAAGCCCGCGAGCTCGACAAAGGGAAAACTTGGTTTCGCGAGCCAGCCCGGCCAGCCAGCCCTGCAAGGCAAGCGGAAAGCATCACGATGACACGACGTGACGATCGCTGTGGCTGCATCGCGGTCGGCGGTTGGTTGACAGCGGCATGACGTCAAGGGCTGCGAACGGCAAAGTGTGGGGACTGCGGGGCAAATGCTCCGGCGGCTTGAGCCGAGAACGATCGTCAACAACAGACCATCAACATTCAAGTTCTTTGTCGCGTTGATTAATGCGATTGTATGAATGCGAGGCCATGATTTTTTTTTCTTCTTTGCCATGAGTACAATTTCTGGCTTTGAAGAAACGAGGCGAACGCGAATTGCAGCAAGAATGCATAGCAGCGGGAATGCAGACCTGGCTGGTATCCTCGAAGTGCAAGGACGTGCTCCAACTCGACCCTTTCCCCTACGCGCCACATGGAAAAGGGTCGACCCAGGCGCAACAGCGTCAGAATGCCAGTGGGCGTGGCAGCCAGCTCGAGCCGAACCACCTGCACGGCTAGTCCGTGTTGTCTCGGCGGGGCGCTGACGAAGTAGTGTCTGAGCACCTTGCCTCAACTGTCACTGATGTCTGAACGCTGCACTTGAATACTGTACGCGGCACTTGTTGCTGGACATAGTACGGGTGTCGATTCGAATATCCTAGTAATAGTCACCAGATCCCTCTAATTAAGTATGTAGTACACATCACGGGCGGGAAGCGAATGGCCCTAAGTCCGGGCCTTCTCAACAACCTGATGGAATGACCCCTATTATGACTGAGGCCTGCCAAACCGAACGCTGTTATGAACAAGCAATGCACAAGTCTAGCATCGGTCGCCCTCAATCCTTCGTGTGGATAAAGGATCGAGTTGCGTGCTCCTCTAGCATACTTTCTTTCCCTTGACTTTCTGACAGTTCCCATCGTCATTGGGCACATCAGACCTTCCATGCATGAGAAGATGGGACGAGCTACATAAGTACTGCTCTTTCATCGTGTAGCACGCCATGGCGTTGAGAACTTGGGATTTTCGATCACCTCCTGTACGTCTCTCATCTGCCCATAACTCACCTGCCACTTGGTGACAAGTAGCGCACCTCGTTCTATTATGTTCGGATATCCCGGTGAATGGGTGACTAGGATGCATTAAAGACGCTAGCATTACCGCCTGCGTGGTCATAACATCGAGTCCGTCAAAGCAACGGCCTGAATGAATAAATACGAAGCAAATATGACCTGAGATCATATATGATAGCCGCAGGACGTCGCGTGGGATCCAGCACTAAAGAAATCCCCAGCATTGAACCTATTAACAATATCAAGTATTCAGGCTTAATAAACACTTGTAGCCTATGGCGTCGTTCAAAAACACGGGTGCTTGATAACGATTGAAAAGTGTGAGCTGAATCTCGAGTGCTCGGCCGAGGCAGAGAAGCCCAGCTTCGCCCGCCATACCGGCAGTACATCTTTTGACATTTGGGGATCATACCTTATACCACACCACTTGCTGTTACTTGCAAGACTTACAATTCCCCATTTTGAGCCAAAAAGCCATGATTCGAGTGAATCGTAGTACAGTACATAATAAGATTTTGGTTTCATTTTGAGCCACATGTAGAGCGGCACCCTAATTCGATTGCATATAATCAGGTACTGTTCCCAACATTTGCCCCGTATGAACAAAGTCATTTGCATTTGTTGTCACATAGCGGTACTATTTTACATACCCAATTTGAGCAAATTGTCAATTGTACGAGTAGATACTAAACAAATTCTTCTTCAAAGTCAAGGTAACTTGACTGGAAAGGCATTTTATAAAGCACGACTGATGTAAGATGATTTTGATTGATAATAGAAAAGATCCCAGGGCCATTACCAGGTTGTGATCAAGCGTCTTTCAAGTTCCAACCTTTCTCTCGAGCCCCGCCCCCGCTATAGCCGACATGGAAACGCCATTCTGCAACCCACGCCATCGGTTCCTGGATATTTATTGCAAGCCATGCCGCCAAGATCATAAGTTTTGTCGGAGTATGCTAGGTGGCCTCTTGGTCGATAGAAGGAGTCGACGAAGAGGTCCACGTAGAGGGGAAGATTGCCCTTGAGAACGATTTTCGGATTATCGAGGCTCGTCTCATGAATCTGAAGGGCATTGCACTGCGAGTCGTAAAGTGTGGCGATCCTGTATTTGTTTCGTGTGCTGCCGTCGCTTGATGCTATGTATACTGTGCATGATTCCGAGCCAGTCTTGACGTATTTACTCCAACCCATGTCTTGACGTTCTCCAAGGGAATTGTCCGACATGGTTGGATAAGCAGCAGCTTTGAGTACGGGAATGCTGAGGAGAGCGTTGATCAAAGCTGATTGAGCTTTCATAGTGCAGGTTCCTTGGATGGAATAGTAGTAATGGGCCGGTTATACAGAGGATAGAGTATGTCGGGTTGTGTTCACCAGGTTGGACAAATCGAAGAAGTCAAGCAAAAGCATGCTCTCTGTATTTATTTATATGTATTTGCACTTTTATTCTGCAAGATGGTCCAGTCTTTCCGGTCGTCGAAGGCATTTGGCATTTTTAGGTTCTTGAGGGGCGATGCAGGTGGCATGGATGTCTGTTGCGTGTCACCAAGCGTGTGCCAGAAAGACCTCCGACCTGGAATGCCGCCCGCCGCGGTCTGTAAACAACGCCCTGCGGAGTTCAAACATATTGTGAACAAATATAGATTCTATAGCTTTTTCTTCTTCATCCTAAGTCCTTGGCTGCTTCGCTGAATATGGGAACCTGGCGGAAGCTTCTATTTTTAAGAGTAAAGTAGTTCTGCCAAGTACCAAAAGCCAAGGCTGATTCGATAATTATCTGATAATAAAGACCTGAGTGAATGAGAGTTCCTTCTGCATATCTTCTTGGCATCACACCATACCATTACCCTGGCTCAGCCACACTTGGCAGCATCTCCGCTATTCTGTAGTCGTTAGCTTTGCAAATGCCTGGTAGCCAATCAGAATTTCTTGATCATTGGTGCTGAGTATACATGCTCAGATCATACACCATTCAGAGACTCCTGGTGCATGATCTGACTGCTTCAGCCACAATGCCAACAAAGTCTCTCACTTGTTTTGCCATTGGCGTTTACAGATGTCGATTGAACCAATGGAAGCCCGAACTTCCTGGACACTGGAGCATCACCACTGTGGCCTAGGTAACCACTCAGCATGCTTGTTCCTAGCTACATCGGCATGACCAATCAAGGGCCCGAATGGTGAAGTCAAGGCCTTGGACCGGTTTGCAGGCACTTCTTCCATGAATGTCACTTTTGCAATCATTTTCCATAACTATATTCTACGCCTTCACTTGTATTGAATACCCGAATTATAGGTGTGGTGTTACATCATTGGCCGTAGTATACGTATCGTAAGGTTTCAGCAACCAGCCGCCGCAGCAACACCAGTATGAACACCGCAACAACCCCCCAAATCATGACCAATTTGTCATACGTCTTTGTTTGGTCCCAGCCCTCGTAATGGATGAATGCCTCGATTGCACACCAGATGTTATAACATAGCGGAACAACCGCGATCATGATAGCTCTTATATCCTTCCAACGCACGCGCGCGCGATCTAGAGCTGACGTCGGAGCAATTGTCCCTACAATTCAACTAAATTAGAAAAGGCCACATACAATCGGGGATGCATCTTGTTAAATTCACCGCGATCGCTTTTGCCATGCTTGACTTCTGGATTGGCCATGGCTGTCGGTTTCTAGAGTTTGCTGTTTCGATTCTGTCTGTCTTTTCTGTTGATTTGTGTGATGAGGTGTAAATGAGAAGTAGTAGAAGGCTGCACAACAGCCGAAGCACACTGTGGATTTGATTGCACTTTTACTTTGCCCAGACTTGGGGGCGGGGGCTTGCTAACCAATTATAGGCGCCAGCGCTGGACTACCTATCTGTGGCTGTGCACGCCTAATTTCAGTGCCTTGGCGCATGAGGCTGCGCTACGCTGCATAGGACAACTGTGGTGAGGTGGCCCAGTCCAGTCAGAAGGCGTGCTTGGCCCTCCTCACTCTGGCGTATAAGCTTGGCACGTCAAGTGCCCAGTCCCCAAAAGTCCTAGACCCCTGCCCCCAGCGGCCGTTGATCAAGTCAATATCTATATGCAGTTAGATAGGCGCAATCTCTTGGCTAGTATACATTGCCATGCTTTTTCAAAAAGTACTACTGGGAGGATCGTGTTGGCTGAGTATATCAGATCATTTTCTTGCTTGCTAAACTTAGAAAATTCGAGGTAGAGTGTGGTTGGAAGACCCATCTTTCATCATGGCACACAGCCGAGCATCAGTGTTGGAGCTGAAGAGTGTTGAGCTTCATGGGCCCAGCAACATTTGATCCTCGGCGCAACCTGGATGAAAGGGTCGAGAGGACGTCAAATTCAAGTAATATAAGAACCATCAACAAGGCCGTTGCCAGTGTTCCCGAGATTGTAAGCAGCATCTCACAATAGTCCACATCTATGTCCTCGCGGATTTCTTCAAGAATTCGTTCTCTAACCTCCTCTACATATTCGCTTCTTTCAGCCATAAAACTTCAATATGAGACCACTGTTTGTGCTTGTTAGCACGTTTGCACTTGTGCCCTCTTTTAATTGCCTCTCATCGTCCGATAAGCGGTCCTCTACTTTTAGCCAGGACCCCGAAGGAAATCTGAAGGAGACTGTGGTTCGGAGCCTGGGCTCTGCGGTTGGACAAACACAAGAATCTCATTTTATGAAGCATGGGGCTCGGGCAAAATATTCCATTCTTCCGGCATCTCAGACAGGGGTTGTGTCTAAGCCGGTGGAATTGAGAGCAACAAATTTGGGTAACTATGACCGTCATAATAACCTCATTACGGTCACTGACCGAGTCACAGATTCCAATGACCACATATCGGAAAAAAAGGTTGCTCGAAGACTCCCCCGAAGAGTCAGACTCGGCTTGGAGTGGCTGGGTGTTTTTGCGACCGGCTTCGGTTTCTGGGGCCTGAAGGATGGTTGCGGTGATTACCACGAAGGGGGTGACGCTGCTCCCGGAGCTAAATGCATAGTGGCAGCACTGGGTACCGGCGCCCCCCTCGTCATTGCGGGAGATGACACATGGGAGTATATCTCAACGTTAACAAACACTGGGGTAAATGTCGTCGGGCAAGTGGCTGATATTCCCCTTGAGAACTACCCTATCCATCGTCTTCCAAATGGTCCCTTTTTCCCTAATATGGCTGATCTACCCGCTAAGCGAGACGATTCGGTTGGTCGTGTCGAGCGTGCCATATCAACGAAGCTTGGCATGGAGGTCAGGCATGTCGGAGTGTGGGATGGAAACCACCCTGGATCGCCAGAAAAGCGTCACGACAAAACCGAAGCTCACCCGGTGTTTGCTATGGACCGCAATGGTCAAGACTTTCACTTTTCCTACATGGGGCGTCGCGAAGATACTGGCGAACACAAATTCATATTCGGCTATGGGCCGGGCATTGAAAATCAACAGAACAAAATGCGACTTAAAGCTCGCCAGGCTTTCACGTACAACACACAGTATTTCGACCGCGGTGGTCTCGATATTATTGGACAATCCGATATCATGGGAGGTAGCAACCACCCTGAGGTACAACCTGACCTCAACGACCCGAACAGCTATCAATGGCTATACGAGCAGATGAACTGTTATATGGATGGAGGCTCATACGAAGCACTCAGGCACCACGGGCTCTGGTTCCAGATCTATGATAGTAATGATGAGGGTTCACATCCTGGCACCCTCGCTGCCGGAGCTATCGCTGCTTTTGGGCCAAGCACACCATCAGCAATATCATGGATGCAATCAAGTGGCGGAATACCTACGGTAGAAGGATGTTCCTCAATAGGGCCCTGGAAGATGTAGTATAGCCGCGGACTAACTCAACTTTAGACTGGTAATAGAAGAAATATGCTCCGCCAATATGAAAGACGACACATCAATCCACACTTGTTGTATCAAGCCATCTGAAATGGCATCAGGAATGGTACGTGTGACTGCTTTAGGTTCTAGGCATGCCTTGCTAGGTCTGAAGACATGGTGTGAATAAGCGAAACGGTAGTAACCACATTGAAGCCTGGCGAATCAGAGGCGACGGGCGCTAAGTGGCTTGGCCTAGTAGTACAATGGCCAACAGCCCTCCAGGGCTCCGGCCCAATTTTAGCTAGCAGTGGCCGTTGTGCCGCACTGGCGATTTTGCTGAGAATATCTCTCCACCTCCTATACAAATGTGTTTTATATGGAATGACGGCAAACCCGGGGGAAACTGGCAGTTGACGCAGCCGGGGGATGGAGATAGTTGGGATTAGCAAAAAACGAGTTGTGTCGCACGGCAGCATGCGCTGCTACTGGGGTGATGATGCCATCCATGGGGCGTCCTAGTTCGGTATGTGCGCTTCAGCACTTATGTCTGATTCCTGTTCAAGGATCTACCGTAACATCAATCTATCCGTCAGACAAGGAAGGCAGACCACATATCATCAGATGCTTCGGGCTTTGTTGGTGTTTAGAGATAGATATAGGTTAGCGTTTGTCTTCAAAAGTGGGGTTGCTCTCAAACCAGGCATCAGGGCTAGTTGTGAAGCAAAGAGAAGAAAAAGCTTATGCTTCGCTTAAAAAGCTTAGCATGTACCTGCAGGTCCAACCTTCCCACTTACAATGATACCAAGCGTGAACTCCAGCCAAATATTGACGGTACCTGATCCAGAAAACTCAGTACAGGAACTCGAGAAGAAATTGGCTATTGCAAATGCCTTTTTGAGGCAAATGTGAAAACCTAGTAAAGCGGGAATACCGGAGCTTCCCTCTAGCCTCCTCAGCACCAATAGAATGGGCTTGGAGCCCAAGCTTTTCATCAGATTGAGATGTATGCGCTGAAAGGTTGTACCGTTCGCATTGATCAGTAAGATAAGCGCTGACGGCACATGTTATGATCAAATAGCTGGATTGCGCGATGGCATGTGTTTGCCGATTTCCCGAGTCTATGTCCTGAATCTGTGCCGACATTGCCGTTGCCGTTAGCTCTGGCCGCGTAAGGGCTGTGCTCATACAGGCGCTAGTGGGATATGGAACGCAGTCAATTGCCGTAAGCCGTGGTTTGCCTCGCGAGAGCCTGTCCTTTACTCCCCGTTCTTCTCATTCCCATCAACGGGTCGCCATTGAATCCGGCTTCATTGAGGTAACATTGCCTCTCCAGTGGAGCTAGCATCCTGATCATGAACCACGGTGTTTTGTATCCTTTGTAAGGCATCGTTAATAGTGAGTTCTTCGCGGCTGCAAGGTAAGTCCAACACTATATGCCTCTCATCACTTCTATTAACGCTGCAGACTGATGCCAAGGGTAGGGATGAACTGATAGATATCTGTGGGTCTGATACCCTCAGGTCACACTTTCAACGTAACCTTCTCTAGCTCCCAGGGCTAAAATCCAATCATCACAGTTGGTTCTTGTTTCTGCGTACAATAAGAGCGCGTAGGCATGAATACAACCAATTGCTGTTCGTTTACAACCGCTGCAGGGGCAAGTGTCCAAAGTCTAATTCACGACATTTAGATGGGTAGACGTGCGATGCCTCAGTCCGAATCATTGGACTGTCTTATTTCTTGTTGTATATATCTAGACACAACCCAACCACCCTGAACAGATGGATTTCGCAATGCCAACGAACAATTATCTGAAAGATCCCAATAGTCTACAAAATCCGAGCGCACAGTTCTTTCTCTGATCAAAGATCGCCCGTTCCTCTCAATGGGCTTGATTAGCGTCGCCATCAAGATCGTCATTGTGTTGGCAGTAGCGGCCTTCTTGATCACAGTCTTTGGGCTTCTGATCAAGAGCAGGCTAATCAAATCGAAGTCCACGGAAGATGAGGAAATTGCGCTACCACAACCATCTATGACTCCTCCGGCGTACGTGCCTCCTGCCTATGTGCCCCCACCTGAAACAGTGTAAGTGATACTCCAATCTTCGAGGCCATCTTTCTAACCCGCTGTCGAAGGTATGGGAAATGATAGAGGCCTTAAGTTTGCGGGGCTATGAAGTTTCTAGTACCATGAGGAATACCACAACTCGGATAAACAACAGACTTGAAGCCCCTTTCCTGACCGCCAATACTCATACCGTCACTGGTTCGTCCCACCTCCAGCAGGATGGGTTGGCTTGACCTTACCCATGGCGTTTTCATACGCTTAAGCTCCATATGCAGGAACTTTTCATATATATTTGGCAGCGCGACGAGGTTGCCAATACGTTGGAAGCAAAGAAGCCAATAATGTTATTCATCCACCCGGTTTGAGAAATTAGCCTTTCCCGATATTCGAACTTATGTCACTATGTGCCCACGTCTTATGGTGTAATCTGGGTGTATTGATATACAAAATAAGACCAGCCCGTTTGTGGCGAAGTCTTGGGTCGTTTCTGCCACACGAAAATCCGCGTCGCACCCAAATTAGTCAAGCGAAAAACCTTGCGCTTTCCGTTCCACGACCATCACAGCTCGTCGTACGTTTCAAAACCGTAGCAATAGAGACGCCATAAAGACCACCATGGCCACAGCCAGTCTACATTTTCTCGGTCGGTGGATAGACCAATAGGATTGCCCCTGCCTTGGTGGGGTCGGGTAGGTTTGCTGTCAAGTAAGTGGCGAAAGCTTATGTCAACTTCCCCTACGTCGCATTGAACCAAGCCCCGCGCGCAGTACCCAAGCTCAAGTTCAACATCGGGTCCTTCATAGTCCAAAACTTGCACTGCCGTCTTTCAAGATGACTATATACCACATTGTTCTGTTCAAATTCAAGTCGTTAGTGCCGGTGGAAGAGGTCAATGCGGTCTGTGGCTCTGAGCTAGCCTGGATTTGGAAGCTTGTTAACACTGAGCAGGCATGCGATCGGATGCTGGCATTGAAGACGAATTGTAAGCACCCAGAGACACAGCAAGAATATGTGAGGACGTCTATTGGAGGAAGCAACAACAGCCCTGAAGATGCGGCAGTAAGTGCACCCTTATGATGAAACCTGGTAGAGAGAGTCAACACTAAAGCTTCCACAGAACGGATTCACCCACGCTTTCATCAGCGAGTTCGAGAACGATCAGGCTCGAAAGTTCTATTTGGAAAAAGACCCAGCTCACCTCGAGTTTGTCAAGCGTATAGACAACATTTTGGAGAAGCATCAGGTAATCGATTTCAGTCCTGGGGTATTTTGAGATGTGCACCTGGGCATGCAACGATCAATGGGCTATGAGCTCATATTATGACCAAATCTTCACGTAATAATTATCCTTGAATACATAGTTTGACAACGTTCTTAAGACGTCTTGGAAACTCTTTCTACGAGCATCTCATCTTGGACAGTGAGGCCCGGTAAGGTTGCTTCAAAGTAAGAGGGCTCCGTCGTTTGATTACCTGAGACCTTGATTCTCCTGAACATGCCAAGGCCGGTCGTTTATTACCTCTTAAGCTGATAAATATTCGGACAAGAAGGAAGACACAGGTAAAATGACTTGCTTTGACCCATTCGATAAGCCAAGTCAATCAACCCGACGCCGAGGGTTTGAATTTGCCACAATTTCGGTTCAAGGACGACCCGCTCCAGGAGTACGTATGTTATTGCAAGACTAGAAAGCGATCGAAACGAAAGTCATCGTAATTATGTTCCCCTCACCTTCGTCTTATCAGTGGTTGCTTCTAGTAAACCGCAACGTACTACTGTAGGATCAGTCTTCATCGTGATCCGCGGGATTGGAAATCTCTTGCAGTGAGTCTAATGACAGCCTCTGCGGTTCGACAGGCCAGTCTGCGTTCTGTGACTGATACACTGCTACTGGTATGCCGGATGCGGTAAAAGCTAGGCGTGGTTTGAGATTGAAGAAACGTTGACGCTCGCGTAGCCGGCTGGGATATCGACAAATATGTAGTCCGACAAGGCAGAATGTGGCCATACTGTGTATCACTTAGTGCCTTGCCCTCAACCTTGTGTTTAAAATACGCACACAAGTGGCAATTTCCACAATAGCCCCCACCGAATGAACCCAGCAGCGACGCAGTAGGCCACATCTACCAAACACACGACTCCGATACCAGTCTCAATTATTAAGAAAACCTCGAGATGAATTCCAGGGGGACGCTCATAGAGAGCTTGTAGGGTTCGAAACATATCCCACGTCAGCAGCAGGGACATTCCGATAACCTGCACCAATCAGTTGACCATGCTTCATCCAACTGAACGTTTGAGCCTACCAGTGAAACGCAGTATTCTTTACCAAGGGGTACGTTGCCGTAACTCGATCTTTTGTCCCACACTAAAATCCAAACTAGTGGCAGTACTGCACTGGCCAGACGAAAAATTCGCAGGAGTTTTCTGGTCTGTCGAAATCCTCCCCGTCTCCATCTTACAGCGAAGAACAGTTGAGGTGATATGTCCTCTACCAGCTCTGGCTGGCATTGTCGAGACGTTTCTCTGATGACATGAGGTCGCCTTCTAAGTGAACTGATTCCCAGATTTTGTGGCGGTTCGTTCGATATTGTCTGTGACTCAAACCTTGCGTGTACTGTGCGAGGAGACAACCTCGCCACCAAGGTAACCCAGAGCAGTTTCGTACGCAAAATCATTGTGTAAGGTTAAAGGCTTCCATGCGGTTGTGACTTGCACTGCCGGTCGAAAACAATGGATCAATGGTAGAATCTCGGTGAAATCCCTATTGTAAGAGCATGCTTTGAAGAGGATAAGAGTAATGGCTTCTATGTTTGCTTTCTTCGAGAAGAAGTATCTTCCATGTCACACACAGCCTGATCTGATACCCTGAGTAATTGATGGCAATCTAAATTGTGTGTGGCGCAGCAGTCGATCCAGGCTCGGCATCGGGGTATATTTTGGGGTTTAAGGACCACCTTCGTCTGGACCCGAGAAAATCTATTTACGGGTTTGGCATCATCTAGCGTTTCGGTCAACCAGGCGCCCGATTCGCTAGGTCTAATCTCAGCTTCTGCTCAGCCCCCATCCACGGCATCTCTGTAGAGAACTACCCCTTGAACGTGCCGAAGACTGAGCATATTCATGATTTACTTGCCGTACAGTTCGAAATAAAACAGAGATACCATATCATGGTTGGTTAAACAAAGTGTAAGCGGCAAAAGGGAGCTACATAATATAGCTAAAACTCAGATGGGCGCAATTGTATGTGGACTTCGTTTTCATGTTACTGGTACTTTTCAGATTACCAGACCTGGTCCCATATAGGGAAAGCCGGGGTTCGAAGATGGTATTAGGAACGGTGAGTGGGGAATCGGACACTTGACTCTTGAGGGACAATGTTGTGTAGCCACGCACGCATTATGCTGCCAATTTGGCGTAATCGTAAGGCTACGTCGACTCATCCTGCCGTCTTCGCTGGATCTTTCTGCCTCGCAACTTTCTCCAAGGTTATGATTACTCCCGCCACACTCCTCGCCTTTGCTAGAGCTCATCAATTACTGATAACCCTTATTTACATCATGAAGACATTAGGCGTTCTGTCCCAAAGGGGCTGGCGTCGCACTGGTGCAGTCAACGTCATTCTTGCTTCGACATGTGGACTGGTCCTCCTGATATGCCTCATTGTCTCCCTCAAAGGGAAGGAATCTTCCGCAGACCTTGGTACATCACGAATTTATCAAGGTTCCTGCAGCCAGGCGGCAACAGTAAGCACCACGCTGCACGTAGCCCTTAACATTGTGTCTACGGGTGTTTTGGCCTCTTCCAACTTCTTTATGCAAATTGTTACATCTCCGTCCCGTGGCGAAGTTGATCGCGCTCATCAGTATCTACGATCCCTAGATATAGGGCTTCAATCGACGAGAAATCTACCTGCTCTGTCGCGGATGAAGCAGATTTGTTGGGTCATGCTCCTTATGAGTAGCATTCCCCTACATCTCTTCTTCAACAGCGCTGTATATAAGACCGCTTACCAAAGTCAACGCTGGAATCTTGCTATAGCGACTGAACAATTTGTTGCCAACGGCATCGAGAACAAAACGTACTGGCTACCTGGAGCTAGTCTAGCGGGAAGCGGGACATCGTCACCAGCACAGCAGCTTTGGCACGATGGAGAAATAACTTCAAACCAAACAATTTATAGAATCCAGGGGTTTGGAGACCGCAATATATTCGACCAGGGATACCTAATCGATCAAGGAAGTGAGCTACCGAGAAATGTCTCAAGTGTTGCTGAAAAGAGCCTGGAGTGGGTGCATTTGAATGTAGCAGCTTGCATGGCGGAGTTCAGGCCTTCCAAAGTACACACCCAATACCGGGACCTTGTCATGGTCGTGGACTCTGGGACTACCTCAAATCAAGGGTGGATTCGGAGCCAAGTCTTTGACTTTACCCCTGAGAGCAAATTAAGTAATACGTGGAACTCAAGGATGCCGCCAAATGGCGTCAACTCCCTATGGTACTGGACGCAATGCACCGTCGACACCCCCCTCGCTTCCCAGTACTGGACATCTACAAGCAGTTATTACCATTCGTGTGGGCGACTCTTCGGACTGCACACCTCCTATCCACTCTATAGTTCTGTTTACCCAGATCCCAACTCAGTCTCTTTCGAAGATGATGGTCTGGAAGGGATAACTACGGCTGAAGAAACTTCCCAAGGCTACATTGCTCGTACAGGCGCAAGAACTCTGCAGATTAAGTATTGTCTGGCCGAACCAACCACATGTCAAGTAAGGGTTTCCAATACGCTGTTGTTAATTGTCATACTATGCGTTCTAATAAAAGTGGCCACATGCATTTTCATCTTGAGCAAGTTGACGGAAGTCGCCCTCGTGACACCCGGAGACGCCATTGAATCTTTCATTACGGGTCCGGACCCTGTCACCGAGGGTCTTGGATCTTTAGGCTTTTCAGACGCCCAGAACCTTGAGTGCAAACCGCGCAAGGCGTATTCCACTACCCAAGATCCGGCGCTTACATTTGTACATCGGCCGGGAAGGTGGCTTACTAAGACCCAAGGCTTGCACTCAGCAGTTGGGCGGGGTATTTGGGTTCAAGTATACTACCCTAGCTTCTTAGCTCTGGTCATGGTGATTGTGGCTCTTATCTTCAGCAGCATGTCAGGGTAAGCAGTTTCGCTGCACAGCAGTGTGAGAATTCGAAATAAGACTGATCTCGTGTAGGTTAGGGGAGTTTGGGCCGTCTGAAAATACGGAGACTACCACGTTCGGCTATTTGCTGTATGGGTCTACGAGCTACCTTGCCATACTCATTGTCGTCAACACACCTCAAGTCATTCTCTCATTTATCTATCTCACAATCAACACACTGCACACACAACTCAAGGTTGAGCAAGAATGGAATTCCTATGGTGGTGGATATACCCCCCTGCGAGTATCATATCCATCCGGCATGCAAGTATCAACCTACCGCCTTCAACTGCCATATAAGTACAGCATCCCACTCATAGCCATCAGCACGCTTCTTCATTGGCTTCTCTCCAACTCTCTGTTTCTTCTATTTATTGAACGGCGTAAGTAGCTCTCTTTGCATTCAGAGAGCAACACGTCTCATTGACAATGTAAATAGATCGAACGCCTAGTTTATCAAATTTCAACGAAGTGGCAGATAGCTTTGGCCTCCCCAAGGGCACTACTGTAGGGATCGGCTTTTCCGGGTTAAGCACAGTTGTGTTATCCTGCGTGGGCGTTGTTTTCATCGTGTCCCCTTTCTTTTTTAGGTATCGGAAACTGAAGAACGACATGGTGGTTGGAGGGACAAACAGTCTCGTCTTGTCAGCCGCGTGCCATCCCCCTCTCAGGTCGCGTAACACCGGTCAGCTTCCCTCTATATTCTCAAAGGTAAATTTCTTGCTGATAGTGTAACATAGCCGCGCAAAACGAGTCAACAGCACCACTGCTTCCCATGGAGGGTCTCGGTGATAAGGATCATCTTAAGGAGTTGGCGCGAGGCAAGCTACGATGGGGAGCTATGCCATTACCCCATGAACTCTCTGCCATGATACAGGTCGAAGACAGCGAGTCCGTCATGCACCTCAGTCTCGGGGGAGAAATACACGACGTGCAAGCCCCCAAATCAGGGATGTTATATGTTTAATATGCATCGCCAGACAGCCGTGAGCTCAATGGGAGAGGAGACAACTAGGTACTCACAGCCTCACCACTGTACAACAGCGAGCGGCATTGAGTGCTCGCACCTAAATTTTCTTTGTAAAGGTGAGAACCAAGTAGCATCTGGTCGCGCAGAGATCTATTGGAATACTGGGAAGTCGATAAAGCATTGGGAGACAGACGGATATTGGTATGGTGGAAATCATGTGACTGGTTTGCTACCAGGTGCATCGTGATCAGATTCTCGAGAAAGTCTTGGCGTTCATCTCCAATTTCAGGGGTCTCTTTCTTGTCTGCACCCCGCGATCAGCTAGGCGACGTCATGGCACCAACCCACTAAAATGGCCCGCCCAGCAGCCCACTCGACGGTCCATTGTTTCACGTTTCGCGGGGCTCAAGGGCTCAAGGGCTCACGATGGCAAGTGGTCACTACCCAACCCAGACAATGAGACGGCCCGGAGTCAAGGGGCACGATGCCATCTTGGACCAACCAGCTGGGGTTTCTCTCTCTCTTTCATTTCTAGATATCTCCTTGCCATTGGCCGGCTTTCCGCTCCGAATGGCGATAGACTCTTCGATCGGAAAGCAAGATGTTCTACTGGGCAAGTATCTACAGGGGTGCCCCGCCGCCCGAAAAAAAAGGGCGTCCAAGCTTCCTGGGACCCGAGTTGTGAACCCTTGTGATCCATCCATCTTGTTGCGACGTCATTCCTTCGAGAGCTGAACTCTACTTCTGGATGCACCACCAACCCATCCAGCGATAGACCCATCGACAGCGAACAGATACGATCAAGGCGACCAGCATCCAGGAACCATCAGCGGAGGATTCTAGTCCCAGCGAGCGACCTTCTTAGCATCCAGCTCGGCGCAGCGAACCGTCACCTACAGTGAACGTAGCAACTATACCCAAGTCACAGACCATCAGCTGTTAGGCTGATCACCACCACCACCACCACCACCACCATGTCGCAACAGACAGCTCCCATGATTATCAACCTGCCCCAGCCGCCGTCGAATCCCGACACTCCTAGCGAGATGCCGTAGGTTCTCTGGTTTTGTTAGCATCCTGGCCCCCTCCGTCAGCTACTAACCTGCGTTATCCAAGTGGGACCCCGACGAGCACAACCACCTCCCTTTCCGCCCTGTCCACCACCGCCATCAAAGACGGCCACCGCGGCCACGCCCATGCCATCCCGGGCTTCGGCGGCCAACGGGGCCACCAGCACAATGCCTCGACCAACAGCCTCGAGGCCGAGCGCGCCGACCGCATCTCGCGCCTGGCCGGGCTCGAGCGGGTCTCGACCCTGCGCGCCCCGTCCGGGCAGCAGCAGCAGCCACCCCAGCCCGGCCACTCTTCCAACTCGCCCCAGACCACCCCGACCTCGACCGGATTCCCCTCGGCCCAGACCCAGCAGCAGATCAGCGCCCTGCCCAATGCGCCCGCCTACTTTGACTCCCACGGGCAGCCCACGGCCGCCGGCACCAAGATGAGCACCGTGGGCACCGCCTCGGCGACGGGCAGCTTTGGCGGGCGCACCACGACCGAGGGCGGCGACCTGGGCGATGACCCCACCGAGGTCGACGAGGACACCATGAGCATGGACACCGACTACCGCACCATGGACGTCGGCTCCACCTCGGGCGTGGTCGACGCCCTGGACGAGGACATGACGAGCCGCTCCGTCGGCGGCTTCGAGGACCGCATGAGCGACGACGGCACCGCAAGCCTGGTCGGCTTCGGCGAGGGCGCCAACAGCACCGTCAGCGGCCCCATATACCACCGCCGCCCGCTCCCGGGCACGGTGGGCGCCACCGGCGCCTGGGGCCTGGAGCGCAGCAGCTCGGGCCTGAGCGAGGCCGCCGTGCTGCGCTCGCAGCAGCTGAGGGATAGCGGCGAGGCGCCCGTAAGCGCCTCGGCCCAGACGGAGCGGCGCGACGCGCGCATGATGGACGGTGTATCCGTCGACGGGGGCGGCCACGTTGGCACGGCCGACGACGACATGTTCGTCGACACCACCACGTCCGGCCCGGTCCCGGTGCAACAGCAGCAGCAGCAGCAGCAGCCTGGCCCGGGGTCTGTGGGGTCTACGCCGAGAGAGGCGGCCGAGCGCATCCTTCACGAGAGGTTGGACGGCGGGGAGGGCCGTCTCGGCGGTGCTTCGCCGACGCTGGAGAACACCAAGGGAGGAGTAGGACTGGGCAAGTTCTACTTCGAGGACAAGAAATAGGATGAGGCCGCTTTGGAACCATGATGCTCATGAGTGCGTACTGCATTTTGATGATGATTGACGCGTTCGCCCGTGGGGCCTTTCACGATGTCTAGTTATGGTCTTGCGAATAAAGGAGGATGGAGTCGCGATTTCCCGGCCCCCAAAAGTACATGTAGGCTACTTGCTGATAGATGATGGAGTCCTCAATGATTATGGATGTTACCTCCACATATCGAAATGAAGGTCTCTTCTTTCCAGACTGTGTTCAGATCTACCTACCTGTCTGTCTCAGCGATCAAAGTTGCGATATCCTGCCGTGGCCACATCACGCATCTTTGGCTTGTATGGCCTTGGTGGGGCAGCCGAACCTCAGTATACACCGGATATTCGCCACTCCCAGTCAGGATATACCCTCCAAATGTCTCCTGGATATAATATCTCGTAACACCAGCTCGGTCACACATGCGCCGCGTCTGTTCCTTTCGAGCTCAACCATAGCCTCTTCTCATCTCATAGCCATTGGTCCAACCAGGCAGAGGGGTCATTATATGTCCTGAGTTCGGAACAAGAATCGTGCAAACGGAAATCCAGCATTATGCCATCTGCTCCGCTGGCTACCTCGTCAGCTGTGACGAAACGCTGAGTTCCTGCAAGGTATGGCGTTTCCTTATCGACTCTCTCCCTGTCCCAGAACAAGCTATGCTCGTCAAAGGCATCTACCAACGGCTCCTGGTCCTTATTGATCTCGGTGCCAAGGAAGAGAACCTGGTGTAGCCAAAGGTCAGCTCAGCACTGTCATATCTGCTAGAGTAGCGTCGGAGAAACTCTGCCATCTCGTGCTTGCAAAATCTCTTGATCTCGTAGGGCTCCATAACCAGCTCCAGCTGCCGATTGGATGATCAAGAGTCGTTCGGAGCTCCTCTAGGTGCAATCCAAGGCACGCTCGGGAAGTCCTGAGTTCATCGCTCAGCCAGGAGTCGCCGTGGCGCTTATACAGGTCGATGAACTCTACCCCGAATTTGTTGGTAAGCCACCTGTTGTCAGAGGGACCTTTGGGGACCCTGCACGGTGTGCTTTTGAGTTCTGAGTGAATTACTGGTAAGTAAAGGCGCTAAAAGTTCAATGGCCAGGGTGTCAAAGGGGTACGGAGATGGCTTCGACTTTCAAATGTGCAAGGTAATATTTGGCTGAACCAGGAGTGCTTAGCCGCATGATGGTTACCTTTTTCTCGCAAATCCTCAACCAAGTCAAATTCCCAGATGAATCTTGCTTGTCGATACTCCCATGGCGCTAGGTGGGGCCATAGGTGGACAATCGGGTCAGGCTCTCCTCGCGGTGGCACAACCGGGATTAGGATTCGGATGATCTCCATGATGTACATGATGCGATGGAATCGGAAGAGCTCGGTTGGAGAGGGGTCGAAAAGTGTGACGAAGCTGAAGTAGTATCTGGAATGAGCCAGAATGGCTCGGTGGACAGACACCATCCGCACGGCCAAGGTGCGGTCGACTTCGGCCGGCACCTGAGTCAGCTGTAATGCTTCTTTAGCAAGGTATTGCTTGCCGAACTTTGAAATGTGGCTGCACAACTCTCTCCATGTCCCTTGGATATGTTCACCGATAGTTGGCTTCCAGGCAGCACGTTTCGCCACAAGATAAACCATCGCGAGGGAAATGAGCTCGGGTTCAATGTGGCTCTCTATCCACTGACAGAGAATTGTGCGTTCTCCGTGTTTCAAGGTCGCATAGAGTTGTTTCGAGGTCAATGCAAGGTTGTCAACGCCTCGGAGGTCGAGATAGCCAAAGATGTGCTGCGTGATCTCAGTGGGCAGTTGCTCGAGTGCGCTCTTGGCTCTCGTCGCCCCGTTCGGGTTGTCCTTTGCCATGGCTGTTCGGATCAGAAGGGGCCGTCTGCCGCGGATCATAAACGCAGTGATACACACTATTGTTGACGTTTTGATGAGGGTCAGGGGATCGTGGCCACGTAAAATAATGAGTAGAATATAAATCGATATCAGGGAGTGGCAGCGCGAAGAGTAACACACCCAACCACGGGGAGATAGAGGGAGGAGGGAAGAGGCCTGTGGACACCTCCGTACGCGCCTCAAGATCAGCTACTGCCGTAAAGATATCCTCACGGTCTAATGTCGACTCTAGTGTATCAGGGTGCCTCATGTGGCAAGACCTCAAAGCAGCATAAATGTACAACTATTCATATTCCTGATGCTCTAAGAGGTTCGCCATGAGTATCGACAGACGCACGTGCTACTAAATCAGAGGCCAATTCCGCGCAAGTGTTTGCCCACAGTCCTCATCGACCAGAAACTACCCATATCCATACTGTTCATTGTTCATAGCGCCATGCACCCAAATAGACCTGGGGACTCGAAACCAGCCCTTACTCTCCGTATTCGGGATCCATGTCGCTGTAGTCGACCACCTTCCCGTCCACCGCCTCTACCAGCTGATCGCTTGTGACCATAGCACAGTAGTCTGGAGCGTGCAGCTCAACCCTTTCGCGGTCCCAGAACATGATGCGATCACCCATGAAATATAGCAATGACTTGCCGAAAAGCTCCTCTGCTGTCCCAATATCTAGAACGTCGTGCAACCAGAGATTGACGACGAATCTGTCCTCGGGAGATGGGAATCGCTTCAGCAAATCTCCAAGAGCTGTCGCGTTCAGGGTGTCGGGGCTATTGGGGTCTGCAAAATAGCTCCAGCTGCCTAGAGCGTGATCGAGTCCGTCTCGGAAACGAAGTCTCGGGATGTGACGTCGCGGCCACACACTGTCAATCTGACTGCTCAACCACGCGGGGCTATTCTCGAAGCAAAGTCTCTCAAAGGTGGCTCCAAAACGAGCCGCGAGCCCACGCTCGTGTTGGCCCAGCAAGCTGCGATAGCCCGTGGGGGATCGGAGGCAGCAAACTAATGATCCTGTTAGCACCACGCTTCCTGCATACTGTTTTCGTGGACAGCACATACTTTGACCAACAGTGTCGATGGCACACAGGTGCAGATACCGGGTCTGACGATAATCCCAAGGCGAGATATACTTCCAAAACACCTGCAGTGGGTCTGGGCTGTTCTCGGGAGGCTGGAGGGGCATCAGAGTTCGGATGATCTCGATGATGTAGGTCGTTCGCTGGACGCGGCCGCATTCACGGTCTGATGGTCTGAACTCATCCGACATTTGGAAGTAGCTGACTGCGAATGTCATCACGTCGTGGTGGAAGGAGATCATGTCTCGACCTGCGGAATAGCTGAAGTCCTGGACAGGGAGTGACGGTTGCTTGCCGCGATGATCGATGTACGTCGCGCAAAACTGGTCGACGTTGACGCACAGCTCCTCCCAGTTGGTCTCACGAGTGACGTCTGTGGTCTGCCTCCAACCTGCTTTGGCTGCGGCGAAGTAGGCGATGGCCAGTGGTAGGATCTCAGGCTCGAGAGTGTGCTTGATTGAGGCGTACACGATGTGACCCTCAGCGCGTTGAAATGCCGCTAGGAGATGCTTGGATGAGAGTGCTAGAGGCTTGATCGAGTTCAGATCGAGAAACCCGTACACCTGCTGGATGATCTCGACGGGAAGATGCTCGAGAGAGCTCTTCGAGGCTTCCTGTACAGTCGTCATGATGGCGCTGGGGATGCTCGCTCGATAGAACTGTGGGCAGGTCGATGGTTTGTGATGGAAATCCAGCTTGATGTTAGTAGAGGGTCGAAGACGAAGTGAAATGAAGCTGAGACTCTGCTGGCTGGTGAGATTCTGAAGGGTCTCAGCGTGCGAAGATGGTGAAGATGGCAGGACAATCGAGGTGCGAGGGGTAAAGTGAATGAAGCAAACGGAAAGTCCTCGAGAACGTGTCCGGGCTTTGGTTTGGTAACTCGCAGGGTGGTGAGAAGAATGGAGGGGTGGTTACTCCACGTTTGCTCGACGGCGATGATGATTCACTGGTCAAGCCGCAACCCTGGACCAGAAGAAAAGAATTGCGGCTGTTGCCGCAAACCGGCGGCCAGACGGGACGGCGGCAAATGTTCTAAATGCAATCGATTAATAGAGCATTGGATTCGCGGAACAGGGAGATATAAAATATCAGCTACTATTCCGGCCTGGAGAAGATATTTCGGCCTTCTCCGTGCCTGTACATACAAGATCAATTTGAGATTCAGTCGCTCGACATACAGAGCACAGACGTATACCTGCTGCATACCTTACACATCACTTGCAGTAACCAAGGAGCACTGAATGTATACAACTGTTGTCACGATATAGGAGATAGCTAGGTATACGGACGAGCGGAACGACGTTAATCCAGGGGGATCGCCCTCTATATAACAAGGCTTATAGCCTATTTCATTTGTAGCTCCTTCAGGATCAACTCTAGTCAATTTCCATGCTCTCATGCCTGTTTTATTGTGACAACTATTACCCGCCTACAGTTGGGACCTCACAGCATGGGAAGAACTAGGAAACCCGGCTCACTAGCGCATGTCTTGTACGTCTTCCTAGACTGGGCTTGGAGAGTACTCTGTAGCTACCTAAACTGCGACTCAGGAACATAGCCTTACTACATACTCTGTTTTATGGTTGACCCTCGTTCCATAATTCCCACACACCATTATTACACATTATCAGATTGTCCTTGGTCCTCGATCTAAGCAAACACACGCCGATATTAAACATTACCAGATCGTTCATGATCTCTGTTCCATAAGTCACCCACATCATTATGCTGGCCTCCTGACACTCATGACATTACGACGCATTGGTCTCCATCATACTCCTCAGCTATTGAGTACTGTGCCCCGGAGCCAACCGAAATGCTGGCATTAGTCAGGTCGGTGCGAAGTGTAGTCGACGACCTGGCCCACAAAGGCGTCCATGATCTCTTCCATGATATGTGGAGGATCCTCCTCGTCGCCGTAGACTTTTTTCATTCGCTCCTTGTCCCAGAACAGGATTTCATCGCCGCGCTTGCGTAGAAACGAAAATATGCCGGGATCGCGGTGGCATCCCATGAAAAGCATATGTTCTAGCCATAGCTCAGCGGCAAGGCTCCCTTCCGGCTGCGGATGCCGGGAGAAAAAGACTCTGAGATCCTGGCGGCGAATCATCTTGACTTCGCCAGGACCCACGAGCCAACTCCAGCTGCCATCGGGGTGAGCTGGCCAAATGAACGGTATGCTCCAGTCGTCGTAATCCAAGAAAAGCTGCGACAGCTGCGATAATTCCTGCTGTAGCCATGCCTTCCCATTCTTGCCAACTAGCCTTGGAATGCTAATCCCATGTCTATCAAAGAGTAACAGAGCATGGCGCATGAGTTTCTTCGTATCTGGAAGGACACACTCGAGGACTAATCCAGAAGTTAGACAGTTCTTCTTCTCTGGAGTAAATGCCTTATCATGATCCATTCTTACAATCTTTTGTGATGTAGGTTGCAGTCAAGAAGGAAAACTTAGACTGGCGGTATTCCCACGGAGCAAAGTGCTTCTAGAACTTGCGTAGCGGATTCGGCTGACCTGCTGGGGTGTTGCAGGGCATCAGGCTTCGGATGATCTGCATGATGTAGACTGATTTCAGGATCCTAGCGGTCTCTGCTGCCGACCTAGAAGAGAAATTCCAGCAGTGCGATGAAGCCCACAGTCGGGCGTCGTCATGAGTTTCAACCATCTGCATCGCGTCTCTGTATGAGTATTTGCCCTTCGCGAACCAATGCAGACGTTTATTGTAAACGAAGTGTTCCGTGCAAAAGCCATCGACCTTATCACAAAGTTCTTCCTAAGAGCATTGGAGGCCGTCGCTTTTTAGGGACTTCCACTCCTCTCTGTTCGCCTCGAAATGAGCGACCGCGAGAGGCATGATGTCTAAACCGACATAGTTCTGCACCACCTTATAGAGGATGATGCCCAAATCACGTCGGAGAGTCTCATAGAAGCGTCTGGAAGTAAGGGCGAAGGCCGTGATCGAGGGCAGGTCCAGCTCGCCATACACGCGTTGGACGAGCTCGACTGGAAGGCACTCAATCGTGCCCTTCTTCTTGGTGGTGTTGGCTGCCATACTGTATGTCATTGATCGACAACGATATGAATTGCCGTAGGATTTCTGAATCGAGTGTATGGGTGGACTGATGGGATGCGACGGGGATGGTATTCATGAGTCGCTTTCGAGTTGCGTGCGTGACTATGTCAAGGACAGGCGTAACCAATCATGAACTAATGATGAGAGGCAAGTCCTGCAAAGTGGCGATGGGATGTAGATCTCACAGCGGGATGATATTCCCCGGCAAAATCTCAGGGTGGGATGCAAGTCTCATAATGTGTTGTGAGAGTAAGAAACGTGTCGATGCCCAAGAGTGAGCGGAAAGGGCCAGAGACTGGATAGAATGGGCCAGCGACGCGTCGCGTAGTATTTGATGGATGCAAGACGCGGTCTGAAAGGTTTTTTTATGCCACGAAAAACAATGGAGTGCCAGCTAACTGACTGCACGTCTCCATTTGAGAAATGGATTGCGCCGCGCCGCGCCAGACTGACGTATCAAGTTTTGTAAACATTGCAGTACATGACTGGAAAAGTATCCACCAAAGACCGCTTCAGCCGTTCTTTTCGACTCCCACAGATTTTATTACAATCATTCATTTTACACTTGCTGCTGCTACCTCGTCCCTTTCGACCGATCCTTCTGGACTGATCCCTATGTCATTTAAGTCGAATGCATGCTTCTGAAGAACTTGATACGATGTATCTTATTGAATACTGTGTGATATCCAAAGATAAGGCACGGCTTGACTAACGGGGAAAGAGTCTCAATAATCTCAAATGACCGAGACTTGACGAGCATTAATCTTCAGCAACTCCTTGACAGAAATGATACGTTCATCGCCCTCGCAGCCTGCGAGGTCGCCGTCGGCTAGATTCTGTACCACAGTTTTCATATTCTCAAGTGCATGGCTCTCTGCTAACGCTCGATATTCATCTGCCTCTCTTGTTTGATTTCCCGACAGACTCCTTTCCAAGAGTATATTGAGCAAGCACCCGTAGTTCTGAGCCTCCACACAGGCACGTAACTCGGCATCTTCAGCAAACAAGGTAGGATGTTTACTTAGCAGCTGGTCTGTGAGCGGAGCCACGGCCTTGATTCTGGCACGCATTAGGTGGTTCGCATAAATGACCACGTTAGCGCCAGCTTCATACAAAGCCGCGCGTGCTGTTTTAGAGTACGTCGTTGGTACCACCACTAACGGCGTGGTGGCATCCTTAGCTCGAAAGTGTCGGAGAAAGGTGAGAACCTCGTGCGGCTCAGTATCTTTGCTATGGATCATGATGGCATCAGCTCCACCATCTCTGTAAATGATAGCGCGCTTCTGTGCGTCCTGAAGAGCTGCCTGAATGGAGTTATCCTCCTCAACGGGGTCTTCTTTACTGATTCGAGTGGTCAAACTCTCGATTCTGGCTGTGATAAGTATATCCTTGCCAGCTGAAGCTTGCTTGAAAGCTTGAAGTGTCTTGGAAAACTCATGAGGATCTGCCTGTGCCTGAGATCCAGAGGTCTCTTTCAGAGAGTTGACCTTTTTGCCCGGCTCAGAGACAGCCTTGTCCTCAATGATTATCATCGAAACTCCCTTGATTTCCAGGATGGCGACCAGGGCGGGAATATCAGCCAATTCACCACCACTGTCGGCATCAAAAGCCGCACACAGTGGACGGGTATCTTTTTGGTGCAGATAGTCGTTGAAACCAAACAAGGAAGCTCTCTTCAACGGTGAAATGAGTTCAGTGTCTGGAATGCCGAGATGGGTTGTTTGAGTCAAACCGCTGATCCAGAAGCCATGAAAGCTTTCGCCGTCCTTGCTGACTGTTCGTCGGATGACCTCTTTCGACGCGCGATCATGAGCTTCTAGGAGGCGGATCCTTCCGTCATTGTGCGCCAGTAGCGACTTGATTGATGTAGACATTTTGCTTAAAGATAACCAAGAGTATGAATCAAAACAAGATACGATGATCCGCATAAGCCGCGGTCAGATGCCATGTATACCTAAAGGCCATGGCTTGAAGGAACCATCCTTCATATATACACCACACAAATTGGTTTTCACGACCACAGTGGTACACATAGAAGCGCTCGCGTTGCAGCAAGAACGTCAACGTCAGAATCCTATTACTCCGCGCTGAAGCCACTTGCGTCACGAGTTGTATAGAATGCGGTTGCACTCTACAGTTTGTTCTCTGCGGCAAGGACTCAATTGAGCAGTAATGGGCGATCCATCGCAAATGAAAACAAGGAACCAATGCATATCTTTCCCTACCGGTGTGAGACTGCACTGCATGAGTCCAATGAATCCATGTCAGCTTGCAAGAGGGATATGTGAACCTGATCCTATCTAGTCATGGCTCGGGTCATTTATGCAGACTCGACATGTTGTCCTGAGGTGTCGCGTGATAAGCTTCCTAAGGGAGTGATTCGTTGCCACGTTATCCCCCTGCCAAGCTTGCTGCATGTTCCTTGTCTCGCTTCTTATCCGTTTTTCAACAGTGCATCATGGCAACCTTGCCAACAGAACATATAATTGCACGATGGTGGTAAGCCAAAGCCTGGTCCATGCATATAATCCTTCGGTTGTGACCCGCGATTGCCGTTCGTCCTCTGGGTCCGTTACATCTGATTTGCTCTTTACTTTACTGAATGGGCTGCCAGAACTTTTGAGCATGGATGTTGACGTGATCTGACGTGAGATAACATGCTGAAACAGGACTGGTATACGCCGTACTGGCTCTTTCTGAAACCTCATCTTCATGAATATCTTTTTATGAGGAAGATTCTGGTTTCCGAAGTGAAAAGAGACCGGTAAAGGATGACTGAGGAAAATATTGCGAATTGCTATCGAAATGACATGCGTGTATTTAGTTTAGCAGATAATTTCCGTCACTACCACGATGACTTCATCGTATGACCTAGTCATAGACAGTCTGTACGTGTAATTCTACGCTGACTGCAGGCTATGTAATATTTGATGCTGAGTGAATTTGGCTAACAGCTCAGTATATGTTATAGAAACAAGAACTACGCCAGGATTGACTTTAACTTCCGTTCAATTGCATCCAAGAACTCTTCGGTGTGAACAAAGCTGTCCCCTCTCCCTGAAACTACAGCGAGATCTTTTGTCAGGATTCCATCGATTTCTACAGTCTCAATGCAGGCTCTTTCCAAGTCCTCAGAAAAGGATACAACATCAGGTGTGAGGTCAATTGTACCTCGTCGTTTCAGGCCCCGCGTCCACGCAAAGATGCTAGCAATTGGGTTTGTAGACGTCGGGTTGCCTTTTTGATGCTCGCGGAAATGCCGAGTCACAGTTCCGTGTGCAGCTTCCGCTTCGAATGCGTTGTCATCAGGGGTTGTCAACACACTTGTCATTAGGCCCAAAGAACCGAACCCTTGTGCCACGATATCAGACTGTACGTCGCCATCGTAGTCTGAGAGCAGCAAAGCCAATGTCAGCAGAGTCCAGCGATTATTTCCATTCGTTGGAAGGTTTAAGGCGTGAACAGAGTTAAACGACTTACTCTTCAGTGAAACGATGAAACCTCCTTGACTCTTAACCATGTACGCGACCATGTCATCAATTAGTCGATGGGAGTAAGACAGTCCAGCCTTCTTGAACTCGCTCTCGTACTCAGCTTGGTATATGTCCTGAAAGATGTCACGACACCGACCATCGTACTTTTTCATGACAGTGTCCTTGGTGGCAAGATATAGTGGGAGTTGTCTACTCAACGCATACTTGAAGCTGACATGAGCAAAATCCCGGATGGACACATCCGTATTAGGCTGTGCTTGGGCTATACCGCTGCCTTCGTATTTGAAGACTTCGATGCGCGTTGGTTCTCCCCCTGTTGGGGTATATACTAATTCAAGTGTTCCTGGGCCAGGAACAACGAAGTCTTGCCCCTTGTACTGATCGCCATAGGCGTGGCGCCCAACGACGATAGGTTTTGTCCATCGAGATACGTAGGGCTTGATAGAGGGAATGATGATGGGTTCACGGAATACGGTGCCACCAAAATAATTGCGGATGATTCCGTTAGCCGATGGCCAGCGTTTCTTGAGGTTGAATTCTTTGACTCGTTCCGCATCAGGACTGATGGTGGCACATTTTACACCGACACCGTATTCCCCAATGGCAGCTGCGGCATCATACACAATTTGGTCATCTGTGTCATTGCGGTTCGGGAGGCCCAGATCAAAGTACTTTAAGTCAACATCCAGGTATGGATGAATGAAACGACGTTTAATCTCAGCCCATATAACGCGGGTCATTTCGTCGCCGTTCATCTCGACGAGAGGTGTCTTGACCTGTTTTGGACGTCAACACAATGCCCCACTGCGTCGTGAAACTGGGTCAGACCCGCCTTGATCCTGGTAACAGTCGACATTTTGTGCACAGTCTTGGCTCTTGAGATTCAGAAAAAGATAGTCGCAGACTCTTTGCAGTAGTCGGGATTTCAGAGGGAGGTAGTACTACACACAACGAGCACTAACTTAGTGTCCGTGGGAATCATGGGCCTTTTAAAAGGCTCCTTGCCGTTCCATATTTACTTAATGCAACATGGGAGAATCAACTGAATACTTTGAAAATCGACATTGTAGTAATGAAACTACCAGATTGGCGCAGTTTTGCACTCCAGGGAGACCATCCCTGGAGAATCCCCGACGCATTTGGGTGCCACAGCTTGTCATGCAGATCTTGCTGGAAGCAGAAAGATAGCACGCGACACACGTTGTGCGACCCAGATACCTCTTTGAGAGTAGGTACATATCTATCGTCTATTGTTGAGATACCACTGCATTGCCTGGAGCACACAATCTTACATGCATAGGCACCCTGTCAGCCTGAAGCTTATCTTCGCCTTTTCGTGCAATCCTGAGTTCGAAATATGGATTTCTAACATGGGTTAGGATCCAATGGGAATGGGCCGCCCGCTAACGAATGTCAAGCTTTATGCATGACGTGATTGTCAATTGGGGTGATCTCTAGAAAGTCCATGGCTGCCGGAAATGACTCCGCGGGACAAGGGGGGCTATGCAAGCCATAACTCCCATCACAGCAGAAAACCAGTACAAGAGCAACATTTGCCATATGTCTACAGGACACCTAGTCGCGTAGGCAGACTGCGACAAGAGGATCGTGCATGCATGGTACTTCGCCAATTTGGTCACATGCGACCTGGATATGTGACCAAATCTCGGACGGCAACCTACAACGTGCCCGTTTACAGTTGTAAAAGAATACGGTGATGACAGTAAAAGTCCATCAGATGGCTGAGCAACACACGTTGCGGTAGCGAATGGCCCCTCGGGTCTGACATGCGTCATATGGTGGATCTCGGCCGGACCACTTAGAAAGGAGCCTGAGAGGTGCATGGGGATAGGCTGACTGGAGTACGATGAACCTGAAGAAGTCGCGTAGACCGTTGAGGCGTGATGCAAACATCTGCGGCATCACGCCATCCGAAATGCGAGACAGGCACCAATTCCTTCACCTGGAAAAGGAAAGGGACACCGGTATCGGGTAGTGCTATTGACGAGTTGTGACATTTCGTCCCTGCCGTTATCCAGAACCGCAGGCCTACTCTTCAATATCGTAGATCCTCACGGAAGATGGTGCCCGTAGTCGCCAACATGAAATCATACCAGAACACCCGATCTCTGCCACCAGAACGGCCTATCATTGCGTTCTACCCAGTGAGGCTCCGCGAGAGCTTTCGATAAGCAGCCGTTGCAAGGGCGCCAATCGGCTCGTATCGAGGATCACCTTAAAGCACGAAGTCAGCCAATTATATATCGAGATTAAGCTTGACGGGGTGGGGGGAATCTATAGTGCGGGGATGAGACAATGTCCCATGGCAGAACGTTTAGCGACTTCTGGCACAGCCGGCCCCAGCTTTGGAATCCCGTCGCTGTCTGGTAGAAATGCTTCCTGCTTGTCCTTGCCCATTCAACACAGCTCACAGCTTCTGGCGTCCAAAGGACGTGACGTATTCCCAGTTCAGACATGACCGTTCCTGCCACCCCACACTCTCGAGATAAACCCAACGGCGTCAAGGCGGAGTTGCCACCCGCCGGAGGTGTCGTCACTCAAGCATCTGGCGACCTTGAAGCTGGGCCTGGAGAAGCAATCCCCATCCCCCCAGACCCGAGGACAGGATTAGACCCAAAGCAAAGCCCCAATGCCAGGGAACATGGCAGCAAAGACGCACTTGATGACCAGACATCTCGCCTGCCATTTCGTCGGCTAATGGCGGCGTACTTGTGCCTTGCACTTATCTACTTCATCTCTACCCTTGATATCAACTCTGTTGCCACAGCACTGCCAGCAATCTCACGGTCGCTGGATGCAGGAAGCAGCATCACCTGGGTTGGTACTGCCTACTTGATGGGTCAGACCAGCTTTCAAGCATTGTACGGCCGGCTCTCTGATATCTTTGGTCGCAAACCTGTCTTGTTGGCATCTATCGGCTGCCTAATCGTTGGTGATATCCTTTGCGGCTTTGCCACAAATGTGACGTGGCTATATGTATGCCGTGCGCTAAGCGGCGTGGGAGGTGGTGGCATTAGCTCTCTTGTTCAGATCACCGTTAGTGATCTTGTCAGCCTCAAGGAACGAGGGAAGTACCAAGGAATGCTCAGTGGGGCTATCGGTCTCGGTGCTGGCACGGGCCCTTTTCTCGCCGCCGCCTTCATAGATGGCGATAGTACCGACGGCGATGGCTGGCGATGGATCTTCCGGGTACCACCTATATTGGCTGCTGTCTGCCTACTTGCCATGTCGATGGCCCTACCACTTAAGCCAGTCACTGGTAGTTGGCGAGAGAAACTCGCAAAGATCGACTGGTTTGGACTTGGTGCTGCTGTCACCGCCGTCGTCTTTGTCCTAGTCCCCATCAACTCGGGAGGTAGCATCTTCCCCTGGAACAGTGCTTTGGTCATTGCGATGCTCTCGATAGGTTTCGTCTTCTTTATCGTCTTAGCTGTCATCGAGAAGAGGTTTGCCCGTATTCCTATTATCCCACTGCGTCTGTTTACCCAAAGGTCTACAGCTGCAATTATGGTTCAGAGCGCCCTTTACAACTCTGTGTGGCAGATCGATATCTACTTTTTACCTATCTACTTTCAACAAGTCCGTGGATACTCTGCTTTGCAGAGCGCAATTCTTGTTCTTCCGTTGCTGCTCCTGCAGAGCCTTGCTGGAGTGGCTTCTGGCCCCATAATGAGTAAGATTGCAAGATACGGACCGGTCTTGTACTCAGGGATGGCCCTGTGGACCTTGGGTGCTGGCCTCAAAATTCTATTCTCCCTGGATACTTCGGTGCCTGTATATGTATTAGTACTTGCTATTGAAGGCATCGGTATCGGCCTTGTGTTGCAGCCTGCCTTAGTTGCCTTGCAAGCGTTGTCCAGGAAAGAGGATCGCGCAGTGGCTACTTCGGTACGCAACCTCATGCGAATGCTTGGGTCTGTCTTTGGTATGGCATCCTCCACAGCCATAAAGTATGCTGTCACCAAAGCAGCACTTCCGACGAGTATGCCCTTGGCACTGCAAGCAGTTGTCATGGACGGGACATGGGTCAGAGGGGATCCTGCTTTCGTTGAATGGGAAGCAGCTGTACTAGACGCTGAAATGCGTGGAATACGTGCTGTTTTCATCATGATGGCACCATTGATTGGTGCATGCCTTCTGGGTTGCTATTTTATCCCCGACTCTATTTTGAAGGGGGATGAAAAAGGTCAGAGGCCCCAAGATAGCCATCCGGCTGAGAAAGGTAGTTAGAATGAACGTATAGTGATGAGAATTGTACTTTGGTCATATTTAATGTATATTTTAATATATATAAAGGCAACGCATGGTTTTCTTGTTTACTCTGTAGATAGACATGTTATGTTAAATTTGTTGTGTTTTTTCTCCTATAAAGCTGTACGGTATGAGTGGTAATGTATTTGTTATATTCTGTACAACTCATGTTCAATAATAGTACACTAACAATCTATAGCCCGGCATACTGTACACATTCATCATTAATTAAGGTGCGACAATGCTGTGTATGATCTCCAACCAACTGTTTGACAGTTGGGCCAATAACTGCCGACTATGCTTTAGCCTATGAAAATGCGTAGCCCTACGTGTGCGGACACGTGACTAGGCTCTCTCTCGTTAATCAAATAGTTCATCCTCCATGACCATTTTGGACCTCTGGGTTGCCAAGCCACCGTAAAAGCGCAACTCTCCCAGCTCAGCGCTTGATTTATCCCACCCTTGTAGTTCGTTCGCAGGGTAGCAGAAAGACTTGCCTTGCCCCACGAATCCATGGCCACTTTGCCGTCCTTCAACTGCCAAAGATTGAACAACCATTGTGAAGAGATCCGGTTACTAGAGATACTTCCAGCGAAAGATAACCATTTTTCAATTCACTGCACTATTTCCCATATTCGCCTACAGCGAACTGGTACCCCCACATTTAGTGCGATATCGTACAGATAGGCTTCCCAGGGAGATCTTGAAAACATATATATAGATGGGAAAGTCCTGCGAGTTCGTAAGAACGTGTGGCAGCTACTCTTTGAACTCCGGCGCCGCGCAACTTTGGTACCAACGGAGTCAAAGCAATCGCGCTTCTGGATTGACAGCATATGCATCAACCAAGATGATATTCTAGAAAGAAATCTTCCAGTAACTTTAATGCGCAGCGTCTACTCTATGGCTAAGATGGTGTACGTCTAGCTGGGCCTAGAGCGCGATGACTCTGACACCGCAATGGATTATCTCGCTAAGACATCAGCCAAAGGTACCCATCCCGAACTTCACGACACAGAATAGTATCGTTGCTTTTTTGTGACGGTTTGAAATATGATTGCTTCCACACGTATCTAGCTGATTCCGCTAGATGTACTCTGAGACAATTGTTCTCTTGGGATTATTTGGACCGGCTGTGGGTCATCCAGGAGATCCTCCTAGCAAAGCGACTGAGCCTCTTGTGTGGCCAAAAACAGGTCGAGTGGACAAAGCTGGAATTATTCTTCGCCCTATATCACTCGTACAGCTATAATCAAAACAGATCCTTCAACTTCGAAAGATCGATCAAGGAGTTGGTTCGAAGTGGCTGCAAGCGGGTCGACTCGTGTCAGCGAGATGGTACTTACACGCACGAAAAGCTGATATTAGCTAAAGGCATCTGGGCCCAAAAGTATACAAATTCTGTGAGAAATCCACCGGCTGAGGCTTCTTGTTTTGTATGTCGCGCCCCTTGTCGCCATTTATGTCTAGATCTGTAGTTTGACTCTCTGACTGAGGGTAAATGTCTGGGATTGAGGTAAGTTCACAACGCCTGAAGCCCAGCCACCGCTCCTGCTGGCTTGTGCTCACTCGAGGTACTTGGTAAGTTAAAAGCAGTCAGTAGCTCAAGACGAAAACGGACTTTTGTATGACTGACTTTCGTCCGTGACTATAAGGGGACCTTCACAGAGAGAATAGGTTGCGATCGATTAGCCAAAATCGTCTTCGTATCCTCAGAGGGATAATCAAAGATTACACAAGGCTTAGAAGCTATCTAGAGCCAGTCCATCGGTACGCTACGAACGTCAGGGGTGAGTAAACGGGGGCCACGTTTCGGTAGATTCTCTACGAGAACCGGATTGTTTATGTTAGGGCTTCCGAGTGACAGATGGCGTGGAATCTTGGCCGTGACCTCGTCCACGCTGACCTGCGCCACCGCCTCCCCGTGTGTCTTGGACGGTGGTTTGGAAACGTTTGGGCAACCCTGATGATCTTACTACTGGCCGAGCGTAGCTGCGGTATACTGAATCATCCCCTAGGGTTGGGACTCCCCTGATGCTCCCATTCATTTCGGCTGTGTATTATTTCTTTAGGAGGTATACATAAAGGTAAATTACTACATTGCGGATGATTTATGGCATTGTATTTTCCCAAATTCGGGTTTGCGCTGTGACCTTCACGGTACATGTGGCCGCCAAGTCTGTCGCGGCTCCATTTCGGAACCGTGCACTAGAGAGATAAATTTAGCTGTCAGCAGCGTATTGTTGCATAGCAGCGAGGCTGAGTTGCACTGCGCTGTACACTATTACCCTTTTGTTCTGAGACTACCCATCAAAATCAGCACAGAGCCTTGATGGCGTTCATCGCCCCATGGATAGCTTGGGGGCCACAAAACGCCCGGCTGGCCCAGGCGGTCAATCCGTGCTTGTGAAACACCGCATGCAGTCTCGAAACTGCGCAATCGTGCACCTGCTACCAACCGCATAATTGAAATCGGTGATTGTTTCGCAATAGAGATATCAGGCATTGAAGTACACCATGTAACCCTGAGCAGATGTCAAAGTAATTAGGCAAGCAAATAGCTACCCAGCAGAATTAAAAGTTTACGTCGAAGTTCTCAAGTTTGACAACGAGTCTACGTAGTCAAACATTTCTTGGATGCCACGAGGCTGTAGGATTCACCTCCTTGCACTGTACCGAGATTGTGGCACCCAAAGGATGAGACTGCATATGCAGGGCGTCAGGATCACAGCATTTCGGAACATATAACAGCACTTGACCTTACTTATAATGTGTTTGACGAGGCTGGGGCTGGTGTCGGGTAATGTTGGTCCTGACAAACCGAATTCAGCGTTGAGATATAATGTCCGGTATGGCGTTCTCCTGGGCTCAATTGGCATTCACCACAAACCTGCATCTCACATTGGTTCCACTTACCTTGACCACAATTGCTCAACGGGAGTGTTCATCATGTTGACATTGCGCCTTGGTCGAACTTTGGCATTCGCGGCAGGCCTCACAGCCATTGCTTCCAGTTCAGTCACACCAGATGTTATTATAAGCGCCCGCAGTGCTCCTGGTATGTCAGTGTCGGATACGTACCAAGCTCTAGGAAGGGCTTTATACCAAGCAAAGGTAATGAAACGAAAGGATGTCTTCAAGAATAGTACGTCAATAGCGAAGAGCTGGGTTGACGCTACCTTGTTCAGCTTGTATGTCAAATTCTCTTTCTGGCCTTCCAGTACTTGACCAATCCATGTCTGATCCTAATAATTATCAGTGAGCATGCAGCAACAAAAGATACTGGCAAAGGCAATATTACGACGAAGGCTGGAATCGCGATCACTTGTTCAACTTGCTACGTCAAGGCCAAGGCCACTGCGCAACTGACCGTAGACGGCGATTTCAACGTAACCACTGCGTTCCACAATGTAACAGACCAGATTGTTGATGAGTTTGAGAATGTAAGCAAGTTCTTTCTGTTGAAACAAAAGTGTCATAACTTGGGCAGCATATTCAAGTAATCACCAGTAGTTCTGCATCATCTCGAATTCAAAAGACGACAGTGCATACTGACATTGACGCTAGGTCACTACCACAGTTGTTCAGTATTTTAGCAACGTAGCAACAAAGCTCAGTGATGGTTTCGATCCCGAAGACTTCGCGCTCCCGCCGATTGGCGTCGACTTCGAGATAGACATGCCGCCAATCCCTGAGTCCACATTGTCCTTCCAATTCGATGACCTGGAGTTATACGTCCAACTTGATACAGTCTTGAATGGTGCTATGACATACAGTCTAAACCTTTATACCTCAAACAGCCCGATCGGTGTTTCAGTCGGCGATTCTTTGCAAGCGGGCGTGTTTTTTACGATCGACTTGGTCCTGAGTGCAGAAGCCGAGATCGACATAAGCAGTGGGTTCCATATCAAGCTTGACGACGGCGTTGCTTTGGAAATTGCGCTCTTTGGCAAGAATGTTTCCGACACCACCTTGTAGGTTGGCACTTCATGGTCCCACAGCATGTAGACGTGTAACTAACAATGACAAGCAATGGAGGGACATTCGAATTTCTCCCCGTGACCATCAAAGGTGCTAGTGGTGTTCTCAAAGCTGTTTTGCAACTTGGCGTGACAGCTGGCTTCAATCTAGACCCACCATCATCCCTCCCAAATGCCATCTTCGACGTCAGCGCTGGCGTTATGGTTGGAGTATTTGCTACGATCGCTGAGTTCACGACGAACATCACTGCAGCACCGGCCGGGGATGACAGCGGCTGCGCATTACGCGTGGAGGAAACCTATCAACTTGCTGTTGGCGCCGCTGCCGGCGCCACGGTCGCAATTGGGGATCACACATGGGGACCAACTCCAAATACTACAATCCCGGTGTTTTATACGACAATTGCCGCGGCTTGCGCAAGCACCAAAACTGTGACTGCAACTACCACAGCCTCCTTAGCCGTCAGAGCTGATGGAAACTCCCTAACTGTGAAGACGCTCACTACGCCGGTGACATTTACCGGCGTCCAGTGCTTATCGACAGGCCTGGTCATTTGCCCTGCTTCTCTGCAGATAACCGCAATTACTTCTTCCATCAAGTCACTGATTACAACTGTACCATCTGGTATAGACCCCACGTTTCCGGACTCCGTCCTATCCTCCGTGCCCTCCACGATCGCCTTCGGAACTGCCGCCAATGGTCTCATTTCGAGCACCGGGGCGCCCACTTCCTTTGTCCCTAGCCCATCTGCTGATCCCAGTGGACCGTTAGGTTTCATAAATGGTGTTGATAAGCGCATTATCATCGGCGTTTCCGCTGGCGTGGGAGGTGCTCTTCTCCTTGCCATAATTGGTTGTTGCTTGTAAGTTGAAATTCCCCACCGTGGACTCGCTCATATGGGTTAATGAGGGTACAAGATTCTTTAACAGGCGCAGGAAGTATACTGCTGTGGCGCATTCACCTAACGTTCAATTTAGCGCGTCACCAAGCTCTTATAGCTCCGGCTACGGTCAAAAGAAGGAACCCATGGTTCATACTCGTGTTGACCACGCCTATTAGAGTAGAGATTTTTGTTATTTTAACATTGGAGTTTTGCTTTCCTGATTTAACCTCAGATTTCACTTCTCACCCCGAACAGGAGGAACATGGGTGGATACCCTCTTCACGAATAGATACGAAGTTTGACATCAGCAAAGGGAGAATATATGACAAAATCTTTGCCCTTGTTTGGTCTCGCTTTGGTCCCACCTCATCTCCCCGCGTTCAATCATTTTTCTTTCCCCTTTTGCTTTAGTAGATCCACAGACATCACTCTGTGCATGATGCAATAAAGCAACCATATACCATAACACTGAAGAACTACACAAACTCTCCTGCCGCGATTTCTTGTGCCACTGGATCGTATCTCCATCGACTAAAATATGCGGGGGTACTACCATTCCCGCCATTTCTTGTCGCGTATGCTCCAATAATCGTTCCTGAGGATCACGTGTTAGAGAGACACAGTACCCGATCAAGGAAGCTTCAAAGTGTAAACTTAAGGACTCACCTGTGAATGGTCCACTGCCTCCTGACACGATTGCTGCACTAGCGGATCCCAATACTTTCGAATCATCTTCGTCAGAGGTCGATGATGCGGAAAGGACGTAAGTTCCATCGTCACATGTGTATACAGAAAGTCGTATTGCTCCAACACTCCAATCATCAGGTATCAATATTATCGATTCTTCGGGTACTGTTGTGTTCGGCTTCCCGGATGCCTCAACACGGAATCTTAGGCTTAACTCCAGGGACCCACTTGCGTTACTCAGAAGTATGATCCCGAGGTCAATATGCTGCACCTCCGTAAGGAAAACTGATATTCCTGCCTCCTCATTCTCCACTGTAGGGCTGAAGTCGAGGTCAACGCTGAACTTAAACAAGCTGCTCGTTTGCTTTCGGGCAACGAAACCGAGGCCATCTATAGCCGGGTCGAAGCTAGCGTCTGTGCTCAGGTTTGTTCGGGATGGGTTAATTTGCAGTGTATTCGGACGATCGGGTGGTGATATGGCAAACAGATTGCTTTTAGGTGGCCGCCAAAAGACAAAGTTCTTGGGGATCGACGAACCCGGAGCAAAGTCGACAACATCAGCATCGTCCCAAAATGGGCCTTCTGTTGGAACATCTTTGTTCAGTGGTGGCAAAGGCCCAGTCATGTTGCCTCGGACGGTCTCCGCAGTGGGCCAATTTCCCAACACCCACGTCATGGGGAACAGTACAGTCTCTCTTCCCATTGGATAAATCTCCCACTCTGGTCCTGATCTCGTGGACAGGGCAGCGCCCCACCAGTTTCCATCGTCGTCTTGGAAGAAGTCAGCGTGACCAACTGTCTGGAAATACTCATCCGTATTCTTGGCAGTCAGAAGGGGATTTCCTGGATATCCCTCATATGGCCCGTGTATATCGGTCGACCGAGCTATGGTCACGGTGTGGTTGGTTTCGGTTCCGCCCTCGCCTATCCACAGGTAATAATACCCGTCTTTTTTCATCAGATGCGGGCCTTCAGGGTTTCGTTCACCGGTCCCGTTCCAAACCTGAAACGGCTCACTAGCCGCTCCTGTGGCAATGTCAATCTCACTAATCCATATGCCGCCTGCAACAGCCATGTAGACCTTGCCATCATCATCAAAGAAAAGATCGGGGTCTATATCATTGGATGGGTTCTCAACTCGTACAGGGTCGCTCCAAGCTGTGTCGTTGTAGGGATCCGTAGTGCTGAAGAGCAGTATCTTTGGGGCCCAGCTAGCACTATAGCTTATGTATGCCGTGATTATGTGCAATTTCCCTTCGTGATACCGGATGGTCGAGGCCCATATTCCCTCCATTTGAGACCCCGAGCGGCTAGACAGCTCAGGTAGCTGCGCTTGCCTAGATAGATCTTAGCGGGTTCTGGGCAGGTAGGTAAGATCATGTCTATATCATACCTGTTCAGCGCATGGCTCACCAACTTCCAGTTTTGTAGGTCCTTGCTTGCATATAGGGGAACACCAGGGAATACGAGGAAGGTAGACGTAGTGCAAAAGAAGGTGTTGTCAAGCTCCTTCACGAAAACACAGCTAGGATCTGAGTTCCATCCTGGGAGGACTGGATTGGTAAACGTCTTATTCACCCGGTCGCAGCAGCCAGGTACTATGGCCAGTGCCGCGAAGTATAGTAAAAGGTGGAATAATTGGGTCATGTTGTGCACTACATCTACCAATCATCTATTAAAACAGATGTTTGCAACTCATAACATGAAACTAGTGAGTCTTATATACTCCCTTTTCCCGTGAACGCTTGCCCGGAGAAGGAAGTCGCCATTACTCCGCGTCTTGGCACTGCCCGCATAGAGAGTATTTCTCCACAAACCGTGTTGAATCAACCCCGCCAATGACTCCGAGGCTTCTCTTGGTTTCCCGACGTCATTTCAGCACGTCCAGACCTCTAAACCCCATTTACCCATTGCATTCGCATGCGCACAAATCGTGTGCCACCGGGTATTCCCCGCATGCGACGTTGCTGGGACTATGGCTCGCGAGAGTCAGGAGAGTTTTCCCCAATGCACTACGCCGAGTCCGTTAGGGGAGGGGTGTAAAATATAAGGGAGATTGAGATTTGTTGTCGTACTTTATATCCTTCCCCCCTACGAAGATCTCAAGCATCTTTTTTTACATGAGGAGTTATGTACTCACCGATTATACTGATTACAGTCCACTGCAATCTAGTTAGCTCAGCGTTACTTAAATTGTCAAAAGTCTAAATTATCAATCTCGTAGTGGAAGTGTTCAGTGCAACTTGGCTTTGGACTTATAACTTATGCGAGTATTTATTCTTCGTTTTCATCTGACTCTGGCTCCAAGACTCCCAAGCGAAGTTTCTCCACTACCGATGGATATTCATGAATCCCCTTTTCTGCCACCGCCATCTTATCCAACACCTGGGCCCCCAACTCACGGGCTTGTGTACCAAACCCGCTTCCATCACCGGCTACCACACCGAATCGCGCCTTCCAGCGATCCCATCATTTGTGGGTTAATATCCGCCCACCGAACGCCCTCTTGTCGCACATGTCATAGAGGGCATGGCTTGCATAGAGCATCCACTGAGCCCCCGCCGGTACATATGGCTCGCTCTGAGGTGGTTCTCTGTACAAGGCTTCAGTTCCGAAAAAGGCAGGCTTTATAATGGCGCTTAAATGGGTAGCTTCAACCACACCGGCGCTCAGCAGATGCGCTAGGAAAGCCGAGAAGTTCTGGTACTGAGCGGCCGTAGCCTTTGCAGTCTCGGGGTTTTCGTCTGCTAAGCTCCAGCGGCCGAAGGTTCCTAGATTGTAGAAAGTAAAACAAGTTAGCCATCATAGCCTTGCGACATGGCCCGAGGGGGGTGGTTTTACCAACCTTGATCGAGTTCCCACATCCACTGTACGAAGTAGTCAAATCCATTCTCCGGGCTAAGCACCCATACTTCTTTTTCTATTAGTCCCGCGCCTGACGAGAGGAACGGTACAGAATGGATTGGTATGCGCTGCAGTGCTTTTAGCAGGCTCACGGGTCTGGGATGTCCTGCATGATCAGACGGAATCACCATGGCGGCCCTTCCCAGCGAGTGCCAGACAAAGTGTTGCCAGCCCATAGGCTGTGGCGTTGGAACCGGACTATTGTGTTCTTCTGGCTTCTCCCCACTTCCTATATTGGTGAGAGATTCGGTATATGCGCTAAGGGCCTTTTCGCGATCAGCAGTGACAATGTCGTCAATGATTTTTGCAACTTCTTCAGCGCTTCTCTGGTCATTGACAAGCATTTCAATCTCACGGTCTATGCGTGCTTCATCCGGGGAATCGCCCTCGTTCCAAAGATTGAGGTGAATTAGATGGACTGCCATGCTTAGTGTGGAGTGTCACAGAATAGTAGAAACTGGTAGCTTGCTCTCAGAAGTAACGATATGCGGGATACGGTGCCTGAGACGATAAGCGGACGCCTTTGTATGTCTACACGATAGTTATTTTCACAGCAGTGGTCATTCTTGTGGCTCTCTGGTACAGTATGAAATAGACCGTTCTTGGTTCAGTCAACTGCGCCTCACTTCGACATCATGCCGCTAGTGGATGTTATTAGTTGGGGCAATGCAGTGTTTTAAAAGTGGCAGGTCCTCTGTGGCAACAGCTGATATGACAGCCACGATTCCTTCATGCATGCATGCCAGCAATTGGGATAAATATTTTGTTGTTGGCTAGATACATTGCAGCGCACCCGCGACTGCACGTTTGGGCTAGATGAATTTTCCATATATTGAAACCATTGCAGGGGAACAGCGTTTTCCCGAGACGCTACCAAATCTTGACAGCAGACATGCAGTGAGACGAGGTGCTTTTCAACATAAAAGAAAGCTTCAATCACCATTTCATATATCAGGTCATACTATCTCTTTAGTAGGATCGGAGACCCGACATATTACATCATAGGGAAGTCGGTTGATACAGTAGATGATATGATCATTACGACCATGTAGAGTGTATATGGGACAATATGTAACATGTTCACCTCGTCATGCCAGGTTCTCGCTTTTGAGATGACCACAGTCTGGCACGTTACACAGTCTGTCATGGAGGTCACAGGAGTTCATAGGATTAAAAGCAACAACGAAGGATATTCCTCTCATTCCAGCACATATCATATCTGGATTGTCGACTCTGCGGGAAGCGGTGAGTCCGAGAAGGAAGGAACAGAGTCTGGCCATGGAACGCATGCAAAAACCAGCCTGCCGTCTTGAAGAACCGTGATTGTATGATTTGAAGATTGGACTAGCAGCAAGCGAACTCATACGTACTGTATGTACTTCTATTTCACTAGGAACTTCCGCGCCAATCCACCAGACCAAACATCAACATGTAGCCAATGAACATCTTGTCTTTAGCCTTGCTTACAAGCTATGCCTTATAGTGCTCAGGTCTGCTTCGACCCGTAGCAAACTGTTTTACTAAGTTCTGTGAACAGTCCGCAGACTTTCATTGCCAGACCAGTCTGATCCCTCAGGGCAAGAAGCTGCTGGGACACGAGTTTAAATTCTCCGAATCGGCAGCCAAGGCTGCCATGGCTGCAGGTGGAACTACAAGGGGAGTATCCGGGTCAGTAATCCCAGCCTGTTTAAAAGTCGAAGGAATTGTATTTCAAGTCACTCGGACTAACACGAACGCTTCTCAGTTTCCCACACGAATTCACAGGGGCCGCAACCGATGGTCGTCCCACCCAGGATGGTGGCGGCGGCGGGGGCAGCGGGCGGATAAAATTCCTCGGTGCGGACGCGCAGTGCAACGAGAAGGACCCGAAACTCCTTGAGTATCCCATCTTGCTGGATGGCAAGAAATATAACAGGGACGACAAGCGAAGCGGCGAAGGGCTCACCCACTCCTGCGCGTGTTGTGTATCTCCAGGACGGCAAGACACTCTGTGGTGTTATGACGCACGTTCTCGAAGACAAGTCCACCCATAATGGGAAGGGGAGCTTCAGGGCGTGTGGCAGGTAAATATCTTATATTGTGTACTCAGACTGCTCGGATTGACACACTTTATGGCGTCTCTTTGAATAAGCCTCACCCCCGTTTTGTAGTCAGTAATTGGGAATGGCATGATTTTCAAGACTTCGCCAAATTTGTCTTCATTATACATGCGATGCACCATGCGCTCAAATAGCAGTCACTAACCTCATAGCCCACTTTGCACACCCCGAACTATGCTGCCAAATCACAGTCAGAAGAGCGATAGCAGAAGGGAAATTGCGTTCGTTGATTGGCCTCCAGGATCTACCCTGGACGTGCCTACTCCATGCATGAAACTCGTATTACAATACAGTGAACCTAGCATATATCCCCTTTTAAACTTTCCAGACCTCTGCGCGGCCACGTCCGATACGCCTTGCCATGCAATCCGTTGTCCTATGCACCTCCTCTATGTCGTTACCATGCCTCGTGTGCGATCGTAAAATATCAATCCTGGGTACAAGTCAGCTGTGGAGCCTGCACAGAGGATTGAATTGCAGAGGAGAAAGATGGTAATGGCTGCATCAGAGTGAATTTTATCCATCAACGAAGATCTCAGTCCCGTCTTGAAACATATTTGGGTGACAAATATCATCATAACAGCATGGTGCGAGTGGGGGGAAAAGTGGCAAAGGGAACGTTGGGAAGCATACCTGGACGGCGTGGGTGAGCGGTCAACCTGCGACCGCGTCGTTGAGTGAATCCCATCCATGGCTAGACCAGGGGGCAATAAAAATGGCCGTCTGTGCATCCGCCGCTCGTGCCGTGCCGGCATAGGCATTCGCCAGATCGGTGGCGCCCAACTCGCCTCTGGGAGGAATGGCCTTCATAGCCACCTCGAGAGCCAATTTGGCCGGGTACTCTTCACCGCTTGCTGCAGCAAGTCTAGACCACCCGTGTGGAAGGTGCGGATATAGCATTACATCACTCTGTATCTGCGAAGTAACGTCATCATCGGTGCTGTTTGATGACAGGGCAGCCACTGCTCGCAATACATCGCCAATTTGGGAGTGCTCGGCATCTGTGACTTTGTCGCTTGTCCGTAGGGTTTGGAGCTCTGCCACGACGGCTTCGAGGGACTCCTCATCTGCATCTAGAAGGGCAACGACACCTAGTAGCAGAACCGACTGAACATGGGTCGAATCCTCGCTAATCACCTCGAACAGCATTGATCGAGCCCGGTCACGTGCCTCATCCGTGCCAACAGCCCACAAGACTTGTGCCAACAGGCAAACAGCATCCGGGTTGTTGCTTGACTCTTCAAGGGCAGACTCGAAGTACGAGAGCGACTCGTTCACGTTCTCACTGAAGTACTGTGCAAGACCAACAGTAAGATGCGCCGAGAGTCTGGCCTGCCTTCGTTGCTCAGCAGTCAGGTCGCTCTCCGAGTCCACACTGCTGAGCTCCAAGGCCACTTCTCCACACTCGATGGCCTTTTCATACTCGCCGGCAGCAAGATAAGAACGGGCGAGGTCCGTCTTGGCTAAAGCAAACCGACCAGCAGACAGTGGCGACTCGGTAGCTTCGTAATTCGCCTCCAACTGTTCACAAGCCTGCTCCAGTGTAGCGATAGCCCTGGGACTGTCGTTTGTACGCTCCTCGAAGAGAGTGGAGAGATGGCCATAAGATATACTCTGTGGATCCAACCCTTGCAACTGTCCGAGGGCAAACAGGGGTTGCACCAAGGAGATGACACTCAAATTTGGCGGGTTGGTTACGATATGATCAAAAAGCGAGACTGAGAATTGCCGCCGCGTGATCAGAGATGACGACTCGGCAATGTCCATGGCATGCGTGAATAAGCCGCGCGCTTCCTTCGCGTCACCATACAGCAAGGCGACGAATCCTTGTCCCAGCCAAGCATGGGCGTAGTCCGGGTCGTTGGATTGAGCTCTCGTGAAGGCTTCATTTGCGACCTTGATATCGTTTTGGAGAAGAGCCAAGGCACCAAGATTCGTCCATGTGTGGGGACTTCTCTCGTTCAGATACAAACTTCGTACGAATGCATGTTGCGCAACAGAGGGATTGACTTCACTCGTCACAACACCCAATGAGTTCCAGAAGTCCGGATTGCCTGCTTCTAACTCAATGGCGCGCTTGAAACATCTGACGGCTGCTTTATGGTAGCGACTGGGCTTAGACTTCAATTCGGCGGGCAAGCAGGAATGAGCACGGTACTCAGCCCAACCGAGATTGTAATGCGCGACAGCCTGAGCGTGCACATCGTTTGTCGAGAGAAAGACAGCTCGCTTATGGGCCAAGATTGTTGCGTGAAGGCTTCGTGTAAGATCCACGCCAAGTCGCTCGTCCTCCGCGAAAATGCCCTCGGCGAAGATCACACCCTTTTCAACTCCGTCAACATCATGAAAGATGGCGTAGGCAGCGTCGTGGTCCTCTCCAAGGTCAATAAGATTGCGGATGACTTCAGTCGGGAATTCTTCGACTCGGCTTTGGACTGAGGAGTACACCGAACAAGCATCGCCGATTACTTTCCAAAAGTTGAACGTCGACGACACCTCACGCGATACCGTCAACGCATAAGTGAGGGTCTCGTTGACTAGTTGAACGGGCTTCCCAAAAAAGCCTTTATCCAAACCATCCAAAGCGCTCTCAACCATCGTCTGCATGAGGGCGATGGCAACACCTTGTTCGTCGGGCCGTGTCTTGGTAACTTCCCAGTACAAATCAATGGCGTCATCATACTCGGCAATTTCACGCTTGACATTAGCAAGCATGTATTTTGTAAACCAGGTATCGCCAAGACTAGTATCGGCGGAGTCCTCCAGTTTTTGCGCATTGTTGATGGCCTTCGTAGCGGCGATGAACCGGCCAGCATTTGCATAGCTCTCACCAAGGCCTACCCATGAGTGGTAGTCGTGCGGTGACATGCGCAGAGCCGACTGAAAGGAGACAATAGCCCTGCCATAATCTTGCTTATTCAGCTCCGCGACACCGAGGGCAGAAAACGGCCAACTGATGCCTTTTCTTTTAGAGCCGGGGGGAGGTCGCACCTTTCCGGAATCCACGACTCTCTGTGCCACGAGCTCGACACGATCCCAATCGCTGTCATCGGCAAAGGACCTTGCCAGGCGTTCAGCAGACTCGATCTCCGAAGGTGATAGTTCAACGGCTTTCAAGAAGCATTTGCGAGCGCGTTTCTTATCCCTGGCATATTCTGCGTAGTACACTCCCAAACTTGTATATGCTGGGGCATAGCTGAAGTCGCTCTTTAAAGCATCCAGGAAGTACCCATATGCGCCAGTGCGGCTCTTCCTGGCCGCTTTGGACGTATCCAGGTTCCAGATGCAGACACCCAAGCGGTGCTGAGTTTGCGCAAGGAGCTCCTTTGAGGCAGCGCCCTTTTCGGACATGGTGTGAAGGAGAGATTCAAGGTCGGACTTGCACCTTGTGAAGTCGCCTTTCAAAGCATAGAGCCAAGCAACCTCGGCTGCGACACGGAGATTGCTAGCATCGCGCTTCAGTGCTCGCTCAAGGAAGTCAATGGCTGCATCATATTCTTCTTCCTCCTCGTAGATGAGACCGACACCAATTTGAGCAGGCGTTGATGAGGGATCCACTTCCAGGACCTTCTCAAACAGGAACTTGGCTTCGCCGTGGTTTCGGGGCGACTGATAGAAAACCAAACCCATACCCAAATACAACATGAAAGCCTGGTTTGTGTGCAGAAACACTTTTCCAATCTTGTTAGTCAGATCGACCATGAGCTTCATCGCTTTCCGCATGAGCTCTACATTGCGTTCGTGCTCCTCAAGATGCTGGTAGTACTCGCCAATCAGGCGGTAGGCGAGGAGAGAGTCTGTTGACTCGACGCCTTCTTCCATCATGGCCAGCCTGTCCTCATCGGTGAATGGTATAACTGAGGTTGGGGCACCGCCCTCCTCATCATCTTCACTAGTGTCATCGGCATCGCCAGACTGGTCCGTGGTATCCTGGGCAGGTGGCGTGCTCTTGGGGAATGGAGAGATCTTGCTGGTCATGAAACCGGTAAGCACCTTGTAGAGGTCGCTTTCCGGAAAGTGAGAACAATAGCCGTTGAGAACGGTGGCATCCCAGTCTTTGAGCTCTCTGCAGTCCTGCCAGTTTACGGAAATGTCCCAGGCGAGTCGGAAAGGGTGGTCAATGATGACCATGTCGTGGGCCAGCTTTTGAACGGTAGCAAGCTCAGATTCTTTCTCGGGTCCGGGAACAAAGACCAGCAGGCGATCATATCGGAACTGCAGGAGCTTCTCCTCGTACCGGCGTCTGATGTCATCGTCGGTGGACCAGTTGATGAGCTGCTCATAGATATGGCCCAGTTGGCTCTGCGTGAGCACCTCGCGGTTGACCTCGACGGTCACTGTGCTGAGTGTGGCGCCAATCCTGGTTCGCCGCTCGCCGATGAGCGTGTTGATGCGCTTCTTCTCGTCGGTCTCGACAATCTGGGCAATCTTCTCGTAGGTCTTGGCAGGGTGAGGTACCCGGCCCTCGAGAGCAGGGTAGATGGGGCTGTCTGGGAGGAGGACGGCCAGTGCCTCAACATACTGGGCGCGGTTCCCCTGGGCGTTGGCGAAGTCGACGAACTTGTCGACGACGTCTTGGCACTTGTACATGTCATCTTGGGTGTTGAAAATAGCGGCAAGCTTCAGGGCGGCTTGGCGGTACTTGGTGAGCTTGGCAGGGCCTTGCTTCTCGTACAGCTTGATGAGGCCCTGCCACGGCTGGGGATCCGAGGCCTTGAGACGACTCGCAGCCTCGTAGGCCTTCTCGGCATCCTCTAGCCGGCTCTTCTCAGCGGAGGCGAAGCCGATGAGGATATGGCTGCAAACACGTCAGTGAACATGCCCAGGGGTTAGGTAGCAGGAGACGGAGGGAGACGTACGCCTGGAAGTTCTTGGGGTCGTCGTTGACAATGTCTTGACACTGCTGCAGCACGTCGTCCCACTGCTTCCGCTTGAGCAGCTCACGGACGGCCTTGAGCTTGGCGGTGCTGGACATGATTGGTGATGGCGTGAGGCGCTACCGGAGGAAGGGCAGCGCAGAGACGAAGGGAAAGTCAACCAGGCTGCAGGTGCCGAAGCTGCTCCATCCAGCAAGTGAGAGGGGAGCGGGAGCGGGAGCGGTGGTGTGCGGTTGAGCCGTTTGGACCATGCATCTCATGAGCTCATGAGTGTGGTGGCAGTGGGCAGTGGGCAGCGGGCAGTGGCAGCTTCTGAGGTGCCACCATGCCATGCAGAAAAGAGCTGCCCTGCCGTTCGTTTGGGGCCGTCTTTGTGCGCCAATGGCACGGCGTTGCGGGTCGCCGTGGACCCCCTCCAGCCCCTCGCCGTGGTCTAGCGCGTCGCCCGCCCTACCAGAGGGCGGGCGACGCTGGCTAAACTCCGGGCGCCTCTAGGTGGCCTACAGGGGGTCCCGCTTCATTGGCTTCAGCGTCATCCGTGGCGCATCGCATCGGCTTGTTGAGTCGCCGGGCCTGGGACCACGCAGATGGTGAGGTCTTCTCCAGATGTATAAGAATTATAGAAACTACATAAATGCACCCGAACCGCCCTCTCCCTATGAATCATTGCCCTACAGCAGCCCCGACCCCTCTGTGATCGAGTTGCTTTGCCCGTACTCCTACCTCTGCTCTACTACTTCATCTGTACTAATTCTAGTTGGCACTACGTAACTCCGGCCGAAGGGCTACAGGCGCCCGACGTCATTGCAGCCGCTTCGCCCCTGGCACCCCTGGACACAGTCTGGAAGCCATCTAGATTAGACACGAGCCTCAGCACGAGGTCGACCGCAAACACCCCGTCCACCTCTGCCGGCCATGGCTACCCTGCGCCTGACCATTGAAGATGGCCAATTCAGAGACAACCACGGACGCCAGGTCCTGCTCCGCGGCATAAACGTCGCCGGCGACGCCAAGCTCCCCAGCACCCCCGACGTCCCGTCTCACATTGCCGACGACTTCTTCGACGGCGACAATGTCAAGTTCCACGCCAGACCATTTCGCAAAGAGGATGCCCACATACATTTCTCCAGGCTGAAGCGCTACGGCTACAACACTATCCGCTACATCTTCACCTGGGAGGCCATCGAGGCCGCCGGTCCCGGCAAGTACGATGAGGTCTGGATACAGCACACGATCGACGTGCTGCGTCAAGCCAAGGAATATGGCTTCTACGTCTTCATGGACCCTCATCAAGATGTGGTAAGTGTCAACTACCTCCTCCCCGCGGATTTCCGTCGCTGATCTTGTGTGCGCGCGCAGTGGTCCAGATACTCTGGCGGTTCAGGGGCACCCATGTGGACGCTATACGCATGCGGGCTCAACCCCCAGAGCTTCGCTGCCACCGAGGCCGCCATCGTACACAATACCTACCCGGAGCCCGAAAACTTTCCAAAGATGATCTGGTCCACGAATTACTACCGCCTCGCCACTGCCACTGTCTTTACCCTGTTCTTTGCCGGGAAGGATTTTGCACCCAAGGCCATAATAAACGGGGTCAACATTCAGGAGTACCTCACCAGCCATTACCTCGGTGCTATTTCCCACCTAGCAAAACGACTCAAGGAGGCAGGCGATATTCTGGATGACATTGTCTTCGGCTGGGAGAGCATCAACGAACCCAACAGGGGTATCGTTGGCAATGCCGACATCAGCGTGATCCCCAAAGACCAGGCTCTGAAGAAGGGTACAGCCCCGACATTATGGCAAGCCATTCTTACTGGATCTGGCAGGGCGTGCGAAGTCGACACTTGGGATATGGGCGGGCTTGGACCCTACAAAGTCGGGAGGTCCTTGATCGACCCCCACGGCGAGATGGCCTGGTTGCCCGCCGACTATGACGACTCAAGATATGGCTGGAAACGAGACCCCGACTGGAAACTTGGCGAATGCCTGTGGGCGCAGCATGGTGTCTGGGATCCGTCGCAAGATCTCCTCCTGAAGAAGGACTACTTCGGAAAGCACCCAAAGACTGGCGAGGCACTCGATCACCACAAGTTCATTAACACATACTTTATGGAGCACTACAGGAGATACCGCGATACTGTCCGTTCGCATCATCCGGACGCCATCCTGCTGTGCCAGCCTCCAGTCCTAGAGATCCCTCCTGATATCAAGGGCACCGCCGACGATGATCCAAAGATGGTCTATACACCCCATTACTACGATGGAATTACGCTCATGACAAAGAAATGGAACAGGACGTGGAATGTCGACGTGTTGGGTATTCTTCGCGGACGGTACCTGCACCCCGCATTTGCAATTAAAGTGGGAGAGACGGCGATCCGGAATTGTTTCAGAGACCAGATGGCCGCTATGAGGAAGGAAGGCTTCGACTACATGGGTAACCACCCTGTATTAATGAGCGAGTTTGGAATTCCCTATGATATGGACGAGAAGAACGCATACAAGACTGGCGACTACTCGAGCCAATCTGCGGCTATGGATGCCAATCACTTTGCGGTGGAAGGTGCCCCGATGGACGGTTATGCTTTATGGGTTTATGCCACACAGGTGAGTTCAGGTCTGTCACCTCAGCGAAAGCACTGATAACTGACTGATTCCTTCGCAGAATGACCATGTGCGAGGAGATCAATGGAACGGGGAAGACCTGTCCATATATTCCGTGGACGATCAAACCCTTCCCGTATCCCCAGTCCCACGGGGTCTTGAAGCAAATCGATCACAGACAAGCCTTTTGAAGACGCCTACGAGCAATACCCGCTCTGAAGTGGACGATGAGACCTCCGTCAACCCCGGCAACCTCAAGCGGACCCTCACCAACCCCTCCATCTCATCGCAGCCCGCCAGCCTGAACCCCGAACTCACCAACACCCCAGGCTACCGTGCAGCAGAGGCCTTTGTTCGCCCTGCACCGACCGCCGTCAACGGCACCACGGCCTCGTACGGCTTCGACCTGAAGTCGTGCACCTTCCACCTGGACATCACGGGGGCCTCGGTGCCCGGCGACGACCAGCCCACGACCATCTTCCTGCCGGACTACCACTTCCCCAAGGAACAGTGCACGGTGCAGGTCAGCGGCGGCAAGTGGGAGATCAGCACTGACGACGACGAGCGCGCCTGGGTGCAGCGGCTGCGCTGGTGGCACGGCGACGGCAAGCAGTCGCTCCGCGTCACCGGCCTCGTCCGCCCCCACAACAGCCTCAGCGGCTCCGCCGAGGAGGCCGGCTACCTCGAGCAGTGCCAGGCCGGCTACGGCTTCGACGTCGGCAAGTGCGCCGTCATGTAGGGCGCCTTGACGCTGACCGTCGTGGCCAGCCTGATCGTGGGAGCCGCTAGGGAGCCGAGACCCTCGGGCCTGAGGTGAGTGGATGTGTCATGAGATGAGCATTATGGGATTTAATGACGAGTGGAAGGCTTGCTTCCGCGACTAACGTTTTTTTCGGCTTGGGTACTGTACATAGGGATCTTTACTTGGGGCATACATGTATACTGGATACAACCTACACAAGTTTCAGGCATGCAATTATCTGAGTTGTTCTGACAGTCTTTCAGATATATCATGGTATTTCATCGACCCGCGTGAAGTTTATACCCTACTGGTTGCCCGGACTCTCTATGGTGTCTCAATCTTCTCAGTCCCACATATGCTTAGATATGGAGACACAATACTTTGTAGGTACCTAGGTAATTTTGCATCCAAAAATGTTGGCAGGGGAGAAACCGGCTGAAAGCATGTAGGCCTGCGTGCATTTTCTGAAGAGATCGCATCATCGTTTCGTTTGGTTAGCTGGTGCTGTTTCACGTCTCGTAGTATCACTTGAACCATAGGCTACCCGGATTGGGATGATTCGGAATAGGTGGTCGGGAGCATAGTTTGTGTTCTTTTTCCGGATAAGGTCAAATTATGGTGTTGTTAAGGCCGTATTTTCCATATTTCTTGTTCCAAGTCTTGGGGCCTAGTGAGAAGTGTCGATGTCTCTGGAAACTACGGCACTGATTAGTAGAAACCTGTTGCAGTTTTCCGTGATCTTCATGTTTGAACACTGTGCTCATGATGGCGACTATTAATGACTCCGCTGAACATTATACAGTATTTGTCTTGTGGACGACGCTGTCTGCGTCGCACGCAGGTATGAATTAATTGGTAGTATTGGTAGTTGAATGAGCAGTTTTGAATTGGAAACAAAGACTGAGAACCTGGCTCAGATTACAGCGTTTGCATATTCTCGATATATAGCATCATCCGTCCCGTCATGTAGGTGGTTATTGGATTGTTGGTTCATATTTGACAGATGCATTTCTTAAGCATGATGCGTGCAGTAGATTTTACGATATAGAGACTGGCTCGGTAGACTATTGTAGCCATCTCGAAGTGATCTCGTTGGGACAGATATTAGTTGGTCGTTGTTAGTATATCCCATGCGCGCTACCTTGACGTCCTTGGATGTCTTGATGTGTCAGTTATGATTTGGGGGCTGACCCGCAAACCAGGACCAGGGGTGGGCGTGTAGCCAAGACTCTTATGCCAGATGGCACGTGTGCGGGCTGATCTGGATGCGATTTCACGTGCATTCTTACATCTCCATGACTTATCTGCATAGGTGGTCAAAAGGCTATCTTACGTCGATTAGACGTAGAGGACGCTGTCATACTTTCCGGAATGGACCATGTTGGTTTCATTCCCAGTGGTGATGAATCGTTGATGATTCGCAGTGGTCAGTGTCGAAGGGAGTCTCCGCCAAGGCTTGCCAGGGCGGTTCGAGGGGCGGTCAGGGACATCTGATTCGACGTTGCTCGCTTGTTCGCTCGTTGGCCGATCAGCCCCATGCGGGATCCCACAGCGGGTGAGACAGGTGAGATGAGACACGAGCCAGACAAAACCTTGGGAGCCACTGGACCAGGATTTGGAGGGTGGCCGTCTTCAAGGGCGCTGCCCATCAAGCCTGGTCCCCACCCAGCATCGCAGCCTGTCGATGCGGCTCCGTCGCCGCCCGCGCCCATCAACATCAACGATGACTTGATTGTCAGCAGTCGATGGAAGAGCAAGGGCTGTGCTGTGTTGGCTCAGACTTGGACTTCTGAGATGCATTGGTCAGATGGCCGTGCTCAAGAAGGACAGCCACCCTGGATTGATTCCCGCTAGACCGTCGTATTTTCGCCGGTGGCTCTGTCGACAGATGGCAGAGCACAGAGCAAGGCCGTTCCCATCCATCGTGCTCATTGAATTCCGAGCAGTCTTTATTTGTCGCATCTCACCCTCTGGCTGCTGGTTGGCTAAGCGACACCCTGGTCCCCGGCCCCCTCATTCGTGGGCAGGACTCGTTGCATTCGACCGCCATTGGCCCTGGACGGCTATCGGATGCAGGCAACGTGCGTCTGGCACACACCTCCGCGCTTGTGACTTGGGTGAGCCCTCGTACGGTACTGCCAAACTGCCTGTCTATCTAGTCTCTAGTCTGGGTGGTGTGTGGACTGGACAAGGATCCAATGCCTGTCCCCCATCGGCACCCTTCCAGAACCCAAGTTATGTTTCTTCCCGACAAAGAAACAAACCGGACAGTGAAGCGTCACTTCTATCCAGCCCGCTGCCTTGTCATTGGGATCCAAGTTGCACACACCTTTTAGTATCGCTCGGCAAGCAACCCGAACCAAGTCGACGAGAGCCGACCGTTAAGCGCCAGCCGCGCCCGCCGTCCACATTTTCTCCGGGGCAACGAGGAGCCAGAGCAGTCAATAACTGTCCGTCGAGCTCGGACGAGGGTGCGACGTGCGCTAAATCCGTAGGCCACTCCACATCGTCGACGACGAACAACCGCTCGCCATCCCCGATCCAAGCTAGCACGACCCCCTACAGCGAAGGCACAGAGCTTCTTCGGACGATAGAGACCGCCGGACGACAGACGGAGGCTGAGGCTAAGGGGCCTCGCGGATAGACACATCGCACCATCCGCTGCTGGGCGGCCGATCTCGATAGCCACCAGTCAGTCCAGTGTCCATCAACCACCAGCAGAGCAGCTATCTAGGTACCGTAACTGCCTCGGGGTGCTAGGCTAGCCTCCGCGCGCCGAATCCCAGGTGTGCGTGTCCAGGGCCATGGTCGTGTTGTGTCGTCTGCCCACGACGCCAGGCCATGACCACCTCGCGCAACCCGGCCGCGCTGAGTAGGTCGGAGAGCACCAGCGAAGGAACCGCCCGCTATCCCGTCGCCAGCGGCATCCGCCAGCGACTGCAGGATAACATCAACACCCTCGACGGCCTCATCAATGAGACAAACAACAACGCCAGCCAAGCCGTCGCCCCCTCTCCCTCTCCCTACCAGAGCCCCCCGCCGCCCGGCGATCCGCCGCCCTACCTGGCCGCAAACTTCGCCTCCAGCGTGCCCAACCTGCGGCCCCGCGCCTCCACGGCCACCCTCGCGCCCTCGGCCGTCTCGCCGCCCGTCTTCGACAACAGTCGCCCGGGCACGAGGAACGGCCAGATCCCTCCGCCGCCCGCCATGTACTCCAACCCCCAGGGGAACCAGCCCCGGCCCTTCGCCGTCCCGCCGCCGCCTCCCATGTCGCCGCCCGTCCAGGGCCAGATGAACAACGGCATGACGATACCCCCGCCGCCTCCCCGATATCCCAGCGCTCCCACGACGCTGCAGCTGCCCCCTCCCCCGTCGGGCCCGCCGCCGAACAGCGCACTCGGTCCCCAGCCTCCATGGCAGGGCGGCTGGGGTCGCCCGTACGACAACAGGACCAATATGACGATCCCGCCTCCGCCGGCCAACGCGCCGCACATTCCCTATAACCCCAAGATGCTGGCTCAGCCGTCGCTGTCCATTCCACCCCCGCCGCCCCAGCAGCCCTACCAGCAGAAGGAGCAGGGCATGTCGGCGACCTACATACCCCAGGGCGATACGTATGGAGAGGGTGTGGGCATACCTGCCTTTGGGCTGGACGACTCGGCCGCGTATTCTGCAACTACGCAGAGCTCTTGGCCGACTCCGAGCCTCGGCAGCAATACCGACACGGCCAATACCACACCTGCAGACACCGAAAGCCGGGACAGGCTGTATGCGAATGCCATGAGCGGTCGAATGATGTCTACTGCCTCCAATGCTACTGGAGTTCTGTCTGGGATCCCTCCGGAATTAGCCGCAAGATGGCCCTTGGATCATGTCCTATTGTGGTTGGCTACTAACCAATTCTCAAAGGACTGGCAGGAGACGTTTAAGGGGCTGAATCTCCATGGATCACAGTTTCTGGAGCTGGGCAGCGGCCACGGTGGTAGGGGCAACTTTGGCCTGATGCACCAGCAGGTGTATCCCAGGTTGGCCCAGGAGTGCACCAAGAGCGGCACCGGGTGGGATCAGTCGCGGGAGCGGGAGGAAGGGAAACGCATGCGCCGGCTCATTCGCGCCGTCGTGTATAATGGAGGCGCGGCGGTCACCTCGAGTCGTCCCTCAGATGGCCATTCCAGGAAAGATTCCTTTACTGCGTCCAATGGGCAGAGTGCAGGGACGGATGCCGATTCCCCCAATACCCCTATCAAGGCTCCCGGGCAAGGGTTTGGTGGCAGAAGATTCTCCCAGACAAGATCCACCACGATGCCAACCCTAAGCAACACCATGAGCTCCGACGCCAACCACAGAACGATACTGAAGAATATCGATATTGAGAGCAGCCGTCGGCACAGCCCCGTTGGCAACGACAGCGATGGCAACTATCGTGCTTCTGCTTTCCGTGGCGATAGCCCTGGGGGTAGTCCAAAACCGAACTCAGGGCTTTTCCCCCAATCGGGCAACCTGTCTGCATCTTCAACCTCGGGCAGGTTTGGACACAGATCGCGAGACAGCATCAGCTCTGTCAACTCGAATACGGCAATCTATGGCTCTGGTGTCCCCCCGGAAGCATCTCAGATGCTCCGAAATGGTATGAGTGGCATCGGCGAGATGATCAACGCCAGCCGGAGTAAGGATGGGTCTGGCCATTCACCTTTGGATCCTGGTGACAGGTCTGCTGGTACTGAACCTCCCATTTCAGCCAAGGACAACAAGAGTTTCCTGAGTTTCCTGAAGAGGAAGAACAAGCAGAAGGAAGACGGGTCAGCTCCATCGCCTGAGGAAGGCGACGCGCAGACGAGCCCGAACATGTTGAAGCCATCCTCCCTAGGCAGCCGTTACGGCTCTGAACTAGACGGTACAAGCCAATTGATCCCGGACAGCGCCCCTGCCTTCCGTAGGAGCCCCAACGCTCCCAGGACGTTTATCTTGGCGACTATGGATATGTGGAATTACCGCATGTGCGACGTCACGGACTGCCATACATCCGCTGACTTGCGAGCCACTATATGCACGAACCTGGGGCTTCAGGACGTCATATCACCGCAGCTGTTTCTCACCGAATTGGGCCGCGCAGACCACGATGAGCCACTCGAGGACCAGAGTCTCATGATCCACAAGAGAAACAAGGCCGACTCGAGTGGTTCGCTGAAATTCTTCGTGAGGCTACCCCCCGTGGCCCCTCAGGACTCTGTACCTGAGTCGTTAACGCCTGGTTATGTTCCATCTGGTGCATCCATGGACGAGGATGCTTACGCTCGCCTAAATGGGCAAAGGTCTCGGTCAAGTTCGTCACCGCCCACGTCCCGCGTCAACACAGTGGTTGGAAATGGACCAGACCCCAATGAACTGGCTCAGAAAGCCCAAGACTACAAGGCTAGCGTTGAGAAGCAGCAACAAGACTATCTGGCTAGGAGAAGACAGGCCTTGGAAAAGTCGTCACCGGACAGCATCAGCCCCTCATTTGGCATCGTTGGGAGGAACGTTGATTTTGATCAGCCTCGCAGCTCTCCGTACGAAGAGAAGAAGCAAGACAACTTGTTTCCCCAGCGCAGAGCACCGGCCCCTCCTGGTGTCGAGACCGCAACCTTGATAAAGGCGAACTCGCTAAGTCGCCGCTCGAACCACTCCATGCGTCAGTCTCAAGGAAGCCTCGACGGTTATCCGACCCCAAGGCGACCCGCCACATCTACATCTACCGGAGGAGAGCTAAACCAGCAAGAAATGTCCCAGCGTCGACCAGGGACAAGCTCCAGGGTAGACCCAGAGAAATCTGCCCTGGGCGCGCTGGTCGGCATGGGCAGTGCTCTAAGCCATTTTGGGCGACCCACCCCTGGAAGTCGACAACAACGGGGGCCATCGCCTAATAGGAGTAATCCCGGCCTGGCAGGCAGCGCTGCTTATGAAGATACACGAGGTAAGCGAGCTATGGCATCGGTTGACTTTGACCAGACTGCTTCGGGTCGCAGTAGTCCGCGATCCGGCTCACCCGGAACTCTGACTTGGAGCCGTGGAGATCTTTCATTTCTTGTCCCGGACTACTCGCCCGGAGGCACGCCTGTCAATGATGGCCGCGTAAGACCTGAGAATGGACATCTTGCTAAAGTTCATCAAGCAGCGCAACGAGCTCCATCACCCGGCAATATCAGTCCTACTACGGCTCACCCCACGCGTGCCAGCTTTGGTGCTGATGCTCCTCGTCGGAAGTCTCACGGCCCTGATGTTGACTTTACGGAGACGGATGTACAATTTGCTCAGCCAGCGGCACCGACTATCCACAGGGACGATTCCTCCGGCGACGACTCGGATGATGGCCTGTTTGCTGTTCCCGTGAGAGGAAGGCAGCCCTCGATTCAGGTGTGTAACATGACTGATACTCCAAGATGATGATACTGACACTGCCCAGAAACCGAACCTCACTCTCAATACTTCAAGATCTAAGAAACAATTATCTGTGTCCTTCGGGTCACCTGGGAACATGAAGACGCCCGACTTCGAGGATGATGACAACGAAAGCGCCAGAAGCCGAAAGAGCTCGCAGCGCCGTACACCCACTACTCCAGGTCAAGAGTCTATCGACTCAGATGACAGCAAGTTGGGTCGACGCAAGTCCTTCATCGAGCGTGATCATTGGGCCGCTCGTCCACCTGCTGAGGCACTGCTTGACAACCTGGATGCATTCTTCCCGGAGCTTGATCTCGACCAACCTGTCCTAGATGAAGCGTCTCTCCAAGATCCGCCCTCCCCCACTTCACCAAGTCAAGAAAACAGGGCACCAGAAAGCTCAGCAGCACCGGCTTTGCAACTCCCAACACCTCCGACCGGCACCGCTACCGCTCGGTCATCTATGTACAGCGACAATGATACTCTTGGCTCGGACGAATCCACCCTCAAGGCGCTCGAGCAGCGCCCAACCTCCATCGCGTCTGTTGCTCAGCGGAGCATGCGACGTTCCGGTGGCCTAGGTCGCATGAAGTCTATTCGTGAAGTGGCTCGTGGTGCACATGAAGCAAATAAACGCTTCACTACTGCATCTTCTGCTTCTGGCTTAGCAGGGCCCACCTCTATGATCCAGCGCCGCAAGAGCACCAAGATGTTCGGTGCCCATGTGGTTCAGATCAGGCCTGAGCGTGGCTCCATGATCGACATTATGCCCGAGATTCCTCAGGACCATCTGCCGAAGCGTCAGACAACCTTCAGATGGTTCAAGGGTGAGCTGATTGGCAAGGGAACCTACGGGCGCGTCTACCTGGGTATGAATGCCACCACTGGTGAATTCTTAGCCGTCAAGGAGGTCGAGGTCAATCCCAGAGCTGCTGGGGGCGACAGCAACAAGATGCGCGAGCTCGTTGCTGCTCTAAACACCGAGATCGAAACCATGCAGTATCTTGACCATGTCAACATTGTGCAGTATCTTGGATGTGAACGCAAGGAAACGAGCATCAGTATTTTCCTCGAGTATATTTCCGGTGGTTCCATCGGATCCTGTCTACGCAAGCACGGGAAATTCGAAGAGCCCGTGGTTAGCAGTCTGACGCGGCAGACCTTGTCCGGACTTGCCTATCTCCACCGGGAGGGTGTCCTGCATCGTGACCTCAAGGCTGACAACATCCTGCTCGATCTGGATGGCACGTGCAAGATTTCCGACTTTGGTATCTCCAAGAAGACGGATGACATCTACGGCAATGACAAGACCAATAGCATGCAAGGCTCCGTTTTCTGGATGGCTCCAGAGGTCATTCGCTCCCAAGGCGAAGGCTACAGTGCCAAGGTCGATATTTGGTCTCTCGGCTGCGTGGTATTGGAAATGTTCGCCGGGAGAAGGCCTTGGAGCAAGGAGGAGGCAGTCGGCGCGATCTACAAGATCGCCAACGGGGAGATACCCCCGATTGCGGACGAGGTCCGCGAGGCAATCAGCCCGTATGCGCTGGGCTTCATGCTGGATTGCTTCACTGTGTAAGTTTCTCTGCCCTTGTCTCGGTTTGCTCCTACAGATAGAACTCAATGCTAACATGTGGGGTAGGGATTCGAGGGAAAGACCCACAGCCGAGCGGCTGCTCATGCAGCACGAATTCTGCGAGCTGCAGGAGGACTACAACTTCTTTGACACGGCTCTGTACGCCAAGATCCGTGGCACTTACAACTGAGCAAACGAACGCACTCTTTACGCGGGGAAACAGGGGCTATACACGGCATGGTTATTGGGGTCAGTTTAGCATCAAGCGGTGGAGGATTTCTGTATCAACATATGTCCATCCTAGTCTTGCTCATCAGCGTATGTTTTACGATTGTTATAGCAAGCATGGCGTCCGGTTGCGTTGCCTTTTTGGAAAAGCGGTCGGGGCAAGTGGCCCCTATGTCGAATCCAGAGATGGGAGAGCCTTGGATAGATAGGAGAGTTAGCTGGCTTGGATACCTTGGGATACCTTACGACATTCTCGGAATCCATGAAGTTAACTCGTTGCGAATGTTTACTAGTCTGGTGATGTGTTGCACATATTGGTACTAGTTGCATGCATACTGCTGTTAGTGCAATGTGGCCATCATCCCTAATCTATCCAGCAACATTGAACCAAGTCATTAGAGGTCCACAGGTGACAACCACAAGTTTAGGTGGCACCCCCGTGCCTAAAGCAACTTCTCCAAATTTCATTGTAGTTTAAACTTACAAAGCCGCGGCCAGGTGATGTGCTGATCATTCCCCCAGCGCGCGAGAGGGCTTGCGATCATGGTGACGCAACCACCAAACCCGCGCCCACTTATACTCGAACTCAATTGGAACACGCTCTGTCTCCCCGCTCTGTTATATTCACGATGCCCGGGACATCCGGAGATCAGTGATAAACTCCATAATAGCATCTCATATCAACTTAACCCTCCACTGTCTAGGTCCGCGGTATCTTGACTGACGGCAGATCACCGAAGTATTGAAACCATGTCTCTCTCCGCCCACGCTGAAGACGAGAAGCGCCGTAACGCGACGTCGCAGCAGACCCCGGGTGTACAGATCTTCTTGCAGCCCATTGCACCCCCCGCCGCTCTGGGTGAGTATGACTGACGCTGATACCGCTGGGCCTTCGAACTAGCCAAGGCCAAGTTTTGGTGTTACAGTGAAATAAGGGGCTAACATCAGGGTGACAGGTCTGGCCGGGTTTGCGGGCTCTACTTGGATTACGTCGAGCTACATTGCTAGTACGTCGAGTCTCGGGGTTTATGAGTTCCATCTGAGTGCTTGAAAAGGAGGCTAATGAAAATGCAGATTGGTGGGGAAATTCTGATTCACCGACTATCTTCTTTCCAGTAAGCACGACGGTTGTGTGGTAGGAGTCAGTATATCACACCGTGTTAATCTAATCTGCCTGTTGAGTTCGTGGGCATATTTGGTGGACTCGCCCAGTTCATTGCCGGGCTCTATGGATTCAAAGCCCGTGACACGCTCGTCACGGTGATCAACACAATGTGGGGGAGCTTCTGGATTGCCATCGGCATCCTGTACGCATTCGTGGTGAGTATGACGGTTCTATTCCAGGTGTCGAATTCTAGGATTACATGATCCTAATAAGCCCCCGTACGCCACAGGCAGCAGGAGCTATCCCGCCTCATTCGGTGCACACGCACTTCCCGGAGCTGGCGGCGTGGTTCGTGGTCCTGTGCGTCTTCACGTGGTCGTGCGCGCTGGCGGCGACGGCGCGCGACGTCGTGCTCAGCGCGTGCCTGTTCAGCCTGGCCATCGGCAGCACCATCGCGTGCTGCATGTTCGCGTACAACGGCGGCACCTCGCCCGTGTCGGGCTCCGGCGACGGCCTCCAGGGCGGCGTCACCCGCGGCATCAAGGCCGCCAGCTACTTCTGGATGTTCTCGGCCCTGTGCGCCTGGTGGCGCACCACCGTCTATCTGGTCGAGGAGGCCTACGGCACCGGCCACGCCATCACCCGCTTCTTCGTCATCGGCCGCACGCCCATGGAGCGCCGGGCCCCCGTGCTGATCCCAGGCCTTGGCGAACCGGGCGTCAAGAGAGGCGTGCCGAAGCCGATCCCGGTGTAGTTGATGGCGGCAGAGTATTGTGCGAATTAAAGAGATCGTTTGTGACTATTTTTACTCCTGTACGTTGTCTTGTGAATAGGAGGCTCAGTGGGCAGCAATATTGATGAGGTCGATCATTTCAGAACAGAGCTAGCAGTATGTCTGATACGGTAGTCATTTATGTTGCATGTCCACTTTCCGGCGCTTGAGGGTCCCATATTTGGATAAAACTATCCTTGACTTGGTTATTCAATACTAGCGTCGCTTTCATGTTAGGGAGTAGAATTCCGGGCTGCAGTCCTCACTTTCAAGGTAGATACGTATACTTGAAATGACTGTTTACCTTTAACATAACGGTCAAGGCCAATGTCTGGCGCTTCCTAGGATATTTCCCTACTTCTGCAATTTGTCTAAAAGTCGTTTCGCTGCCATCTCCCCCAAATACTGCAGGCTGCCTCCATTCATTAGTTCCAAAACCGATACATCAGACCCAAGGTTTTGTTTCCACCAGTTCCGCAACTCGATAGCAACGAGAGAGTCAACACCAACCCCAGATAGTGTGAGCCGTAAATCCAGTGGCTCTTCGTCATCCCTGCGCATCAACGCCGCCACACGATCCCGGACCTGACAAGCTAGGAATTCGGCTGCTTCGGGTTGTTCTAGTTTAATGGGATTCTCCGTAATTGCAGCCAAGAACTGCTTCATGCCACTTGTGGTGGTTGCACTTTCGTCCGCCACTGTCTCAATATTGCGGTAAATGGCCATTCGCGGATCTCGTCTCCAGATAATGTTGTTTTGCGGGTCCATGATAGGCAATCGACATCCTAATGCCTGAGTGACTTGGCTTGGGTTTTGGAAATAGATGCCGCTTGTACCAGCTAATCTTTTCTCCACGAGAGGTGGCTTGGCCGACTGCGCAATGGTGAGCTGCAAAACCTCGAGAAAGTCTCGTTCTGAAACAAGCCGGCCGGACATTGCCAGCATCGTCTCTTTGGCGGCCGGTGTGCGGCTTATGTATCCCACATCGTCCACAGGACCTATATCTATGACCGAAGCAACAAGACCCCGGTCATGTCGGTACTGAACAAAAGCATCTAAAAAGGTGTTGGAAGCGGCGTAATTGGCTTGACCATAGTATCCCACTATGCCGCATACCGACGAGAACAGCACGAAAAAGTCCAATTGATGGTCCACCAATGCATTGTGCAAGTTTCAAGTACCGTACACTCGAGGCTGGATCACATCTTGGTATACCTCCAGGGCCATGTCGAGAATGCCCATATCGCGCAGAGCCATCGCCATATGCATTACTCCCGCGATGGGAGCAATCGCAGTTGCTACTATGTGATTAACCAAATCTCTATCAGACACATCACCGCAGAAAGTCTGTACCGCGCACCCCATTAGCTCCAGTTCCTTGATGAAAGAATGGTTGTCTTCACCCTTTCCTGCGGATCTGGATATGAATGTGATGTACTTAGCACCGTAGGTGGCCATCCACACCGCGATGGCTCGTCCAAGACCTCCCATACCACCGACGAGGAGGTAAGTTCTATCCCCCCGAAAAGTCGGCTTTGGAATAGCCTGGGTCCAGGGGAGATTTTCTTCAAGTTCTGGGAATCGGATAACATTTTTTCCGACGTGAGTACCTTGCTGCATATACCTGAAGGCTTCTTCAATCTCTGTCGTATCGAAGACAGTAATCGGGTGTACGGGCTTGATGTGCCCCTTGACGTAGAGTTCTAACACTAGCTCCATGAGGTGGCTGCCCGTAGCTTTCTTTGTCGCAACGTATCGTGGCAAGTCGAGTCCGATGAACGTTCTGTTGCTTTCAAACTTGTCGAACGCAATCAGAGCGCGGCCTCTCATATCCCGCTTGCCGAGTTCAACCATGCATCCGTTAGGCGCACCACATTCCCAAGTGGTATGGAGAAGTTCGCTTGACACCGAGTTCAGCACACAGTCAACACCAACGCCGTTGGTCGCAGCCATCACTCCGTCATGGAAACTCGTGTCACGCGAGTGGAAGATGCGGCCGCGAGGCATTCCAAGCTTGTCAACCAGGAAATTGGCCTTCTCCTCAGACCCGACAGTGTAGTAAATCTCCGCGCCTATCCATCGCGCAACGTGGATCGCTGCAATTCCCGTTCCGCCTGCCGCAGCGTGGATCAACAGGGACTGGCCCCTCTGTAGCTGAGCTCTTTCCACCAGGCCCAGAAGGACGGTGACGTAGACTATAGGCATGCTGGCAGCATCTTCAAAACTAAGTTCATCAGGGATGCGGACGGTGAACAGACCCGGGCGTTGTACCTGGGTCGCTAGCCCTGCGGAGTTTGCTCCGAAAAACATGACGCGGTCGCGAACTTTGACATGGGAAATGTCGGCACCAGTTCCACTGACATAGCCCGCTCCTTCGAGGCCGAGCCAGTCAGATTCGGTGCCAAAAATGTCTTCGCCATGCACTACGCCCATGGCGCCAAGCACGTCTTTGAAGTTGAGCCCAGCGGCCTTAACGTTTATTTGCACCTCATAGCCCCCAATTATTGGCAAAGACTGGCCGGACTAGTGAAGAGTTTCCGAAAGTCCGCGTTCGCGAATTGTCAGTGCCTTGGTGGCCCGTGTTGGAGGAGCACTGTTTCTCAAGGCATGATGCACCGCGTACCAGTGGAAACGCCCGACATGGACGGCGCCATCAACCCACGCATACTCATAATCTGGATCCAGGTGGGATGCTATGCTATCTTTGCTCCGTTGAACCTTTCTGGCTACATTCACGATCGCCTGCGCGGCCCCTGGCAGCTGCCAGTCTTCTAGCTCCAAGGTTGCCAGAGACATAGCGAGTTCGGATCGAATTGTTCTTGCCATTCCGAGTATTAGCGCTGCATTAGGGTCTTTGCAGTTAACCTGAGCCGCGTTCGTGATCCACAGCATTGTGTTCTTCTGTAGCGACTTGATGGCACTGATGAAAAAGTACCAGTCTTCTTTACTGGGACTGTTGAGGAGCGGCAGCTCGAGATCGACAAAGGAGACAACGGTCTGTTCGCAGTCCAGTATCTCTCTATCACCCCATTGACAATGCTCAACATGACATCCACTACTTTCTAATAGGTTTCCCACTTGTCTGGCCAGGAGGTGAATGCGCGATGGCCCTGAGAGCAATTTGACATGTTCCTGGGTCTTGAGATCTGTCGCAGGTCGTGAGACAATATTCGCGTTAATATTGTATGGTCTTTGATTATCGAAAGTCACTGCATCGCAGCCGCTGAAACCTGCTGCGCGTAGTTTCTTATCCCACTCTTCTGCTGGCAAATACGGGGCTTCAGCACGACCGTCAGCTTCTCCTAGCCACCAGCCAGTGAACAACCCGATGATATATCCAACGCAATTGGTCACTATCGGTCACATTAGCGACCTGGTTGATGCATGACGCAGCTTCAGGTGGTCTCACCTGGGGATAGCTCCTGTAGAAACAGCCGACCCTGGTCATTTAAGAGCGTCCGCACATGGCACAGGGTCTCGTGCAAGATAGGCGTCGCGTGGAGGACCTAAAGCAAATAATCCGGTGAGTACTCATCCGAAGTATAAAATAATTGGGGTACCTACATTTGAGGCGATAACTAGATCGTAGTCCCCTGCCTTGAAACCTTGACCAACTGGGTCCTTTGAAATATCGAGAACCTTGTATTCAATGGCGTCGAATTCCTTGAAACGGTCCTGCGCAGCCACAAAAAAGCCTGACGAAACATCTGTAAAAGTGTACTGCAAGTAAAGTCGGTCTCCGAAGCTGCTTCTAAGTTCTTTGAGTATCTTCGCAGTGAGACCTCCAGTGCCGGCGCCGATCTCGAGAATGCGCATCTGAGGCTCGGTGTGACCCAGCAGTTGGAAGAATTTACTGACATCCCAGATATTGTTCATCCAATCTTATATACTAGCCAACGTGCCATCGTGGATGAGGAGATCTAGAAAGCTCGTTTTCCCCTCAAAAACATTGGACATTTGGTCGTATGCTCGCCACACTGCCTCTGCCATGGCGTCGATACCAACTGACTTGCACAGCTCGAGTGTCTCGCGAATACTACTTCGGCGTTCGTCGGTTGTCATTCTTACCATCTTGATGGTATCGACAAGCGGATACCCTGGCGATTGAAAGTGAAGGACCTGGGACGCGAGCCATCCTCTGTATCGCTCGAAATGCGGCTGGGTTGCGTTGACGCTCTGGATTTGTTGGCTTGATTCCAAGGCACATAAAACACATAGCCTTTCCACGAGGTTGGTTTGCTCCCGGAAGTCATATGTTGGGCGTGTGAGTTGGCTGGAATCGAGGAATGAGAAGTCTGGTGCCCATTGCAGCTGAAGGGCTGTAGGCGCTGGAACATTCTCATCAGAGGGGAGGCGTGTCACCTGAAAGCCCCTCAACAGGAACAAAGTTTCACCTTCTTCTCCGACCCCATATGAATGACCATCTCCACGTATGGAAGCAGTTGTCTTGATATGAAGTGTCTGCCCAGTTCCCTCGCCGACGTAAAGCTCTTTGATGAATGTAGGCAAAAGTGGTGTTTTCAGTGAGCTGCACATGCCCTGAAAGGCAGCCACCATCCATGACTGCAGAGTGGCGTCAATGGTACTGGGGTGAAGGCAGTAAAACGACTCGGACTTATCACCTGGGTCATCCACGACGTGAACCACTGCGTCTCTTTCGCTTACACCCGCAGTGATATTCCTCAGCTTTGTGAAACGTGGGCCGTAGTTAAGTCCTATACGGCCTAAGGTTGTGTACCATCGATCAGTAGACACTTTTCTTGGCAAAGATTGGAGAATCTTCTTCACATGCGACGGCGGATGAGTGGCATGTCCACGACGCACGAAACCCCAGCAGTGCTTATTCCATGCGGAGCCGTCATATGAGACGATCTCAAACTCATACCAGTCACTATCCAAGCTCGTCGTCAAACGTTGTGGTCGGAGTGTTGTGACAATTTCTTTGGAGATCTTCATTTGGAGGACCAAGGCTTGACGTAGCTCTACATCTTTGACAGTGTAATCGCGGGGGCTCGTGGTATGCCCAAGTTGGTAAGCCGCTTCCCCAGCCATTGCGATATAACCAGCAGCAGGAAAGACCACATCGTGGCCCACACAGTGATCTTTGAGCCAAGGCACATCACTAACTCGGATATCGTTGCGCCATGCTGGAGCGAGCTCTGTCGATTCAGTGGTGCGAGAACCCAGCAGGTCATGCGGTGCGTGCTTGCGGAATCTCCAATTCTTCATAACACGTGTCTCTGACCAATAAGATCGGTCATAGTGCCACGGGTACGGAGGTAGGTCTGGTAAAACTCGAGGGTTCCGACTGGGATCAGAAGGAATCTTAACCGGAAACCCTGTTGTATACAGCTGGCCTAACGCGGACAAGAGCGAGCGAGTGTCGTCCTCACCCCGTGATAAAGTTGGAATATAAGTCACTGATGTGCCCATTTCTTGATATATCTGGCGGAGCGGTCCACGGAGTGCATGGTGTGGCCCAACTTCCACATGGACCATATGAGGCGACTCCCGTAGAAGGCTTTTCACGGCCGTGTGAAACAACACCGGGCTCTGTAGGTTCTCTTGCCAGTAGCGGGGCCCGAACTCAGACGATTCCAATAGGCGTTTGCCATTGTATACACTAGAGTAGAATGGAATGATGGGTGACTTGAGGGAGACGTGTCTCGAAATCAGTTCCCGGTACTTATTTCCCAATTTTGACATATGGCCTGATGGAGTTGCAGTTAGCTGGATATGGTAGGAAGGGCATATTTTCAATTTAGTCAAACGCAAGGATCGTACCTGAATGATATGCCATCTCGACGCGAAGTTTTCGCACGAAAGCTCCCTCATTATTCCTCTTTATAGTGCTGAGGACTTGCTCCAGGCTTTCCGAATCGCCCGAAAGAGTGATGCTGGAAGCACTGTTCTCGCAAGCAATTCCCACACCAGGTACCAGATATGGCACAACTTCGGATCTTCCAAGCCCTAAAGCAGCCATTGCGCCAGGTACAGTGGCTATCTTACACACAAGTCCTCGATAGTAGGCTATAATCAAAGCCTCGTACTTTGATAATGCGCCTGCAGCATACGCCGCCACGATTTCACCACTGGAATGGCCGACCACAGCGGAGGGGGAAACCCCCCAAGATGCCAGCAGGTCCACAACCGCAATCTGAATGGCTATTCAAAGTGGCTGTGAACACTCGGCTTGAGACATCCTAGCTTCACCATTAGATGAGAGAATCATCTCTTCATCATTAATATTAGTCACTTGGAAATATCAAACCAAAACACTTATTACTGACCTTGAAGCGACCATGATGGAGCGTCATGGTCCAAGCCTTGTAAAACTAGTTCCATAGACTGGATGTCTCTCATGAATGATGGATAGTCAATCATTAAGTTTCGTCCCATGTTAGCCCTTTATTTGGTTAGTCAGGCGTTTAGATATCAGTATGTTCTCATACCATTGTGCACCCTGACCGGTGAACACGAAAGCAGCTTGTCGGCTATCCTGGAAAGTAAACACAGCAGGCTCAGCCAAAGTCTCCGTGCCGTCTGTCACACTGAAAGCCCTATATTTCAGATGGTCCCGTCTCTCTCCAATGGTATAGGCAAGATCGTCCAGTTTCTCAGGATATTCCACGAGATACCTCTTGTGTCTTTCAACAACAGATTTGAGAGATTGTGGCAATCCTGCTGAGAACAGCAGCAGAGTTGGTGTTCGCTTTGGTTGTAACGATGGCGGAATAGTTTTGGGGATCTCAAGGTTGAACGAGGCGGCGGAGTCAAGAATGAACTACGAGGTCCGTTTTAATTTATGCCTGGGCGATAGCGGCAAATCTCGAAATACTTACATGAGCGTTGGAGCCTCCTATTCCATATGTATTCACACTAAAGCGTTCACACCGTCCCTCGGGCCAAGGGAGTTCCTCGGTTGGAACGACTAATCTGTTATTCTCCCATGGGACTAGTTCCATCAGTCCATCAGTAGTGATCTGCATATTTTTCAGTGTACTGCTTACTCGATGGATTCGGATGGTTAAACTTGATGTTGGGTATGATGGTACGATGTTCCAGCGAAAGGACTGCTTTCATGATGCTTGTAATAGCTGCTGCTCCTTCGCTGTGGCCCAGGTTCGGTTTCACCTGATCTTAATTAGACCATTGAATGCCATAATTCCTGACTCAACTTACTGCTCCCAGATACACCCCGGCTCCTCCAAAACAGCGAGCAATGGCCTCGACTTCTATAGGATCGCCGACTGGTGTCCCGGTCCCGTGTGCTTCGACCATAGCAGTATCTGCAAAGTTGAGACGGACAGAAGAGTAAGCGGCCCTTATAGCGGCTTCATGGGCATCTAGATTTGGGCTGGTTATTCCGCCAAGTGAGCGACCATCGGAGTTGCTGGCTGAGGAGCGAAATACAGCCCGAATAGGATTCCCGTCTCGGATGGCCTCGTCCAATCTTTTGATGTATAGCGCGTTGACCGCTTCGCCCCTGGCATATCCATCCGCAGAGGCATCCAAAGACTTCGAAGATCCTTCTGGGGAAAGCGTCATCATTGAACTCCCAGTAATGGTTTGTCCAGGGCCCATTATCAAGTTGGTACCCACTACAATAGCAGACGAGATTCCTCCCTGCCAGATAGCCTCCAAAGCCTGATGGAGACCGATACCAGACGATGAGCACGCCGTCTTGTACATGACACTGCACAGATTTATCAATAAATGACACACTCTGTATAGTCGAAAACATGATATTTCCTACCTGGGGCCTCGGAGATCATATTCGTAGGAAATCCTATTCGCAATAGCGAAGTCCATGGCCCCATCAAAACGTTTCGATGGGAGAAGTTGCTGTCTTTATTGTGCATATCCTTCCAATCCTCCGTGAACATTCCAACATAAGTTCCAATCGGCTTCCCACGCCAATTTTCGCCAGCACGTTCCAACGCTTCACGCACAACTTCAAGGGCGAGCCTTTGATTCGGATCCAGGAGCTCCACTTCTGCGGCGGTGGTAGTAAACATAGAATGGTCAAATTGAGACAAGTCAACGTCACTCAGGAAATATCCGTACTTGGTAATCATGGTACCACGTTTTCCATCAGCACTATAAAAGGCTTCGGCATTATATCGATCCAAAGGTGTTAGGGATCGAGCATCCCCCTTGCTCACAAGAAATTGATAGAGAGCTTCCTCATCCCGTATCCCTCCTGGCAACCGCATTCCCATACCACAAATCGCCACAGGAACTGGTTTAACGGGTGGACCGTGGTTGGCATTCTGGATGTCTGGATTCCTTATGGACTTAGAAGATTCATTGACAGAACTCATATGAGTGCATTGAAAGTCTCCAGTTCTTTGATGGTGGCACGCGCCATTGGTGGTGTCGTTCATCATGCAAGACGTTAGCAGAATAGGTCTCGATCTCTAGGTTGATTGACAAACGACGTATTCTTGTGGACGATGTAATGGTTATTAGTTGTGCATATTAAAAGACACGAAAAAGGTTTTCGCTGCTCTCGTGTTAAAATCAGTAAACCGCTATCGGCCCCTATTATTGCACCATTGCGTAGGCTCCGTGACGGGGGAACTAGGTCGACAATCACTAACTCATGTATGCAAGGGGTATTCCAGGGGAAACAAGGCTCGCTTTTTATGGGAAATGAACGTATGTTACACGTGGCACGCTTCATTGGGGTCCAAGGGAGAGCTGCAGGGCGAGTGCAGCCTTGGCCGCTTTTCGTGGATTCTAATCTACGAAACCCCGCAACGTACCACAACATGAAACTTAATCACTCGACTATATTCTGACAGGGATGGGCAAAACTCATCAAACTTCTATGCACCATGAAACTCTAAGTCTTTGGAATGGTCTGAGTGATTGCTCCACGATTTCTGGGGCTGTCATGAAACCAGTTGCTCCGTGGAAAGAAACGGCTAACAGTGTCGCGTGCATGAACGTCACACATGGACATTACAGGGTACTCTTTGGGACTAGGTTGAAGAGAGTTGCATTGTCCGTTTGGGGGCTAATGGTTCTCATTTTTCACCCGTGGGATGTAATAATTCCATGGCACTGAGCCGTCCTGTCTGGGCACGAAGCTCCGTGGTCGCATTCTCGCGTCAGCCTTCTAGAGTGATAATGAACTCGATGCAGGATATCCTGGGCTTCGAAGTGTTCATAGCGCTCATTATTTAAAAGGCACTCGGCAAGGGGGCTGAGTATCTCCACTATCCTCAAAGTATCTGTTTCCAGGTCCCGGATATGTGCTATCACGGCCTCGAGCATTCTCGTTGTAACTGTAGTACTCCTTCTTGGCCCATCAAATCATGTTAGCGCTGAGAGATTAAAGTCTGACGACTTGAGCGACAGCGAGTTGGTGAATCACTCTTGACAGCCCCTAGAACCACTGAATCAGGAACACTCACACCGCCTTGGCTAGCTTCGTTGAGCAGACCAAAAGTATGCCCGGACCCAGGGCTTTGCTGAGCTGATACCACCGCTTGCCACATTTCTTTCGGTCATGAAACTTGGCACGCAGCTCAGACTGCCGCCGCTGGGTCAGGTTTCCCCACCCTTCATGTATATTTTCCAGAATACGGTCGATGATAAGTGACGCATCTCCTCGGCCTATGGTCGAACTAAATTGATTATCGACAGAGGTGTGCGAACGGCTGTGATGCGTCTTTACATACTCGAGATGCAATTGAATAAGAGCCATGCGATTGCGGATTACGTCGTCGTTCATGCGGTGGCTCAGCTGGCATACTGTCAGGTATGCAGCTTCCAGTTTCGACAACGACGCTTGTGCTAATTGTGAGCTTCTTGTTATCAATGTGCTAGGTTTAAACGGTTTCTGTTGAGTGCTGTCGTATATTCCCTCATTCGTCCAACGCGGTAGTTCGGATTCTAGCAAATTGTGAAAATCGTCACAAAGTATATTGCCTGATATTGTTTTGACCAATTGCTCTGTCGGATCATCTAAATTCCTTGAATGGGTCCTTCGCCTGTTCGGATGTCTGTTCGATTTGGGGTAATTGCGCCGGGTCGGACGGCTTGTAAACTCTTGAAGTCCTATACCCGTTGTATTTAAATGACTGGCATCGGGGTTCTGGTATGTGAACGTATGCAGACTACCCTTTGACGAACTGAACTCCGGGCCATTAGCAAAACCTGTTGTTGGCGAGCTCTGGGGGTTCCTCATATTTGGTATCGAAGGATCAAACGAGGACAAGACTGGGGTTTCGTCTGTTTTGCTAAAGGGTAACGGAGCCAAGAAACTTGAAATTGGCTGAGATGGCATGTGAGAAGAGAGCGGGCATATTGGGTCGAAGCCAACAAATAGTTCTTTGAAGTTCGCTGTGTTTAATTCTTTTCAGCCGGGTTTTTCTTTCCCAAAGCTAACTATAGCCTCCGAGCCTTACCAACGGGTTTAGCACTAAAAGCCGGTATCAATCCATATAATGAAAAGTTAGGCTCATCTTGCATGGTACTACCCATGTACGACAGCTTTATATTGTCAGTAGTTATTTGTATATCCACAATACATGGACACTTACGCTTGTCGAGCTTACATCACGCCAGTCTCCCTCTTCTTCGCGCGCGGAAAGGTCGCTCAGTGTAGCCTGAGGAATTGGCAATTCCAAGCCTACTTGGCAGGGAGCGATGTAGCTGCATCTGGTCTGCCCGACCACGTGAATAGTCAAGTGATCGTCCCCTGCAGGCTCGATACGCATTTGAAAATCCCTTATAGAATCAATCCGGTTTTGTTCTAAGAAATTTTGGATCTCCCTGACGAAGGCAAGTGAGCTGACGCCCGTAGCAGCGTGATCACGTTGTGAATCGAGCGGACCGTTCATTATGTTCATAGTTCCCCGTGTCATATGGGACTTCTTCGATTGGGAATGAAAGGAGCAGTCCGAGCCCAAGTTGTAGAGGGCCCTGGAAGCAATTGTCTTATCATGTACACTCCGCCCCGCTAGGCTATTACCCGTGTGAAATCAAGTTCGCACTGTCAGGCCTGACACTACGGAATACGCGCCTAGTGATGGAACCCTGCATTAGTTTCCGGAAAAGCCGTGGTTGAGGTCCAATCCGATGCCTAGCAGCCGTGCTCGGAGATGTCTGACTGCTTATAAAGCGGCGTATGTGGTAGAGCTAGAGATGAGATGACCTGACCTCCATATTTCCACTGTGAAGAGACCAAAGCCAAAAATACCGCTCGCCGTCTGAGGCCCCACTGTACTTGGGGGTCAGCAAAAGCAAATTGAAGCCTGTAATTGGATGCAAGGGGTATCCATGCATGTTGTGTTGGAGAGGGGTTGCTTGCATAGCACTGTGCAGCCAGACTCGGCCCGCCGGCCATGTCATCGCGATCGGCTCCCCTTTACCCTTCGGATAGTTCGTATTCTGAAGCTGGGGTTTCAACTTTTACATCTCAACAAGCTGCCTCGAACATTAGGTGGCACTGAAAATGCACTGGATGCCCCATGCAGGACCATCCCTTACTGATGACATGCATTAGGCCATGTGTTGCAAGTGCGATTTCTGTGAGCCATTGCATGCTCAGCCACCAACATTCAGAGGGCTTGTAGTCCGATTCACTCACCGGTTTTGCGATCTGTGGTAGACACTAGATTTATTTTTATTCTGATTAGTAGTTTAGCCGAGGCATGATTTTGGCCCGGTGTGGCATGGTACCGAGCACACCTATTTGCGAAACACAGCCAGTGTCTAAGCCGCCCCTCCGCGCGAGTGCAGGTCTCGACAGTTGTGATGTGTACAGGCCGTACCAAAATTGAATAGCGCACGGCAAGTCGCCGTGTCTTTATCACAGAGGTGTCTAGTGGCCCTCTTGTGCGTGCGTGATCTGCCGAGCCACGACAGCGACATAATTACAGGGGGTTCCAATTCCAGGGCATCTAATTCGAAAGTGCCAGTACCGTTATTGTTCGGCTGCTCAGCAAATGTAAAACATACCCTATGGCCATAGTTGGTTCACCCGCAGGCCCGCGTATCCTCTGGTACATCTGTTGCAATTAAGCCGTAGTAGGGTAGTAGGTACGCATTACTAAAGTCTAAATCCGATACTAAGCAACGTTCCTCAGAGATAAAGGAATGAAGCATGCTATCCTTGTACCAAATACCTCCGTTGTTGAATAACCTCAACAACATCTTAAACCCTCATTCTCGAGATAACATAACAAGACGATGATGAACTTCACCCACTTCGTCTTTAGTGCCGCAAACGGTGCAGCTCCCTTCCTAGGTCGGCCTTCCATCGGTTGGTCACAGCATGACGCTTTCGCTTGTTACCAACAGTAGGCCAGAAATAGTCCGGCCAACGTAGGAAATCCTTCCCCGGCTCCCTGAATTACAGTAGATGTCAGAATTAGATAATCTCTGTGCTGATAACATCATTGGTAGATGAGAAGCATTCCACCCAGGCTGATCATGGCCAACTCGTTGCTCGATGGTCTTCGCTCCAGTCTGAAGTAGCAACAGTGCTCTTCAGGGCCAAAAGAATCTTCAAATATGCCCCTTCAATTCAGTCTGCAATCAGTGATACAAGAACTCATCGTGTCTTCCCTGACTCGACATATACTTGTCATCACTCTACAAAAATAACTATGTTCATAGCTCAAGGGACCCACTGGAGCATGTAGTCTTGTCCAGCTCTTGATGAGTTCGAAATAGGTTGGTAGAGAATAACATCGCTTACCAGCATATATCAGGCGGAGAGAGCTATATTTTACGTCACAGGCCAGCCACTTAGCTTGAAGTTGATTGGTTTTGGAGCATGACCGCTTTAACCGTTCGATAACCAGTGTAGATATCATTATTGACCGTTACACGTCACCCAGACACCAGACTTTAGAAGAATATTGTTGGAAAATTGTGAGTTTGCGTCATTAATCTATCATTCCACTCGGGTCGTTCCAGCCAAGTACCAGCCATTTGAACAAATCCGGGCCTGCCCCATTCCATTGAAGCATCTGTTGGTTTTACCAAATTGCACGCTACGGCATTTGGTCTCTGGAGTAATAACAGTAAGAAATATGTTCTTTCCCATGGGCCTGCACCGAGTCCCACACAAGGGGTCTCTTAACACCAGGATTAGGTGATGTCTTACACAGTTCCTACTCAAAGGCGAAGCGACATCGTCTGCTGATGGCGCGCAAGAGACAGTCGGTACATCTGGAATTCAGTTGGCCTATGACGCCGGGCGCCAAAGTATCCACCCATTGCTGTAGCCAGTCGAACAATGGTCAGCCAAGGCGACTGGTTGCCTGCATGGTTGACTTAGGCATCAAAGGTTCCAACTCTACAAAACAAGTTAAAAAGCAATAATGTGCTCTATGGAATTGATTGCACTCTTAGGATTTCGTCTAACATTCTTGGTATCGTTTCGTATATCCATTACACTGTCTACAATACCAAGGCGAGAAAAGCCATGGCTTCCAATCTGCAATATGTCCAGAGCAAGACTGAAACCTTATATGATATCTCCACTGACGTCGTCCGTCTGCTTCGCTTATCTGGCGAGTCCCTGGGTGTAGCTGAGTCGCTCACAGCTGGCGGCGTCATGGCAGCACTGACTTTGGTGCCCGGGGCTAGCGCCGTATTCCGTGGCGGCGTGGTGTCGTATGCTACCCCACTGAAGAAACTGCTTCTTAATGTCGATGCCGACCTCATTAGCCGAGAAGGCGTCATTCATGCCGAAGTTGCACAGCAGATGGCCGAAGGCGCAAGGAGCGCGACCACATTCGACGATATTCCGACCACGTGGGGGATTGGAACGACCGGGGTCGCGGGTCCGGACTCCCAAGATGGGAAGCCTGTCGGCACGGTATACATCGGTGTGGCGTCTCCAGAGGGGACGAGGGCGTGGGGTCCGTTTAGATTCTCGGGGTCGAGAGAACGGGTGCGTGAGGCTACGGTCGTTGAGACTTTGTTGAGGCTTAGGGACGCAGTGGCCGCAAGGTATAATGAAGGCGCTGGAGAGAGAGGATACAATGACCAATCCGGTGCTTGATACTTGAATACTGGGTGGCGGAGGTGGGCACTCGTTTAAACATGGTCATGTACGATGTGTGTTCTCTCTGTGTGACAACTCATGGCATGTGCTGTGAGGCTCTTGACTCTAGCACCGCCATGCGATCCATTTAAAACCCTGTGTTAAGAGAGACTAAGGAGAACTGTATGGCCTGGCCTAGGGACCCATAGCGCCGGCCAACTTCTGCCCATCCGAACTAGTGTACCAAGGCATTGCAAGGAAGGTGCCACAAGCAATTCCCATGATAAGAGTAAATCAGAACGTACATAAAGTGAATGGAAGAAGACCTAGATCATAAAAATCATAGGAAGTAACAATCAAGATACCTATCATTAACTGGGTACTCCACAACGACAATTTTGGTAATCAGTTGCTAATAGACCGATGCATTCTAAATTATGCAAACCATTTAGTCCCAGGTCGTCGGTCTGGGCCACAACTCTGCATGCATGGAACCTATTGAATTCCGAGCTGTACGCTAAATGTACCCAAAGTCTTTAATGATGGTGTTATGTGGGCTCAAGCCGATTCTTTCAGGTTTGGCACGCGAGCCAACACCACCACAACGTGCAATGTTACAGATATGTAAGTGGATTCAACCATTAGGCAACTGCCTACAGGGATAACTTGATATGCTGCGCCTCTTAGGTAAAAAGAAGAAAATCATTAGCTGGTACTAGCTGGCGAGCCAACATCATCCAGGACCCGTTGGCAGTGCAGGTGGTTGGGCCGATGCTGGCGTGGAGTGGAAGTGGCCAGACAGCGCACCATGCGCGGCACACTAATGCGGAATGCATGGCCCACTGCATGCCTTCGTGTCTGAGCCTCATCAAATGGAGCGCCAACAAGTCAACAAGCCACAGCAACACATCATCACCAACAGTCTTCCACCTTACTTGATCCGGAGTGTCACGTACTTGGTTTGAAACATGTAAATCTGGACGCATCACGGCAACCATCTGCACCAGCCAGTCCGTAACAGTAATCCCTTGATTTCACCGACAGATAGTCGCGGCCTAAGGTCTCCCGCTTCTAACCTTGTCCTTCCAGTAATTACTATTCTTTGGTTGAAGTCTGGTTTTGGTTCATCATTGAATTTAAAGATATCAACTTCCAGATGCTTTGTCCCGTCACCGTCCCGTGCTGAATTTTGGAGAAATGTCCCCATTAGAAGCCAAGAGCCGTTGGCCTCGTTTAGTTGCCAAAAACGTAGCACCTGTCTGGTAGAAGCCAACTGAGAAGGCTTCTTCCTGTTAACTGTGTTAAATGCGCCACAGATTTCGCGCTCCCGTAAGGTCGACTGATATTTCTCGCACGTCGGCAGATCCTTGAATTTATATTTTGTTTGATATGGTATTAGTGGTATCCCTCGGTATCGACTACTGCAATGGTGTGAAGACCGCTAAATTTACCTCGGATTACCTGCTTGTGTTCTGTCAATGGTATAGATCCATAGGGCACCATGATTGTGTTAGAAGAGAATCCTTGCTTAAAATTGTATCAATGGTGAAGTACTAATGTGCGGAACGTTGATGGTGGCATCCATGTTTTGATATTGAAGTATGCGTGTTTTCTCACCTCGGGCCATGATGTGCAGTCGTTCGAGTCCTAGAGTTCTATGTTGCGCTACTGTACCTTCCAAAGACCTACTATTGTATCAGTTTTGCAGTTCAGAGTGTGCGATATCTGGCGATGACAAAGAGTGTTGTGGGTACCGCCACGAACTTCAGACTTGGCCGACGTTGGCGACCTAGTGAATCTATGTGTTGTCCGTATGTTGATATGTCTTCTTGACTATATCGTGAAGAAGATCAACACGCCTCCGAACAACTCATTCTCAACGGATTCCTCCTCTTGCCCCTGGACGACTTGAATGGCCAGAGCCACTATCCCTACGATTGTGCCAGCAAAGCTAATAGGGCCCATGGAAAACTTTCTGTGATGGTGGTCGATTATTCATGTTTGCATCGATCATCAGCCGTATAAGAGGGCAGGCTTGATGCGCGTTGCGGCTCCCTTTGATGTGTGGCATTTGGAGACTTTAGCACCCCCAGCGCAGCTCACCACCCAACTGCGCATCTGCACACGAGGATTACTATCCCACCAGTTCGGGCCCTTCAGTCCATTTTAGGCGTAGTCATTTGCCTGTGGCGTAAGGACTCTATTACTACGAAGACCATCTTAGCATCATTGGTTCCGTGACAACACCACAAGCCAATCAAATTCCGCGAAGGTCCTACGTGTAGTTCTCTCTACCGAGCCTAGAGGCACTTTGGGTTATCCACGGGGCTGTAAGGTGGTTTATTCAACTAGTCATCGGGAAAAGATCCTGTAGCGCGCTCCAATCTACGCTCAGCCCCTGGGACCGGCGAGCTGGCTGCCACTTTTCGATGAGGCAAGAGATGCGACAAGGCAAACTTCAGAAGCCCAAGACTGTGCCACAAAATAGACATATCTGACACAATTATGCTCTTTATTGCGGTGATCACTGGCCTTCGCCCAGGCCACGCCTTCATGAACTCAGTCATTCAGCTTTTCCACTTGCAAGCATTTGCATCACACCGACCTGTCGTTCTGGGACAAATGGATGGCGTTAATCCCCGGGTTGGCCCAGAGGGTCTGGAGTCCTCTTCCGCTGCCACGAAGAAATCAGAACAAAGATGTGGTGGCAATACAGCAACACACGGAGCGGCCGTGATACCGACCTACACATACGGTACCTCATTGACTATGTAAGATAAAGGTCACCTCAGTTACTCCAAAACATACATAGCTAACACGACAAGAGAATAATCCCGAAAAAGAGAGGCAGACTACGAGAATCGTGGACGATGGCGGTTTTAAGACTTAGGTTGTTTTTGTTTCCACCTCTGGCTTGTTAGCTTTGTCTTACAGTCTATTTGCCACCAATGTCATCATGCCGTCGCTCCTATATCTCTATCCCCATAAGGGAGACCCGGCAGAGCCCCAAATATAGTAATTAGCGAACTCACTTACATCGGTACTGTTATTAGCATGATTGTGATGGGCCACCTGGCAGATAGATCAGTACGAAAGAGATGGTGCGGAGTAGAATTAGCCGTTCTGATTGTAGCGGTTTTTGGAGTAGCGCAAGCGTCGGAAGACTTCATGACCGATAGTCATAACTTAGATAAGACTCATTCTATGGACATCTACCCCTGGATCAGTTGGTGGAGGTTCTCGCTTGGGTTCAGCATTGGAGCCGGGGTAAGTGAAGAAGGACCCATGTCAATCAGATTCTCACTGAACACATTCTAGTGTCCTCTATCAGCAATAATTACCGCCGAATGGGCATCCACAGAACCATGAGGCACGATGCTGACCGCTGTCTTTGCCACGCAGTCAATCGGTACGGTTTTGGCCTTCGCTGTCAACCTCGGAGGATTACACAACACTAACAGTGCCTGGGCTCTTTCTATCGACAAAGAGGTCCCGAACTCGAAACTCGTAGTCGACCAGGTCTGGCGTTGGACAATCGGAGTTGGTGTTCTTCCTGCTTCATTTGCCATTCTCTTCCGGCTGACCATCCCTGAGACGCCACAGTACTATGCAGGTATAATGAAAGACCTGGGGAAGGCAATTCATAATCTTCTCAAAGTCTACCGCAATAGGACCGTCGACGAACATGATGTTGTTACTACGGTGGATGCATCTACTAGCGTGGCCGACAAGAACGAAGCCGATCGCTGGTATCGTGGTACGTGGAACTACCTCAAAGGGCCTGGAAAGCCATGGAAACGCCTCCTGCCAATCTCATTCCTTTGGGGTATTATGGATATCGTGTGGTACGGTTTATCTGAGGGCAGCCCGAGCCTTCTATCAACGCTTGCTCATGGGGCAGGTCAAAATTTGGCGGCTATCGACCTCTATCACCTAAACCAGAGACGCGACGGCTATTGCCCTAGCGAGGACGATAACAATTGAAAAGCGGATTGTTGGAATATATCAATCACGATTTATGAAATGATCGAGGAGAATTCATTCAGGTCCATCCTTATTGTATCGATTGCTTCTTTGGTCGGCAGCATTGCCTCAATCATCATCATCAACGTCTTCCGAAGGAAGTATATCCTTGCAATTGACATTTGGTGTTCTGAGTATTCTCTTGGCTGTCGCGGGTGGAACGTTGCTTGCGGCACAAGGTCCACAGAAAAACCACTGTCCGACAACCGTTTTCTATTCACTCCTACAATTTGTTTTCAACATCGGCCCAAACCCTATCCTTTTCGTCATGCCATCCGATATCTTCCCGACTGTCTATCGGGGAACTATCTACGGGATAGCAGCGGCATCTGGAAAAATAGGTGCTATCGTAATTGGTGCTATAATAAATCATTTCAGCAATACAGCGAGGCCATTAGGTATAAGGCTGCTGATATTTACACCACTCATGCTAGTGTCTGCAGTGGTATCATGGCATTTACTAGATGTACAATATCCTATCAAACATTCTGATGTGGAGACAAGCCGACAAGAAGGAACGAATTCAGCTTACGAGCATACCAAAAATTACGAGGAGGGAATCAACACTCGAAAGATCAGAGATTTCATCGGATGATTCCCTGGGACCCGAATCTCAAGCTAGGGGCCCGGGAACTGGTAAGTTGGGTGGACATTTCTTGGGTCGCTTGGCGAACATTCCCCTTGAAGAGATTGCCCCGAACCCTATGCGGCGATCAAGGACTAGAGCTATGACGGCAGAGGCGAATCGAGATTGAAGACTGATTCAATTGCGGGGAGAAAGGGTATTAAAGCAGCATGCACTGTCTGTAATCAAAATACCAGAAGCAGTCAGTGAAGGCTTGGCAAAAACTAATCATGCATTATAATATCTCTATTTGTATAAGATCCAGGATCATCTCGCGATAATTAAGCAGATTTTCAAGACAGTCTGAAAACCCTTTTTTATCCAAAAAAAGAAAACAAAAAGTTGAAAAAAGTTTCAGAGATAAAGCGAATATCGTGCCAGTAAGTGCACGCCATGGTGATTTCGTATTCGTTCTAAGGGCTTGCAGAGTGCCGATAGTCCGGGCCGATGTAGAGGGCACACGGTACGAACTTATCAGCAGGTGGGATCCCCAATCGTTTATGAAAGGTGAAGGGAGAGCAAGGACTGCCACTGTCTTCCCAACCTGTCAAGCTCTGCTAGCTCTAGCACCTCCCCTACGGTGCACAGTGAAACGCCAGGGTCTTGACCTTGAATATGATAGGATTAAGCGTTCAGAGCCAGCGAGATTAACAATGATGATGATGCAATCCTTATGGGGTGCGATGTGTATTGTATGAAAGATGTAGAACGCAAGTATGCGTGGCACCCACCAAGGTGTGTTACCACACAACTACCTTATCTCCTTATCTATATGCTAGCTGCACTGGCACAGCTATCTATGTGTATACCCCCTTTACCAAAATGTATCAGGTGAGATACTTCTTGGGAGGATATACTGCCTGCAATTTCAACTGTTTCCACTGAGCCCCGGCCCGCCAGCAGCCTTAGAACAAGAGCGAGGGCCTGTCTACGAGGCTATACCAGACGAGTTGCAATGTGTTCATTGTTTGACATGAGGCCCAGCTGTTCCACGTGCCAGAGCACTATATCTGGATGGCCGAAGACAGGACCTGCATGCTAGACGAGCATGGCGTCGTTGGCGGGATAGAAAAGTGGGCCGAGACGGGATGCTGGTATGGCTGACAGGTACCGATTGACGCACGCTTGGTGAATCTCGAAGGCTGATTCAGGTAAAAATGTATGGTAGATTCCAGATGAGGTATAGAGATGCCCCATACTTATAGTAACATGGAGGTTATGCCCGGACCACGTGATGCATGGCGGCGCCTCAAGATACCGTGCAGAACAGTTCCCTTAAACGAATGTATCCCTTTTACTGTATAGCGTATATAGCTTGCCGAGTCTAGAAGATAGGCAGCCACCAGCCCCCTGTTCGGACCTCTCCGGCCCTCTCGGAGTTCCGGGAACCCATAAAATGACTTGCTGACGCTCTTGGACGTACACAACTTCTGTTCTCCTGCATTGCCCACCTCAACTCTTTCGAGTACTCAACACGCCTAGAGTCTCGGAAGAGTCTCATTGTTCGCTGTAAGTACCAATCCTAGAACGCACCTGCCACGCAAGAATGGGTTCATTTATATTCGGCCAGGACGCACGTCTCGACGACGACGTCGCACCCCTCCCTCCGCGCGATGTCCTGCTGTGCGTACGGACGGGGAAGATCCGACCCCTCCGGGGCGTGAAGATCCGGTCCGCCATTAACAAGTCCGCGCGCCAGGGCAAGATCAGGGTCACCCAGACCGGGCTCGTCGGCGATGAGGTCCAGTATGAGATGCACGGCGGTGTAGAGAAGGCGCTGCACCACTACTGCGCAAGCCACTACAAGACGTGGAACGAGGAGCTCCCCAACCGCGAACACCTGTTCAAGATCGGCGGTTTTGGCGAGAACCTGTCAACGGCGCTCCTCCACGAGGGCAACCTGTGCGTTGGCGACAAATTCCGACTGGGACCCGAGGTCATCGTACAGGTCAGCGAGCCAAGACAGCCGTGCTTCAAACTTAATCACCGTTTCGAATACAAGAAGACCTCCACGGTTGCTCAGAACTCGGGCCGTATCGGCTGGTACTATAGAGTTCTGAAAACAGGCTATATCCAGGAGGGCGATGCTTTTGAGCTGATCGAACGGATCAATCCACGCTGGCCGCTCCTCCGCGTCCAGAAGTATCTCTTTCATGATGTCAACAACATCGAGGCTATCACCGAGCTCAGCCAGCTGCCTGGCCTGGGTGAGGAAACTCTTGGGGTCTTCCGCGCTCGCCTCGCTCGTGGCCCTGAAGACCCAAGTGGCCGCCTTGAGGGAGATCGCATTCCCGTAGTCTGGCGCCCGTACAAGCTTATCGAGAAGACGGACCTCACTCCCCGTGTCAAGAAGTTTGTCTTTGAGGTCGAGAAGCCTAGCTCTGATATCGAGGATCCGGCGTTCGGGCGCTTTCCACACGTGCGGTTGCAGTTTGGTCCCGACATGTGTTTCTCGCGAGCCTATTCCGTCGTGTCTGGTGATATGGCACGGTTTGAGCTGGGTATCGCGAGAGACGACCAGTCCAGGGGTGGCTCCGTTCATCTTCACGATCAGGTACAAGTTGGGGACATGATCACGGTTGCCAAAGGTCACGATGCCAAGCCGTCTAGTTCGAACTGTATAGACAACCTACGCAGCAAGAAGCATGTTTTCATCATCGGCGGCATAGGCGTCACTGCTTTTCTTCGCGACATTGCCGACCTAGCCAAAGCTTCGGCAGACTTGGAGGTCCACTACGCAGTGCGCAGCCGTGAGGAGGCGGTTTACTTAGAGCTCCTCCCAACAAAAAGCACTACAGTCTACGCCAAAAGTGAGGGCCGCCGACTTCATTTGACTCGGATCGTTCCTCACACGGCTTCTGGAACGGCACCCGACGCAATGGTATACTGCTGTGGCCCAGCGTCACTGCTCAGCGAATGCCTGAACCTTACCAAGAAGCTGGGCTACCCACGCTCCCACGTCCACTTTGAGGAGTTTGGCGGCGCTACGACCGGGACAGGCGAGCCGTTTGAAGTCGAGATCAGATCGACCGGAAAGGTTTTGCAGGTCCCCGGGAAGAAGTCTCTGTTGCAAGTCCTGACCGAGGCTGGCTTTGAAATTGAATCGTCCTGTTTGGTGGGAAATTGCGGAACATGCATGGTTGACCACTGCAAGGGCAACATCGAACACCGTGGCACAGCGCTGGGAGACGAGATGAAGGAGGAGTCCATGTTGAGCTGTGTTAGTCGTGGCCAAGGGCGGATTGTCATCGATTGCTAGGCATTGGGTCAGTCGACATAACGCCATTGGCGGGGCTTTACCTTTCGACAATGGATCAGAGCAGACGAGGAGGGAGGTACATGGGGTAGATGGTTAGAGGCTTTTCCTTTTCGTATTATCGTCATGATTTGAGGTGATCTTGAAATAACAGGCACGTGTCTCATTCAACCGAGTCATGTCGCATTCTCAGCACAGAGGGACGCTGTCAGGGCCTCAAGGACCCCTAGAACCCCTAGAATTTACACTGCACGCTAAACAAAGTCTATGTTTATGCTGTCTTTGACCATGCATCATGACGGTTGCATGTGGCTCGGAGCAACACCCGAAGCTGCTTGGAAGCTGCTTTGGGGGCGGACAGCCATGCACTAATCAAGCTGCCAAAATTGATTGCCGGGTTGGGTTGGTATCTGAGCATCTGAGCACCTAAACTTTACGATCGCTGCTGTCGGACACGCCTCCGCACATCACCCCCCGGCAGAAATCCCACGATCCCAATGCCGTCAGCACATCACGACCCTGGGTGACGGCGACGTCACAGGGTCATGGGTTGCCCTTATGCAGACGTCGAATCGCGCCATTAGGGGTTTGGTGCCCCGCGCCTAGTCGCCCTGTCGCCTCTGTAGGGGGTCAGCAGCCGCTGCGACGCGCCACGACGGGGGGCCAATGGCGGGCGCCGCCGTCCCTCCACCGCCGACCCCACCCCCGCAAAAGTCGAGACAGGACCTGCGGCCGCGGGCCTCTCAAGCCTCTGGACGCGCTGCCCGAGACACCCACTACGTCGACCTGCAGCCGTTCGCTTCTGGCTTTGGTGATCGCGGAAGCCATTGGGGCGACTCGTTTGCTGCTTCTGGTACGATCTGGTGTGAGTCGTTTGATCCCTTTGCATGGTAAGACGGTCCCCTAAATCTCAACTTGCCTAGGTATATATCTCCCTCTCCGTCCCGCCCGCTTCGTGAGGCCTCGCTCGTAACCCCTCCCCCTCTTCTCAATCCCTCAGGATCGTATGACTGTATGTATGCTGCCATTGATCGCGTGTCACTGAGCCGACCGACCCAGCATACAAACACTGCGTACTGTACCCTAGATATCTGTCATCTACTACTCAGATAGTGTTAGGCAGCCTAAAATTTGACGAGGTAATTTGCTTGTGAATCATTATTTCGGGGCCTTTTTTTTCTGTATAAGACGAAACCTCGTTCCCCGCCTCCCTCTCCCTCTTACACCATGGAAACCCAGGTTTATATTCCTTACATCCCGACTCCAGGCGGCGTGCGGCACTCTCCACCACTGCACAAGATGAGCGATCCCAAAGAGCGATTTTACCGCCATTTTCAGACCGAGATTACAGGTAAGTTGTGCTGTCGCCTCTCCTCCCGCTTTCCCATCTTGGCAGCATGTGACCATGGCGGGCAACCCCCATTACATTATAGTTCCCCCTTTGGTCTGCCGCGTTGTGTGCCACTGACAATATACTGTTCGCAGCAATCCAAGATCAGATCGAAGACCTAACAACCCTGTCCCCAGTCAACGGCGAGCGTCATGACTGCGTCGACACCGTCCTCGCTGGCATCTCGCGCCTCTCGAACGAGGTGACGGACGCGCTCGACTTCATCCCCGCCTACGACCAGCGCGCCTACAGCCAGGCGATCAAGGCCCTCACGGAGAAGTTGAACGAGGCGACCGGCAAGTTCGCGCCCAAGGCTCGCTTCCAGTTCAAGCCCCGCGCCCCGAAAACCGCCGCAGCCGGCCAGGAGACGACACCGGACTCGAGGGGCTTTGCGCACCGCCCGGCGCAACGGAGCGGCGAGGACCGAGATGAGGAAGACGACGCCGTCGGCAAGCTGCCCACGTTCGGGCGCAACTACAACGAAGAGATCACGCGGCCGCCGGTGAACGGCGCGAGCACGGGGTCCGTCCGCAAGCCCAGTTTCTCGACGGCCAAGAACATCGCCATCTACGAGCAGACGGGGCTGCACATCATGCTGCCGTCGTCGGCGTCGCGGGCGACGTCGTCCGGGTCGCTGACGCAGCTGGACCGCTGCGTCGTCGACATGACGGTGCCCACGAGCGCCAGCTCGGGCGTGCCGTTCGCGGGGCTCGCCATCAAGGACATCCGCGGGAGCCTGCTGGTGTGCGGGACCGTCGCCGGCCCCGTGCACATCACGGGCGTCCGGAACAGCGTCATCGTGGTCGCGGCCCGCCAGGTGCGCGTGCACGAGTGCGACAACGTCGATATCTACCTGCACTGTGGGAGCCACCCGATCATCGAGGATTGCAAGGGCATGCGGTTCGCGCCGCTGCCCGAGGCTTATGTGAGTATTGCTCTTGGCCGAGGACTGCCCATCTGGCCGAATTATGACTACTGATACTAATGGTCCGGGCAGGCTGTCAAGACCCAGGAGGCTGGCAAGAACCAGTGGGATCAGGTCGACGACTTCAAGTGGCTCAAGACGGAGCCGTCGCCGAACTGGTCCGTATTGCCCGAGGAGAAGAAACTCCCCGAGGAAGTGTGGACAAAGGACATCTGTGGGAACCCGAGCATGAGGACGGACGATATCCTGCGGAAGGTTGGAGTTTTGAGCTGAATTCGTAGAACTACATAGCGTGGGTTGTGGCATAGGGAACACCATCCGTGGACGGAACATAATGTTTTATGGGCTCATAAAAGGTAGTTCATCGTTCTTGATTGCTCTAATACCAATTGGTGCTTACAGCAACGTTGCGAGAGCCTTCTGGTAATGCTTCCTGTCTCAAAATATGTAATCATGTACAACAGAGCGCCCACCCTTGCTTGTCCACAATCAAGAATGCCATGCTGGCCAGACTCCTCTCACTATGCCAATTCTCTGGTCATCGATAGGACGGTGTTGTCGAGGAGATTAATTACGCCCCGCGGAGACACTTTGACCTTCCTCGTCGTCAGACAACGCCTTTCCGGGATAGTCTTGTTTCATATCTGGGTGAATTCCTTCTGTGTGCTGTCCCGGTCCATTCTCATCGTCAAGGTAACCAGAAACATCTAGTGAGTTCTGGCCTTCCAAAGACAATGGAGTCTCGTGTCGTTCCAATGGTGCACCGCCGTCCTCAGAACCAGGAGACTCCGCAGCCAGGTCTCCATCAGTAAGTATTGCAGGTAGAACAGGACGCTGTGATCGAATGGGCAGCTCTTGTACCTACTAAGCCTGATCCTGCTCTCTACCGCTGTCCACGTGGCCGCCGTCCCCACCATCGCCAACCAGGGACCCCTCCTGCGACGAGCTGGGCGTCAAGATAACCTCCCCTCCTCTCGCCGCGGCGGGCCCGGATGTATCGCTGTTACTGCTGCTGCTTCGTTGCGAGATCGAGTCCTACTCCCTCATGCGCTCGGCGAAGCGCTCGCCAGTGGCAACGAGGCTGGCGATCTGGGCGCGCTGGGCGGCGATGCGGCGTTCGAGCTCAGCGACCTCGCGCTCCTGGTCCGCCGTCGTCTTGTGCATGTCGGGCAGCGCGAGCACGGCCGCCTTGGCCGCCGCCAGCTTGTGTCGCAGGTGGTCCGTGGCGGCGGGGAAGTCGCGCAGCGCGATCTCCTGCTCGCCGCCGCCGCCGCTGCCACCCTGTGACGCCGAGGACGACGGGCCTGGCCCCCCGGCGGCGGGCGTCGGGGCCGCGGCTGGGAGCGGGGTCGTGCCGGAGCGAGGCGCTTGCTGCGATCCCGGTTGCGAGGTCGGGAGCACGGTCGGGGCGCGCAGGCGGGACAGGAGCGAGGAGAGCTCGGTGATCACGTCGAGCTGGTCGGGGGAGAGGCCCTCGGGGAGGGTAAGAGCCCGTGGCTGCTGCTTTTGGTCTGCCATGGCGCGTGGTTTTCTGGCGCGGGAGGGATGGAGTCGTGATATGTCGGCCTGTGGATGGATGCGTGCTATGCTCAACAGTGTGATGTAGTTGTAGCTGCGAAAGGGCAGAGCTGCCAAGGGAGGGAGCTCGAACCCGTCGGATGTCTTGCGCAGTCTGGATGGAAGGGAGGATCAAAAGGACAAGTGCGCAGGTTAGCAGCAGAACGCGCCTCTCATTGCGCGACGAACTCAAAATGCACAGAAGACGCCGGCCCAAGGTTTGCGAGGTGCCGGCGTACCTTGCAGCCTCGAAGGGTTCCCGAACGTTCAGCCTTGCATGCGATGGTAGTGCGTAGGTGGATGGACTGATGGATGGATACACCGTAGTCTGGCAGTCGGCGCGACCCGCGAATGATCAGCCGGTCAATCAGTAACTACTGTAACTAGCACCAGGGCGCAAAGAAATATCAATACACAGCTAGCTGTAAACGGTAAATAGCCGGTATGATGAGCTCTGGGCTGACATCGTGGTGCCGCGTGCACTATGGAGTTTCTCGCTGTCTCTGAAACTGCCAGAACCGTTTATAGTTATTATAGAGAACAAGTATGCTTGGCTACGACGGGATATGTTGCAAGATGAAACTGCTTCCTTTCCACCATGGACTTGCGCAACATGTACTTGGAAGTTCACATCAACCACAGCAGCAGAACCAAATATCCTGACTGAGACTGGGCTCCGCAGAGTTGAATGCAGCGCTCTGAGGGCTCTATGCAAGTTGAGAGTATGGGGCTCTTTGAAACTATACTCCAGATACTCCCTGTGGATCGTGTTGATCCTCTGTTTCTGAATCGATTGGCGATGGTCGTGTATCGTGATGCTCGAATGGAGCTGGTCTCCTACTCTAACCAGCTAGACCGGAGAATCGCCCGGAACAAACCAATGTTCATCTGACGTCAAATTCTCGAGTCGCTGCAACCCCACCAACCCACCATTAGTCTCGTTTCCTGGGTGGAAGGTTTAAAACATCTCAACAAAGCCCGTCCGGAACTGCTTGACCACCCACTAAATCACGCATCTCGAGAGTATATCGAGGCGCTGCTTGTTCCTATTCAGACTCCTATACCCGTCCCCCTAGCACATCCTCGCTTGCTAGACCTGTCCCTGCAGCATCATGGCCAAGACGGAGCAGAAAGCATGCCTGAGTACGTTGTCCATCCCTCCTCCGTCTGCCCCTCCATTCGCCCCGGCCACACCCGGTCCAGTCCCTCCCCCTAAAGATACCCCGTTGGCCGCGAGGGCCAGGAACAACGTCCTAGTCGCAGACGACGGCGGCGTCGATGGACATCAGGGTTCTCCTCCTGCTCCCGCCCCTGCGTCCTCCTCGTCCTCCTCCAAGCGGCCGGACTACTTTGTCACCGCGGCCTACATCCTCATCTACTTCCAAGTCGGCTGGCTGATACTGATGCTTCTTCGCATGTACAGTCGTCATTGATGGCTGGGGTATCCCCTCCAAGGACTCGCCCGCCAACGGCGATGCCATCACCAACGCCAACACCCCCGTCATGGACGGGCTGTCCAAGAGCGCCACCGGCTTCACGGAGCTCGAGGCCTCGTCGCTCGCCGTCGGTCTACCCGAGGGCCTCATGGGCAACTCCGAGGTCGGCCACTTGAACATTGGCGCCGGCCGTGTCGTATGGCAGGACGTTGTGCGCATCGACCAGACCATCAAGAAGGGCGAACTTGCACAGAACGATGTCATCAAGAAGACTATCGACGCGGCCAAGAACGGCAACGGCAGACTACACTTGTGCGGTCTCGTCTCCCACGGTGGTGTGGTACGTGCTACCCCAGGTTCACCTCGGTATTTCTATCTGCTAAACATCACGTAGCACTCGAAGCAGGAGCACCTCTACGCCCTTCTGAAGGCCGCCAAGGACGCTGGCATCCCCAAGGTCTTCATCCACTTCTTCGGTGACGGCCGTGACACCGACCCCAAGTCTGGCGCTGGCTACATGGAGGAGTTGGTCGGAAAGACCAAGGAGATCGGCATTGGTCAGATCGCAACCGTCGTCGGACGATACTACGCCATGGACCGCGATAAGCGCTGGGAGAGAGTCGAGCTCGCCCTGAAGGGGCTGGTGCTCGGCGAGGGCGAGGAGAGCTCGGACCCGGTCAAGACGGTCAAGGAGCGCTACGAGAAGGGCGAGAACGACGAGTTCTTGAAGCCCATCATTGTGGGTGGAAAGGACGCCCGTATCCAGGACGGAGACGAGGTCTTCTTCTTCAACTACCGATCCGACCGTGTACGCCAGATCACGCAGCTGCTGGGAGGCGTCGACCGCTCGCCGCGACCCGACTTCCCCTACCCCAAGATCAACCTCGTCACCATGACCCAGTACAAGCTGGACTACCCCTTCGAGATTGCCTTCAATCCGCAGCACATGGGTAACGTGTTGGCCGAGTGGCTGGGCAAGCAGGAGGTCGAACAGGTGCACGTTGCCGAGACGGAGAAGTACGCCCACGTCACCTTCTTCTTCAACGGCGGCGTCGAGAAGGCTTTTGCCCTCGAGACCCGTGATGAGTCGCAGGACCTGGTGCCCTCCAACAAGAGCGTCGCCACCTACGACAAGGCGCCCGAGATGAGCGCGGCCGGCGTCGGCAAGCAGGTGGTCAAGCGCCTGGCGGAGCAGAAGTTCCCCTTCGTCATGAACAACTTTGCGCCGCCCGACATGGTCGGCCACACTGGTGTCTACGAGGCTGCAATCGTGGGCTGTGAGGCTACCGACAAGGCCATTGGCGAGATCTACGAGGGATGCAAGAAGGAGGGCTACATCCTGTTCATCACGGCGGACCACGGAAACGCCGAGGAGATGAAGTTCCCCGACGGCAAGCCCAAGACGTCGCACACGACCAACAAGGTCCCCTTCATCATGGCCAACGCCCCCGAGGGCTGGAGCCTGAAGAAGGGCGACGAGGGCGTTCTGGGCGACGTTGCCCCCACCATCCTCGCGGCCATGGGTCTGCCCCAGCCCGAGGAGATGACTGGCTCGAGCTTGCTGGTCAAGGCGTAGACGTAGCAATCTCAGACCCTGGCGTGCAATCTGCAAGCAGAGGTAGAGGAAACAATTTGGTTAAGGCGCTGGGGAATGGGCGCCGTGGGACTTCTCGGTTATGCGAAACGGAACGGAACGAGACTAAGGGATGGAAAGGGGTGGTTGAAAATAGACTCACGAGACCACGATAGAGGAACTATACGTAGTAGAGAGACACAGAGGCAAATGAAATATCAGATACATGACGAAGCATGAACCAGGGAAAACCAGATCTCGTGTCTGCTGGTCCTCGATTGCAACTACCAGCAAGCAGCTCCTTGAGCTAGTCGAGACCAGGGCGATTCTGCCTTATTATTCTCATGCCTCAACTTGGGGGTTGCTCCAGAGCAGAATAGGCCTGGAGCCCCTGGACATGCATCGCACACCAGCTGAGTACGTACCTGGACAGTCGTCGGCGGCCGGATCAAACGTTCTGCCGATAAGACGGCGAGCTAGCCCGCGTTGGGTCTAGCGGCGCGCCAGCCCACGCACTGGGGGCACATTCACAAATGCCCAAACCAAATCTTCGACTTCAAACCGCCCCGCCATCGATTTTGAAGCCCGTGAAAGCCCGCGTCCACGTCCACCCCCCCAAGACAGAGACCACCACACAGCCCAACATGGACGGCGAGGACCCCAAGGAGAGACCCCAGGACATCACGGCCATCATCACCGGCCTCGAGCGCTACAACCCGGAGGCTGTCGTCTACCTCGAGAACTACCTGAAGGAGCAGTGCGAAAACCGATTCCACGATGGCAGCGCCAACCGGACCCTGCTGAAGCTGTGAGTCCTCTCCCTGCCTCACGCTCCCCCCGCCGACGTCGCTGCTGTGATGATCGCATGTAAACGTTTCCTATTACCTGACTTGGGGCCGCGCCGGTTCCCCTGAAGTCTCACCATTAGATGCGTCTGATCTTGTTGCTCTGCCGGCAACTCATTGGTGCTTACATCGATTCACAATGTACGCCGCCGCTTGCTCGGAACCGACCTGCTGACCTCCTCTCCTCCCACCTAGGTACCAGCTCAACCCGGACCGCCTGCAGAACGATGTCGTCACCAACGTGCTCGTCAAGGCCCTGACCTGCTTCCCCTCGCCCCAGTTCTCGCTCGCCCTGCACCTCATCTCCCCCTCGGTACTTGCGCCCAACTCGCGCAACGACCTGCCCGAGGCCATTGGCCACCTGCGCGAGCTCAACAACCAGCTCGAGGGTGCCCAGTACGCCCGCTTCTGGGCCACCATCGACAGTGACGACCTGTACGCCGACCTGATTGCCGACATCAACGGCTTCGAGGAGCTCATCCGCATCCGCATTGCCACCCTTGTGAGCCACGCCTCGCGGGAGGTCGACATCAACGTACTTGCCGGCTGGTTGGGCCTGGACGAGGGTGCCGCGCGGAAGTTTGTTACCGACAACGCTGGCTGGAAGGTGGAGGGTGACGTCGTCAAGGTGCCCCGCAACGCCGAGAACGAGGCGAAGAAGACCGAGGTGCGCGAGGACGTCAACGTCGACATGTTCTCGAGGATCGTGCGCAGAGCCTGGGAAGAGACGGCATGAGGAACAGGGCTCGCGCCTTTGAGTTGACGGAAAGCATGGGACAAGGGCTACGCGTCATGCGTACGGGGAAGATGCTATCCACACGGACGGCCTGCTTTATGAGACCCAAAATTCGGCGTTCAGGGGGGTAGTTCTACGGTCACGACAAATCATGCTGCATATTTTTTTTTCGCCATCTGGATTGTTACGAAGCGACACTGGACGGACTTTTGTTTCTGTCTTCCCCTGCCTGCATGATACCTGACTGACCGGCTGCCTTGACCTGCGCGTGCGTGAATTTTGCGAGCCGCGAGCATATGCCGATCGCTGCTCGTGGCACTCGGTGTGTTTGATGCATAATCAAGCGAAATGCCCGATGTAGGGTTCGGGGACGGCGAGTTGACGATTCGGAGCAGCGGCGGGGGGAGCAGCGTATATATGTATGCCAGCAATTACCGCTCCTCGGCTTGCATCTGGGGATAGCCTCCTGGAAGTCAAAACCACGGGAGATGAATATACTTTCGTGCCTACATATAATTGCGACCAATCAAGTCGTTTGGCCGCCGCACCGGCTCTTAATCTCGTTTCCAAAATTGGTTGTGGCCACGGGCTCCAGACCCCTGCTGAGGCTCGGTTTTCCCCGTTTTATCCCCCCCACTAGACAGACGCTGCCAGGCTGGAATCAATCTCACGGCAGAACCAACCATTGCATGTTCGTATGTACCGTGTGCGCGGCAAAGGTGGCCTCTTATGGGCTCTACTGTGCAGAAGGTGTCGCTGAAGGGCTTTGGCTTTGGGTACCAAGCCGGACGGGCAGGTTTGCGAGGCTAGTTCGATGTATGCCATAATTGGTGCATTGTGCGTTTCTTGTCAACCCCACGTGGGCTAGCTTGACCGGGCCTTGATGTACCACGTACCCGCAGAATTGATTCATGGCTATGCTCGTCTAGCTGTGTCCGATCACAATCTTGCGACTCTCGCCTTGCCCACCGCAGGCCCGTGCAGGGACAGAAATCAGAAAAAGACGGCGACGCGGGCAAAGGCGGATTGAAAAATTCTCAAACGTTACGGCGCGATGAAACGGACCCCACATGGCAGGCCAATGGGCTATATCCAAGGGGCGTCCTCAACATTATCAGATCTCTATCCACTCTCTCCGCGAGGGGGGCCCAGGCGAGATGATCTGCGCAGGGAAGCGCTAAAGCGTTGAGAGCTTTCTGACGGGTTTCCCATGTGACATTCGTCGAAAAGTCGTGTCGTAGTCGATAACGGGCGGGGGGGGACGACTGAAGACACGTCTTTCCCAAGGGGACCCTAGGTGCCCAAGGTACATACGCGCGGTCGGGGGAGCGAGTCGGCTAGTTTTTCCAGACGCCTCCAACCTGACTAAGGCGTCGCCTCCCCGTACCAGCAATAAGTTATGGTGAGAGCACGGGCAGCTAGCACATGCACGCAAGAGTCAATCTTGTTCCCACGGCTTATCATATTTTTTTCCACCTTTTCTAGAAAGTAGAGCGCCAAGCCCCTCAACAGGAGCTCTACTGCGGTCTAGCAAGGATGGCGAACCGAGTCCGCAAGGATAGGGGTCTCGTACCTCTCCTCTCCTCCCAGGGGGCGGCGGGCCCTGTGCCTGGTACTGAGGTACCGGTAAATCCAAACCGCACAGAAATAAGGACCCTGAAATCTAGACCAGACCCTTAGCCCACCCCGGGTATCGAATGGAGGCTTACCCGAGGGGAAGGGGGCCCTCGGAGACGAATAAAACCAGGCCTAATCACGCTCCCTCTCGAGGACGGGATTCCACGCGCTCTCACACGTCTGGCCCTGGGATCAGACTTGGACAGCTTTCCTTCACAATGGCGGCCATCACTACCACAGCCACTGAGACGACGACCATCAAGGCCAGAGGTGCTGAACAGGTATGGCCTCACACGAAGAACACCCTGGCGTTCGTCCCTTGCCTGCTTTGCTCGTGCTAATTCGCTCACGCAGTCTCTCGAGCCCGTCTACCCGGATGTCAACACCATCCGCAAGGCCATCCCGGCCCACTGCTTCCAGCCCTCGGCCCTGAGGTCGCTGTCGTACGTCTTCCGGGACCTGTGCCTGGCCGCTGGACTCGGCTACGCGGCGCTGACCTACATCCCGGCGCTCGACAATGTCTACTACCGCGCCGCCGCCTGGGCCACCTACGGCTTCGCCCAGGGCCTGGTCGGCACCGGCATCTGGATCCTGGCCCACGAGTGCGGCCACGGCGCCTTCTCCCTGCACCGCAGCCTCAACGACGTCGTCGGCTGGGTCCTGCACAGCCTGCTGATGGTGCCCTACTTCTCGTGGAAGTTCAGTCACGCCCGCCACCACATGTACACCGGCCACATGGAGCGCGACATGGCCTTCGTGCCCGCCACCAAGGAGATCCACGAGCACAAGGTCGCCCGCCTGTCATGGCTGGGCATCGACCCGGAGATGGTTGAGGACGCCCCCATCGTCAACTTCGTCAAGCTCATGGCCCACCAGCTCTTCGCCTGGCAGACGTACCTGCTGTTCAACATCTCGGCCGGCCCCAAGTCGCTGCAGCGCAAGGGCGCCTGGTGGCGCCTGAGCCACTTCGAGCCCACCGGCGCCGTCTTCCGGCCCCAGGAGGCCCTGTACGTGCTCATCACCGACATTGGTTTGGCACTCGTCGGTTACGCCCTGTACGCCGCCGCCCAGCAAATCGGTGGCTGGACCACCTTCCTGCTGTACGGTGTCCCCTACTTCTGGGTCCACCACTGGCTCATCGCCATCACCTACCTCCACCACAACCACCCCGACGTCAAGCACTTCGACGCCGAGGGCTGGACCTTTGTCAAGGGCGCTCTGGCCACCATCGACCGTGACTTTGGCTGGATTGACCGCCACCTGTTCCACGGCATCATCGGCACCCACGTCGTGCACCACCTGTTTGCGTAAGTTCAAAGTTGCCTGACAAGAATTCTCCGTGGCATCGTCGCTAACTCGTATCCTGCAGTCGTATCCCCTTCTACTACGCCGAGGAGGCCACCGAGGCTATCAAGCCCGTCGTCGGCGACCTGTACCACCGCGACGAGCGCTCCTTCTACGGCCAGCTGTGGTCCGTCTTCAACAACTGCAAGTACGTAGAGAAGGACCCTAAGATGCCGGGCGTCATGCGATGGCACAAGGGTGCCTAAAGAAGGGGCATTGCAGATGAGGGAAAAGTCTCGCCGCCCGGGCTGTCATCTTGAGAGATAGATGAAGCCACACCTCCTATTCATCATGTTATTTGTTCATAGACCGCATAGAACGGGGGATATAGACGGATCCGGGGAGACAGGGAGCAGCCAGAGATGGAGCTGGTGTGACGAGCGTGGCTTGCATAGACTAGACCTTTTTAGACGCGCCAGCTAGATCAAGATACCAAAACGTTTGTGGTAAAAGCAAAAACTCTGGCACCAATGAGCAGCGCTCGAGTGCGAATGCATTGAGGATGGTGATGATTGCCATAGCGGCTTCTCTGCCGTCTCTTCGGCGACTGGATGGCCAGCCCCGCATGCTGAGACGGTGTGCCACCAGTCAGTGTGCAAGTTCTTAAAATACTGTGACACTACCGCTGAGGTTCTGGTCTTCGCCAATCAGCGTGTGTAATTGGGGTTGTCAGCCTGCAATTCCCCAACTTGCACAAGTGCGGGCGTGCAACATGCAGATGAGGTGGACGACGATCATTGGTCGAGTCCGAAACCTGCATTCTGCAAGAGCCAGAGCCTCGTGCTTGTTTTCCAACTTTAACATGTAGGCCGGGGTTGCAGGCTGTAGCCTGATGGATAAGAAGACATCGGGCTCCCCGTGTGTCGAACGTTCTGTTCACCACTTGTCAACCCCCGAAACACAGATCTCTTAATATTGATGACTGCTTTGTGGCACATATTCATTTTCTGGTTGGCTTCACGAGACTTACGGCGTCTTCAAAACAGCCCAGCAGCCACTTCATAATGCCTTCCCTCAAGCCCTCAGACGATCTGGAAAAGTACAAGGACCTGATCTGGTGCTGGTACATCGGCGAGGATAGATCCAAGAAGGATGTAGTCCAAAGGCTGAACGATCGCGGCGTCAATATCAAGTTAGTCGTCCTCCATCTACGCAGCAGCGTGCTCTAACTCCCAAACCACCGCAGGCAAAGCAATCTCGAGCGTCGCATGCGACTCTGGGATATGCGAAAGAACGTCACCGATGCCGAGGGAAAGTGGATGGCCCGTCAGCAGAAGTTGCGGAAGGACAAGAACAAGAAGACGCATTTCCTGCTCTCCGGCAAGCGCATGGCGGAGGAGAAGATCCGTCGTGCCATACAGCGCCACAGCCTTGAGGAATACAGTCTGCTTCATAAATTTCAACTCTGTGAGTGTCACTCCAGCTCAAGTTCCAAAGTATCAAGACCTGTTCGATTAACCTACGTACTAGTCTCAGAGACAGAATTCGTTTCTTCTGGTCCTGGTTCTGCATTGGTTGTGTGTTCCCCCTTGACTTCCGTCGAGAGGCCATGGCAGCCATGGATACAATTCAACGACCGCGTTTTAGAAGGCTCTGTCCGCCTAGAATTTGTCTTGCCTTCCAGACCACGCCTTTCTGTAGAGACCACTTCATTGGCTACAGTCACTGATCCCTCAAAAGGCTTTCAACGGCTCAAGGTTGACAAAGTTGCTGCTGTTCTCGACTGGCTCGTCCCGGAGTCATTCCCGGAAGAGAATGTTCGCGCAGCAGATTCTCTCACTCAATCTTGGCCCAAGTTTGATATTGTCGCTCTGAAATTTTTTATCTTCAGGCTTTCAAACAATTTGATACAGAATGAAAATCACATTGATCGGCCCGTCGTTATACTCCGCCTGTGCCAGTCATTGGGGCTTGCTCAAGTAGGTATCATTCGTGGACTTTTCAAGCTGGCTCCTGAAAACCCCACAATTGCAGCCGTCTTGGACGCCTTGTTTCAGACTGCTTGGATAACTGAATCTGTGGACCTCATGTCTCTGATCTTGGCAGAGAACAAGAGAGTTGATAACGGCAAGCCTACGAGTGTGGTAGAATTCCCTGTGTGGCATGCCATCGAACATGCAATACGACGCTCAAATCGAAGACTCTTGGATGCCGCCATTTGCTTTTCCTCAGATTATCCTGAAGATAACTTCAATGTCACACAAAGAAATGAGGCCCTTCACCTCTGTGCAGGTCACCGGAATCACGTTTTCGCAAATGGCGCGATTTCGTTGCTGCTAGGAAAAGGGGCAAAGGTAGTCAACGACACTGGTCATGTGGGCAACGCACTCTTTGCTGCACTCCAACGCGGCAATATTCAGCTCGTTGAGTTATTGGCCATGAGTGGAGTGAATTTCACGATCACCTCTCCATGTGCGGAGCGCCCTATACGAAGGATCCCGGCAGCGGGTTATGCTTCTAAAATAACCATCTCAGATCATGACAACGCCTTCACATCTGCCGTTGTGCGTTGTTGCTCTCGTAATTCCTTTCTGGAAGAATTCCCAGAAGATGATGGGATATATTACCACCACCGGCAAGACGGAACCCTGATACTTGAAGATGACAAAGAAGAACTTGAACGGCATCACTTTCGCGCACAAGAATTAGCCGTTGCCATGTTTGCCTACTTGATTTCTCCACAGTCGCTCATTACTGGCAGAGGTTCGACTTGGCCCCGGATATTTCCGGTGCAGCAAACCGTGTGTGTGGATATTCTGATTGCGGCATCCTTCCAGGGGTATGATGGTCTGATGGAAAAGCTTATATCAGGCCCAGAAGATCTGAATCGAGCCAATTCCCACGGACTATGGCCGCTTTATGCCGCTATCATTGGGTACAACAGCAATTTTCAGCGCTGTTGTAAACGGCTGCTACAAATGGGAGCTGACGCAAACTTCAGGCCATTATCCAAATCAGCAAGAGTGCGATCATCTTCGCTACACCAGGCTATCAATTATGATTCAGCGGATTGCGTGGTGGCACTTCTAGACTATGGCGCTGATATTGAATGCAAATGCCAGCTTGACGACATCATAGGGAACGGGAAGGGCATTCATCCTTATCACGGCGAGCAGATGAGTCCGTTGGACCTAGCCATATATCGAGGATTCTGGGGAATCGCGCAGATACTAGTCAGTCGAGGCGCATTCGTGACATCCGGCAATTTCTTCACCGCGGTAGAACATTCTGAAATTTCCCTTGTGCAGACAATGATGACGAATCAGATGTTCGATAAGTATATGGTGAATCCAAATTACGGAGACAAGACAGCGCTTGAGGTCGCTATTCACAGAGGAAACCCTGAGATGTATGAAACACTGATGAGAACCGCGGGGTCTGACCCAGTCACGGCTGACCAATTCATTGCCGCGGCCAAAGCCGGTAGCTTCGTGCTGGTGGTCGAATCCATGGTCGATGCCGACCTGAATCTTTCTCAACAAGAGTTCTCAATGGCATTGATGTATGCTCTGGAGAATGGACACAAAGCCATCACAAACCTACTTATTGCTGAACATACACGTTTTTCAACTATGTGTCCATTGTCTGGTACGCTCTTCTACTGGGGGTAAAACTGATGAATACCTAATTAATCACCAACAGATTTGAGTAACAGTGACAGGGGCAGAGCAGTTGAATTGGCAATATTGGATGGTCAAGAAAGTGTTGTATCAACGATCCTCTTCTGGCACCCGAAAGCCTATAGCTCTGGGATGTTATGCGCTTGTCTTGTAATGGACCAGCTACTATCTCCAGCCTCGAACAAGGTGGTTTGTGAGATACTACGAAGGAGATCCTGTGCCACAGAGGAGAATTTCGATCCACTGCTTGAAAATACAGCCATTGCACTTGCAGCGTATCACGGACAAGACGAGCTGCTTGCTGCGATACTAAATCGATCATGGCCAGGACATTTGTGTGCTATACCCGAGCCACGATTCTGGGAAATGAGGTACACAGGCCAAGACAGATATCGACGTGTTAAAGGACTCATCCCTAACGAAAGCATCATGATGGGAGACAGCAATCGTGAGTGTTTCTATTACGAGTGGTGCTCACCAGACTGGAAGCTTTCAAGTCAGATGATCGGCGACTGGAACTCGTGGCGTGATTGCCCATCGACTTGCTCGCCGCTACTCATGGCAGTCAAAGGCCAAAATTTCGTTGCAGTTAATTGGCTGATGGACCGAGGATATGTTGCTGACGGGCCAACTCTAAAAGCTGCAATAATGACTGAATGGCCGATTGAAAAGCTGAAATATCTCGTTTTGAGCTGCAATGACGTTGACCATAGAGAGTCGCCCAACGTGTCAACAGCACTGTTTGAAGCCATACATTACCGGAATATCGAAGCTACCCGTGCTCTAATTGAGCACGGAGCTAACGTGAACGAAGGACCCTTTTATCACGCAGAAGGATCTTTTTATCACGCAGAAGGACATCTAACTACGCGGCGAACATGCCTTCAAATGGTTATTCAAAATTTTCCTGTGTGGAGTTTGGCTTCTGCACCTGATTATGAAGCAATCGATTTGCTTCTAGACGCAGGCGCTGATGTCAACGCCGCAGGCACAGGTTACGGACGTGTCACAGCACTCCAACTTGCCTGTACTACTGGCTACATTCCACTAGCTAGGCGATTAATAGAAATGGGTGCAGATATCGATGACCTCCCAGTATTCCCGCATGGTTGGTCATGCCTCGAACATGCCGCACAATCTGGAAGGCTCGATATGGTCCAGTTTTTAATCAACTGCGGCGTCAGTGTCGTGGGCAGAGCAAGGTTGCAATATGCCTCCGCGGTTAGACTGGCTGAGGACTCTGGACGAACCACTTTGAAAATCCTGCTCCAGAAATATGGAGGCTGGACAGTCGCAGATGAGGAGCTGCTACAAGAAGATCTCAGGATCCGCAAAGATCGGCAAATTTTACGTTCCAAGATTAAAAGATATTCCAAATCTGAAAGGGAGCGGGTAAATTTGTGGATTCGAAAGTATTACCGACATGACAAGGACGATCTGGTTGATGTGGCAGACGATTTGGAACAAGATGGTCCGTTGGAAAGTTCCGTAATTGATGACGGTTGCAACAGTGATGACGCAGAAAGCTCTGATACAGAGGAAATGAGGGAGCAGGAGCCCCCAGGGACTCAGCAAGCTGATTTCCTCAGCATTAGGCACGCAGAAAAGAACGCAGAAGGCGGTACAGCAGGTGGAATAACTCACGACGAAGTGTCAGCTTCGATGTCCGCATTGCTAGCATTGCCGCAGAGTCGACCTATGGACGAGAGCTCCGATATTGCTCTCCTATTTCCCACGGAATTTTCGACAAGTGAACCGACTGTAGACACTTCTACGAGACCAGGCACAGAAGAAAACAAGCTTCTCGCATTTAAAATGCCCTTGCATACGTCATTTATCGAACGGACCAGCGTGGACTTTCATGAACAGGACGATTTTAATGTTTTCCTCATATAAGACGAGATGCTTTGCATACTTTGGAAAAAAAAAAAAAAAAAAAAAAAAAAAAAAAAAAAAAAAAAACCTGGAAAGGGTATTATTGACTGCATGGTATTTCTTGCCTATACGCATCTTCCAATTGCAGGTTTAGAAATCATTAGCAGAAAACTGGACCTTTATTATGTGAGCCGCGCAATCAGACTTAGACGAGGTACTTTCTCTACAGCAGCACTACGGCAAAGGGTCTTGCTAATGAGATTTCTGACAAATAATTCACGTAATATATCGTAATCCTAACCAGGAACAATTTACTGAGGAGTCCAAGTCCGAGTGTTAGCTTTAGAGAAATAGATTTTGCTTATAATCTCTTCTGATGTATTGAAAACCTAGGGAGTTATGAAGTACTACCTACAATGTCCAAGTATATCATTGATAATGATATTGAGAAGTTCGAGGAATTTAGTTTGTACTCAAGTCAGAGAAAGATATTGGTGGCTATATAATAGTGTGCTGTCAATGTGGGACATGTAGAAACCCGGACTAACTGCCGATAAACCCGATATTGCCGGTCTCGTTCCTCGTCAACCTCACTCTCTTCTTGCCGACCTCAGTTTCTAACGCGGTTGCACTCCGCGCCGGCTTCGTCAGCGCAAGTTGTTCTTGCCCTCGTGCTTCAATCCCATAGGACACAAGGGCAAGCTGTGAGGACTTGAGCAGTGGTTGACTCCTCGCTCGCAGGATCGCCACGGCCAGCAAGATTGCTGTAAGAATCGCCTCGGCCAATGGAAGCACTAACCAACCCCAGCGAACATGGTAGTATGTCGCCGTATAGGACGCATTTCCATAGTGGTACGTCGAATCCAGGTTGTCTCCACTACTGTTTTGCCTGACCAATACAGAAAGCGTGTCTGCGACGTTCTGGGCGAGCCGGGGTATATCTGCGCCGTACATGAACCTGCCAAGACTAAGAATACGATTGTTGTCATGCTGATCAATCAGGAAAGTGTTTTCATAAATCTGGTCTGTGAAAGCATGGGATATATACTTGAACAAGGCTACCTCTGAGGCTTGAAAGTGAGACGTTGTCCAAGTCTCCGGATTGAACCGGTATTGGACATTTGTCTTGTTAGCCACGTACACACCTTTACGATCCACATCAGGATCGCGGTAGACGCTTTCTGTCTCCAATTTGAAGCTTTGAATCCCGGTGGGGGTTGCAACAACGTCGCTATACCAGTGGCTACACCAGTACCACTGGATGTTCCACGCTTCCATCGGCTGGGGGTTGGCAGTCTTGGGCATCCCGTCGGTTGCGTATTTCCAATCTGGATCAAATTTGTATCTGACGATGTCCAAATTACTGCCGCCATTGTTGATTCCAGTCGAGCCTACTGATTCAAAGTAGTTGAAGTCTCCAGGTATCCCACCGTCATTAAAGCTCCATCGCATTGTTATTGGAGCTGGTGCCACCTCTGTCTCGTTGAACGGGGGCGGCACCAAGATAGTCGGTCCAACAAGTGACGAGTTACGAATCAGTGCGAAGTCAAAGACACAAGTCGCTTCACCCTTGTCGAAACTACCTTTGTCCGCTGACGAGCATGCTGGCTTGATACTATCTGTCACGTTTTGAACTGTGGTACAGACGCCCAGTGTATTAAATCGTTCCCACATGCACTCTACAGCAGGCGAGGGGCAGTTCACCTCGAGACTAGGGATATCTCCCGCAACTCCACGCGCAATAGAAGCCTGTTGAAATAGTATGTCGCTGGTGGCTGGTTGTTCGAACGTCTACAAGTAAGAGGTGAGTTATCATTACAATACCGTTGATGGAAGGTTCACGTACACTCGTGGGGTCAATGCCTTCGAATGCGGCCTTTTTGGACGTGTAGGAGCTGGCTATTGGAAGCCTGACGTTATTATTACCTGGCGAATCCCAACGACGGGATGATAGCTCCAAGATCTGTTGGGCTGTGGGCTCGACACCTAGTGCCAGGACGGTGACAATAGCCAGTGCCGAGGCAGTTATAGCTTGGGTCCGCATCAGTGAAAGGAAGCAAATGGAACCCCAAGGGCCTCTGCTGGCCGTATCAAACAGCTCGAGGTCCTTGATCGGCCGCGGCCTTTTCGAGAAGTAATCCCACTTCAACTGGCTGATGCATGACGCAATGGGGACCATCATTGCAGCCTTTGAGATCGTAGTCATAATGGCGATAAGAGAGTTTGGCGCTATGCCAAAGGTCCATTGGTCAATGGTCCTGTTGTTGATGTAGATAAGCACACCGGCTATGGCAGCCACACAGGCAATGCCCAGAGTTGTTGCACCGATCTCCCACCACCACCACCAGTCCATGGCCTGCGCTGCCTCCCAGAAGCTGCGATATGCATCCTTCTCGGTTCCCTTTCCATGTTCGTCGGTGTCAGAGGCGACTTTCCTGGTCCCAGAGACCTGTCTTTGAGGGAGAAATGAACGCGTATCATCGCTGTGTAAACTGGTTCTGCTGGCGTCGCGGAAGCTTGGCGATGGTCCGCGCTGTTGCGTCCTCGATTCCCCATCGGGGGACTCACAACGAAGGAAAAACTCGGCTTCTGAAGTACTGGGCACTTGTTCGCGCCCCCGGGGGTTTGCATGCTCCAGTGAGTCGCCCATCACGGCTAATTCGACTCCAGGTGTTCCTGGTCGCATGATGCGCGCTTCATAGAGGTCAGGAGGAAATTGAAGTGATTGTAATGACAGATCAGAACCGCACAAACGGCGTCTCATGCGGGTTCGGTGGTGACGAAGCCCTGGAGTTGCACAACCGAGTGGGTTCGCGACATTTAGCAATGGATCACCGCACACGCTTCTTGAGCGAAGATTCTTAGATAAATATGGCGGAGTCAGATTGTGGATGCGACATGGAGGCTATGCACAATTCACACCTAGGTATCTTAATTTGCAGCAAGCTGCCCCGTTTCAACTCGGCGCTAACGATGCGACTACCGTATGCCCCTTCGAATCTCTCGCATGTCTTACTCTTGGCATTCCACTCTGCTGAACTGACACACCCATCCACCTTCTACGGTTAATTTCCCGGCTATAATTGGCTTAGCTCCAACAAACGGGCACATCTCTTCGAACGACCAAATGAAGGAAATGCGAACCACATTGGCATGGAATAATCGGGCTAGAACCTGTATTGACACAACTCTGGGTGCTTATGGGTGTTTATCGTATCGACTGAAGGCCATATGCCCTTCATATTATGGCGAATGCATATGAGAAAGCCAGTGGTATTTTGTTACCAGGGCTATCCTGTTAGAGTTGACAAACAACAAAGATTGCTAGTCTCTATGTTTCTGGATCTTGCCCCGCATTCTATCCCCTACAGCTTCTTCTCTTCCTTCAGTTTCCAACTCTGCCTCAGAAAATCTTCCAAGTCAGTGGGCGTAACGCCAGGAAAGAGATCAGCAAGGTTTTGTCCACTCAAGTCGTACCCATCACTTAAGAGTGTGTATACGACTTCCTTTTCCACTAGCTGGTAAAGCGGGCCCCAAAATGGGTCAGAAAAGAGTTTTTTATTCGCCGGAAGCTGCGTTATCTGACCATTGTAAATGGCGTCAGTCGAGTCATACGTTACTCGAAAATCTCGGCCTGACACCCGAGTTAGAATCTGGTGACATAAGGAGCCTGCGGTCTAGATCAAGGTAGCATTTACCCGTGATATTCTCCATGATCCGGGCCAGGTCTTTTAGTCGTATCCGGCACGGCATAATGAGCGATTCACGCGGCCAATTACCGGCTGGCATATCGATGAGGCAGTTGACATATGCAGCAAGGTCAGTGGAGTGGGTGAATATCATGGTCTGTTCTCCATCTCCAGGGAAGACGCAGGTCTCCTGCTCCAAGTCGAGGAATATGCACCAGGACATAAGATGTGTTGGCTTGGCGTGGAAGGGCATGCCTAGGTAGTCCATGAACAGACCATTACGGATGAGAGTCCAAGCGAGCCGGGGATGGCGCTCAAGCTCACGTACGGATTCAATTTGGTATGGTCTGGATAAAATATCAATACCGCTATAAAACATAAGTTAGGTGTCAGTCTACTTGTTTGGGAAGGCGCCCCACTTGATCGAACGTTCGAAGTTAATGTGATACTCAGAGGGGATGAACTTGGTCACAGTCGTTGATTCAGCAGCACCACGGATCAAATTGATCTGTGACTTGAACGCTGCCTCATTGAATAGAAGCAGAGCTGATACGACAACCTCAATGCTGTTCTCTTGAAGAGTATGCTTGATATGATTGACATTGTTGTAGTCTATCGACAAACTTGTCGCCAACTTGTTGAAGGTGGGCCCTAGAACCTGGAGAAAAGGGTCGTCAGTTGCTTCCTGAAGAATATGAAGTATCTCTCACCCCTCTGGTAAGCACAAAGACGTTGTGTTTGCCCGAATGAACCATAAAGTCCACTATGGTACGGCCGACTGTTCCAGTCCCACCAGCTACAGCAACAACCACCATCCTGATGTGGAAGCGTGAAAAGCGTGGCTGAGAGTTACACAAAGCATGGACGTGGTAGTGTCCGGTACAGCATTTGCAGGAGCGTTGTCATGCTTGATGCCGTGTCATCGGAGCTATAAGGTTTGCGACCAAGAAATACTTGACATAATTGCAGGCCAGCCTGAGTGACGCGAACTATAACTGCCGAGGCCCACTTGGGTGTGACAAGACTGACCAAGGTGCATAGTCCCTCCCACTTTCACGGCCACAGGGGTATGTAAACTATCAGGGACGTATTTTTCACAAATTTATGCAAGGCTCCAGTGGTCTTGGCACGCAGGCCTATAACTTGGCACAGTGGATGTTTGACAAGGGCTATTAGAGTTTGGCCAGCAATGAAGATAAGCACAACTGCTTCTATGCCTCCACACTAATATATGACGGCCCCTCTGGTGTGAAACTATCGGTATACAGTACTCTTCTGTACCTATGAGTCTACTCGCGCACTGATTGAACGAGCATGGTCAAGCACTAAGAGTCATTGAACAGGGAAGAAACTCTGTAAACAACTCCTTTCCCACTTTGTTAAGGCGCAGTGGATGTGTTCGGGCAAGAAGTCTACAGCACCACTGTATATACTCTCGTTGTTCTGGTATATTAGCATGGGATCCCTTGACAACCAGTCATCCCGGATGCGCGCAATCGACGTGTCGATGTATCAAAAGTCGTATTGCGACTCATATCAATATCCAAATGGCAACCATGGGCACCATCTCAAAGAGCGACTACCAAGCTCTCGTAGCCGATTTCAACGCTACTGACGAGCCCAATTTCTTGGCACACCGCCTTGACCGGCTATTCGAGACTGTCGCTGAGAGCCACGCGTCTAACACTGCCGTCATTCACAACGAGACGCAGATATCATACCAAGAGCTCAATGAATCGGCCAATTTAGTAGCTCGTGGCCTTAGCAAGCGAGGTGTGCAGCATGGCGACCTAGTCGGCCTCGCCGTTGAGCGGTCCATCGATTTGGTAGTCGTAATGTTGGCAGTCCTTAAAGTTGGGGCAGCCTATGTACCTATAGACCCGGCGTTCCCAGCGGAGAGGATCAGTCAGATGATAGAGGATGCCGACCCCAAGCTTGTCCTTACCAGTACGGAACCAACCAGGGGCCTCGCCTTTTGGAAAACCATGTGCCTAAGTGTCGATGAGGCGCGAGACAGCGACGTTACGGACGTCACCAACCTGAATAGCGAAATTGGGATGCGGGATCTAGCATATGTGATATACACATCCGGCTCGACTGGTAAGCCCAAAGGCGTAGAGATTAGTCACGGGGCCGCTTCGAATTTCTTGACTTCGCTCCGCCGGCGGGAACCGGGTTGCAGCCCGCATGATCGTCTGCTCGCAATCACCACGATCTCGTTTGATATGTCTGCCTTGGAGCTCCTGTTGCCGATTCTTTCGGGGGCCACAATGGTCATGGCGCATTCAGACGCAGTCAAAGATCCCCACGAGCTCCTCAAGATCATGAAGCGTTACTCCATTACCATCATGCAGGCAACCCCTGCTACATGGACGATGCTCTTGGAGTCTGGATGGGAAAGCAAGCCGAGGCTTTCCAAGGTCCTCTGTGGCGGCGAGGCGTTCCCGCGTCGGCTTGCGGACCGTCTACTTGCCGCTGCCGACTCGGTATGGAACGTATATGGTCCGTCCGAGACTACCTACGGCAGTGTAGGTAGGGTGAACCACGGTGCGGAGATCTACGCTGGGAACCCTGTCGCGAACGGCCGGATATACGTTCTAAGCGATGATCTTTTACCAGTGCCCGTAGGGTGTACTGGTGAGGTTTATATTGGCGGGGGTAGTGTGTCGAATGGGTACCGCAACAAGCCGGAACTTACCGCTTCGTGCTTCCTCAAAAATCCGTTCCATAGCGGAACAATGTTCCGTACGGGAGACCTGGGGCGCTTTGATTCTCCAGGGAAGTTGCAAATACTCGGTCGTATTGATGGCATGGTAAAGATTCGAGGTCTCCGCATCGAGGTTGGCGAAATCGAGGCGGCCATTGTCGACCACGAGGCCGTTTCTGAGGCTGTTGTGATTAGTCGTGAAGACCGTCTCGTTGCTTATTGCGTGCTCGATCCGGATTTCAATATCGCTTTGGGTCCTATCGAAGAGACGAGAACCAGCCTTGGCGAGAGGCTGCGGTCATGGTTGACCGAGAGGCTGCCCAAACATATGGTACCTGCTTTTTTTATAGTCATGGATGCCTTGCCTTTGTCGCCAAACCAGAAGGTCGACCGTAGGGCCTTGCCAAATCCCGTCGACATGCTTCAGGTAGCGGGCAGCATGCAGCCAACCACCGAGATGGAGCGCCAAGTCCAGGCCGTGTGGTCTAGTATACTAGGACATGACCGGTTCGGAGCGGACGATAGCTTTTTCAATATAGGAGGCGACTCAATGCGGTTGATCCGCGTGCAACTACAACTGGAGAAGCGGCTGGGCAAACGCGTTCCGGTCCCTGCACTATTCGAGCATTTCACTATCCAAGCCTTAGCTGCGCATCTTGTCAGTATAGAAAACGGAACGGAGAAAAAGAAGATGTCTTTCCACTCCACGCAGGGTGACACTGTTACGAACCCTGCTGGGGATATTGCCATCATATCTATGGCCTGTCGGCTGCCTGGCGGTGTTTCCCACCCAGACCACTTTTGGGACATACTCAAAGACGGGCGGGATGTCATAGTCGACGTTCCTAAGGACCGCTGGGACGCTGCAGGGCTATACGACGCCAATCCAGACGCTCCTGGTAAGTCTTACTGTACCCATGGTGGCTTTATCGATGATGTGGACTCGCATGACCCATCTTTCTTCGGAATATCGCCTCGTGAGGCCCAGGATATGGATCCCGTCCAGCACTTGGTCTTGGAGGTGGGCTGGGAAGCCTTTGAACGAGCTGGCTACACCAAAGAACAGCTTCGTGGCAGTGAGACTGGCGTTTTCATTGGGGTTAGCAACAATATCACGACAAGCCAGGGGGTAGCGAATCTTGATGGGTATTCTATAACCGGAAGCGCCAACGCCATTACGTCCGGTCGGCTATCATACACGTTTGGGCTGGAGGGCCCGTCCATGACCCTAGACACAGCTTGTTCTTCGTCTCTAGTTGCAACACATTTGGCCTGCAACTCACTACGGCTTGGAGAGTGCAATTTGGCCCTGGTCGGTGGTGCGAGCCTTCTACTGACTCCTGGAATACACATCGAGTTTAGCAGACTACGGGGGCTATCATCGGACGGCCGCTGCCGGGCCTTCTCTGCTGATGCCCAAGGGACAGTCTTCAGCGAAGGCGTCTCCATGATTGTCCTAAAGCGACTTTCCGACGCACAACGGGACGGGGATATCGTTCATGCAGTATTACGTGGCACAGCCGTGAGCCACGGAGGGCGGAGCGCCAGCTTGACTGCCCCGAACGGTCCGGGCCAAGCACGTCTCATTCGCAGGGCTCTCAGGGGATCATCCTTACAGGCCGATGATATCGATTATGTTGAAGCACATGGCACTGCTACCAAGCTAGGTGACCCGATCGAGGGACAAGCTTTGGCCAATGTCTTCGGTGGTTATCACCTGAGGACCCAGCCATTGTGGATCGGCTCGTCCAAGTCCAATATTGGTCATACTGGGGCTGCATCAGGCGTTACTGGTATGGTAAAGGTTGTATTGGCCCTGCGGCACAATATACTACCCCAGACACTGCACGTCACCGAGCCCTCCCATTCTGTGGACTGGAAAGGCGCCAGGATGGCACTTTTGCAGGAGGCCCAGTCCTGGTTACCGAAAGCGGACCATGTGCGTCGTGCCGGTATCAGCTCGTTCGGCATCGGAGGAACTGGTGCTTATGTCGTCGTTGAGGAACCACCACAGTCTGCATACGGAATCGGCCAATGCAATTCACGACCACCCAACATTCCGGTTCTAATTTCTGGCCCAACGGAAGCTGCGCTTCAGAAGCAGGCGTCCAAACTCCGGGAATACCTCAAAAGCCTGGGCCCGGAAGTTTGTTTATGGGATGTAGCCTACTCGCTGGCAACCACCCGTACCCATTTCCAGCGCCGCATGGTCCTAAGAGCGAAAGAGAGGGCCGAATTACTAGCAAAATTGGACATGGAGGCCCCCTCACATGCTCTACATGCCTGTGCGAATACTAAATCCGGGCGCCTAGCCATGCTCTTCACTGGTCAAGGAAGCCAACTGCTAGATATGGGCAAAGGACTGTACAGGGTTTACCCTGTGTTCCGTGTGGCGCTGGACGATGCGGTTGTGCACTTTTCCGAGCTCGAAGCACCACTACTGGATGTCATGTGGGCCGAAGCTGGCAGCGAACTTGCCAAGCTGCTGAACCGCACCGACTTTGCCCAGCCAGCACTCTTTGCGCTGGAATCGGCGCTGTGGAAGCTCTGGCAAAGCTGGGGGATACAGCCTGAGGCCGTGTTGGGCCATAGTGTTGGTGAGGTGGCGGCTGCCTTCGCCTCGGGGGTCCTGGATCTTGCCAGCGCATGCACGCTCGTAGCAGCGCGAGGGCGGTTGATGCACTCACTACCCAGTAATGGCTCCATGATGGTCCTAGAGGCCAGTGCTGAACAGGTAGTGACGGCGATTGAGTTGCTAGGCTTGATTGGCAGTGTGTCCATCTCGAATTATAATACGCCGATGCAGACCGTCATTTCTGGTATCGCCGAGGCAGCCAACAACCTCATGGCCCACTTCGCTTCCCAGGGCCGTAGAGTAAAGAGGCTATGTGTGTCACACGCTTTCCACTCACCCCAAATGAGGGGCATTTTAGCAGACTTTGAGACCGTAGCAAGGCAGCTCAGTTACCACAAACCCAGGATTGCTGTCGTGAGCGGCCGTACGGGGAGACTCGTTACCGCTGGCCAGTTACAAGACCCTGGCTATTGGGTGCAGCATATTGTCGACGCCGTGCGTTTCCGTGACGGTATTGATGCTATGGTAAACAT